CAATGCGTTCAAGACTATGTTTGTGACGGGTGAGGAAGCGAGTATGAGGACGATCTTTAATGGCTTCGGTGGTCCAGAACTCGTCAAGGTCTTCGAGGACGGTCTGATTCGGCTTTGTCTTAGAGGGAATCAGGGAGAGAAGTTCTTCCATGCAGGTGTCGTTGAAAGGAGGCATTCCCCCTGCCCGGCAATCATACCCATTGATGGGGTCGCCCGTACCGATGGTCCCGCCGCCAGCTTGACTGAGAATTTCAAGGATGTGAACACGAGATGGAGGCACATGCGCTTCCTGAATGAGGTGTACAGCTGCAGTCAGAGAAGAAATGCCGGCCCCTAGAATCCACGCATCCATCCCCTCTGGCGACCGGCGCTCAGGCGGGGGAGTTGGCGGTGCCGAAATGGAAGACATGACGGACAGTGGTTGTTGCTGCTTAATCGAGACAGCCACGAGGACAGCCAACCGGTATATAAAGCGATGCCCACGGCGTTCTGGACTTCACGGGTGTGGCGGGAAGGTTTCTGATGTCAAGGCTTGCCGATATCCTGACACTATGGGAGAACCATGGTTCGCAACGGTTAGACCCACGCTGACGACACAATGATTTGCTCGTGCAAGATAGGCAGTGTATTCGATCCAGATAGTAATCGTTCTAGCAAAGTCATCTTAGGCCGCGTCCATTCTAGAACTGGCCACGAGAATATAACTCTGGCCGGTCACTGTTACTGCCAAAGGGACACTGCCCCCTGTGTTCCTTTTCCAATACTTCTACAAACTCACCCACTGCCTTTCGACCCTTTCCTTCAAAGTACCCCGGTCCTAAATTGGCTACATCAAAGCCTCGGGGGTAGTAAGTTTCGCCATCATCGCCGGGAAGTGGAAGGCCTAGGGCCCACGTCAACCACGCCGCTGGACCCCAGCGGTTCCAAACGGTTGGCTGCACGTAGTACGGCATTCCTTTCCAAACTCGAACGTAATACCGACCGTCTTCATTAGGAGTATCGCTGAAAACCTCTTGGCGGAGAACCATCGGCCGAGGAAGCCCAAGGTATCGCAGAAAATACTTCCGTAGGGCTACTAGCCCCATAAATATCCTCCGATATCGCATGGGTGGCGCCTCGTACCTGGTTCATCAGTACATGGTTCTCGGCACAAGACATCATAAAGAATGTGTTATGCAAGAAAAGCTCACATCATTGCTTCCCGCAATCTATTGTCCATCACACAGGTGGCAAAGCCGACAGCGACGCCTCTCACCCACCCTGGAAATCCGTAAACAATGACATCCATCGTCTTGTTCGCGACCAGTCTGTTCCGGTGGTCGGGTCTCATGTTCTCTTCTTCATAATGGTCACTCCACTGCCGGAGCTCTTCCAAGAAATGCAGGCCATCTCTGAACCCGCTTTTTCCCGACGGTAACGCATGATAGCTGATATCCAACGCATCTCCCAGGCTTTTCCAGTACGTTCCAATAGCACACTGTTCCAACACCGTCATTGTCCTCCACTCGAACCGCTCCACAAAGCGGATGGGTTCTGTGGCGAATAGGCTCAGGGTATAGAGCATGTCAGACTCGAGGATTCTACCGCTGGCACGGTATCCGGAATGTAGAAATTTGGTTCGGGCAATGGCAGTGCGCGCACGAGACGAAGTAGGAGGGCATGTCACGAACTGACCAATAAGGGCACCCGTATCTGCATAGCGCTTGAAGGAGGTAGCGGGGTTTGAAAGCTGGGAAGTATGCAGAAGGAGGGAAGAGATGGTCGGAATGCCGTAGGTCTGGATGGAAGATCACATGTTGTTATTAGCAGGATATCAAGACGAGGGGAGGTAAGGAGGAACAGTTACCCGAAAGAGTGCAAACTGAAGGGCTTTCACTGCAGTGGTAGGGAACTCAAGTTGCATTATGTTCTTTTGTATGGCCCATGCATCATGGACTGTCATTTGGGACATAGATGCACGGTTCGCATACTGTGGGTAATCGCGGTAGAGATTGCGAACGCGCTGGAAGCGAAGAGTCGAGACGAGGAGAAGGTAGGCGAGGAAGGCGAGTATGAGGGTGATGGGAAGTGAGACTAGTAGTTGATGGATTGAAGGTGTGAGACTGGTAAGGAACAAGGCGGTTGTATGGGGCATGATGGTTATGATCTCTTATGCGAAGACTGGATGATGGATTCAAAAATCTGGGATGGTTGAATCATAGATCTACGATGATGTTGGGATGCTCCATTAAGAAGGTCCGTCGGTCTGTGGTGCCCATTATATACTACAACCGCACGAAGACAGAAGTCGCATCCCTGTGTACTATCATAGTCCCATACATTCTTTCCTATGGTCACTAGCCCAATCCCCGTGATATACATCCTCCATAGTTGCACCCGTCGTAACGAGTTCATATGCCACTACCTCGAACGGAACGCGGACCGAGGATGGGGAGCGCGGGGTGCCGATCACTAGGGCCGATCACTCGAGTGGATAAGCCAGTCATGGTGAAACAAATGGGGATTATGTGCAGCAGGTCTGATAACCCTTGCCGGAGAGATGAATCCGAAATCGTACGAGCATCTGGTCTATCCGCAATACGCTGGTTGGGATCGCGGTGGCCTATGAGATGCAGCATCTTGAAAGGGCAGATATCGTATTCAGCGTATTCCTAGATGGAAAAAGATAAAACGTCAGCGATCAAGGAACACAAATGACATGTGCTGAACAACCTGGGATGGTGTGGAGCTGGCGTTGTGGTTGTCCACGGAAGAAAATGCACGTAACCGCGGGGTTAGATGAGGAATGGTAGCACAACTTGTTAATCACCCGGATATCTCTTTTTAGTGCCAGTTATGCTCCGAAATCTCTCTATTCGCGCATAGGAGATGAAGTTACTAGTAGTTTGCATATACTCAAATGTAGCTCGATATCGGCGCGAAGGCAGCTCTTCACTACTTATGCATACCAACCAGTCTTTCATTTCCCAAAGTCAATCTCATCTCGGACAGGGTATAGGACGGACTCCTATCCTCGTGAACCCCCATAAAAATGTATTAGAAAGAATAAGTACTAAGTTTAAGGGGTTACTATTGACAGAGAAGGTAAGAAAATGACTGCATCGGGTATCTTAGGGGTCAGCTGACGTGTGATTGAAAGTCATGTGCTACACCATCTCCTCCTTTGTTCGCATCTCGCGATCAATCGACACTTCAACCATTATGTCCCGGACCCCAGCTAAGCTGGGAGTTTCATCCACACTACCACGAATACGCGTACTGTATGCTGAAGCTCGCACTTGCGACCACTCATCCACTGATCCTATTCCTGCAAAGGACAACGGCCTCGGCCATGACAGCGACCTCATCATCTGCGCGCGTTTTGAAGAGTCACTGGAATTGGATGTTTGGCCACGCATGGCGCAACATTTAGTCTTGAATACCTTTGTGACGCGGTGGAATATTGGGCGCATGAAGATCACCGAAGCACATATGATGCCCAAATCAAGTTCGACAATGGACCATATAGACTGGAGGTATCCGTTTTCTGGGAGGCATTAGCAATTTTCATCGTTTGACCATGAGGTGGGATGGGTTGACCTACTGGTAGCATCTGCCGTCACGTATTTTTTGAATGTGATCATACGCAAAAACCCAACAGCACAGACCCTATTCACTATCAGCATCATTCAGTCATTCAATTTAACGGTTTGAATATCAGGAAACATACAATCCACCAAATCCAAAGAGAAGACTTAGTTCCACCTTCTGTCTGGTCGTCAGTTTCATTCCCCAAACCAGGATCAAGGGCACCAAGACCAATACGAAATTCTCGGCCAGCGAAATCGACCCAGCTACGATGTAAAAGGCATTTCGCCCATGCATGCAGCTGCCATCAATATGTTTGATCCAGAAATAACGCACAGGCCAGCATTGGAAGATGCTGACAAGCAGGGAAGCAATGCCCCAGGCAAGCGTGAACACTATCAATGCGGTGGTAAGCTTCCGCCAATAGGTGATGGCTCCGAAAAGCTTGCGGAGCAGAACGATGTAGGAAATTTTCACGAAGACGTGGCTTAAAACCCAGAACTTTGTGGAGCACCAGAAGAGCTAGCCCGTTTGATTAGAAGTTGGCCCAAAATGCGGGAGGTAGATATACTCACCAAAGTGACTGTTCCTCTAGTAGGCCTGGAGAGGGACCAGAAGTCTTGACCAACGCCGTTGAATGCCGCTAGATAACATGTAAGCTAATCAACATTAGAACCGGGGTTATGAATTAACTAACATATCACAGTACAGAGGGTAAGCCCGTAGGAAAAGACAAGCCCTATGCCCATCAACAAATCACCGAGATCAAGTTTCTGGCGGACGAGTCGCCGAGAATACAACCGGAGAATGAAGAAGAGGGTTGTCACAACACATGCCACAATGGGAACAACAATGAGGGTGATGCCCCAGTGATTGAGGGGTGTCATGGAGGCTGATGGGATGCAGAAAGCCGTGCTTGCATCGACACGTTCATCTGGGTTGCTATGGGTTTTATCCAAGCAATGTAACGGGGGTTAACATTTTGTATACAGGACTATATACTTTCTTCTTCATTCTTGCGGCGTCTCCGAGCAGTCTACGTCCGGATAAATATATGATATCGGCCCGCTGTAGCAACACAGGAACCCTCTTCGGCCGAATTTGCAGTGATGTCAACGAGTCCGCGGCAGTGGCGACTACTCCAATGAACCAATTTGCCGCACCCCGAAAGTCAAAAACGAAACCCCAGGCATCTTCCGTTGGATTTGAAAAATGGGAGACCGATTAACTCAGCCACATTGCGGACTGCCGCCGATGAGAAGAATGATGATTGGTTTGTTACTGCGATCTTTCTCCCGTTGTAGGTCATCTGTGCCTCTTTTAGTATATTCTCCGGTTCCTCCAAGACCCAGCCTCATCTCGGCTCCGTTGCTACAACTGGCATAACCAGACGACTGGGTTCGGAACCAGACTATATCGGCCGTAAGTGCCTGGCACTGTAGATTCCCTCCATCTCTGTTCCTCGCAGTGATGGCCTTGTGGATCACGAGGCTTGTCAAACTGAGCCGCCTACATCACCGCGTTGCCGGTGCTCAATGTGAGATCTGCAGAGTAACAGAAAAAGTCCAATTGCATTCTTGCTATGTCGCATTACCGAGTCTATTGCTCTGTGTACTCATCGTGTGTCCTTGGACTTGCTATTCGTGGATTATATGCTCATCCAGTCGTTGCTCTGAGAACCATTCTTTGACATTCTTCCAGCGCAGTGTTGTTCGCACATTGCTCGACCAATCCTGATCAAAATGGAGCCATCTGGCATCTGTCAACCTCCAGCGTGGATCGTCCAGATCGCCGTGCCTCTCATAAATACCCCCACCGTACCGGGCAACATTCCAAAGCCACCACAGGGTCAGACGCAGGGGATCGTCTTCACCCTCGACCGAGAGCTGTTTCCGATTGATTGCGAGATCAAGGATCTTGAAAGTCTTCCCTATCTCCACTAGTAGTTTGTACTGATCACGACGCATATAGTTCCTCCAAAAATCCCGATCGCGCTTTTTGGTCGGTTCCTTGAGCGGCCTTGAATCATACATGAGAAGATATACCCCTGACTCATCTCCTGACTGGAACGGCGACTTGGGTGGCGAGATAGCAGCAACTGCCCAGTAATGCCAGGCTAGTCCCTGAACATGGTGCTCTCTCGTAACACAGAGTGTCCCCCAACTCTTATCGTCCTTCGTATGCATATACAAATCTGCGACGGTGTGTGCATTATGCTTATCAGACGACGTGTATCCCCCAATCTTCTTATCACGATCTGCCTTGTCAATAAAGGACACCGGGCGATAGTGAAAAGTAAAGTTGATATCTAGGTCTTTCAACCTTCGTCGCATGCTAGCAAGATAGGCCGCTATTGTGTTCAGCTCGTCTGTCTCATGTAGAGTTCGGATTTCCCAGGGTAAATCCGGTGCCATTGGCATGTACTCGGAATTACCCTTGTCCATAAAGGCCCAGACGGTATCACGACACGGAATTCCAACAATGGCTGCAGAATATTTTGGTCTTCTGGGATGCCCAGCTGTCCGAAATTCGAAGCTGTTGTGTTGCGTGAAATAGTCAACTTGACCAAACCTGAGAGTTTCGGGCTCTCCATGTTCATCAGCCCTGTCATCAGTTTCAAACGGTTCTTTACCTTCACAATAACCATCACTCACAGCATGGCTGCAACCTGCATGATCATCATATGAACCCTCAAAAGCGGAATCCTCCTCAGCCCCCAAGGACACACTAACCCCAGAAGACCTTCCAACATGAGGACCACGTTCAGCAGTATGCGTGGCCGTCCCAACAGGAAGGGACAATGACCAACCAATCTTCCGTCTATTCCCAGGAACCTCATTTAACTTCAACATCGAAGTATCCACAGCCGACGATACAGGCCCAGTAGGATCTCCCTCTCCCACTTTTCCAGCCGGTACCGCTAGCCCTTCTGCAATTATTTCAGGCGCCCTCAGCTCATTTCGATCCCGAAGCAAGTTGCCCGGCATGAAGTAGCCACTCATCGGCACATAAGCCCCGCCACCTGAGATAGACTCTGGATATCGATCATGACTGTGGTCTTGAGGGAGCTGTTGATCCTTGTCCGTGTATTGCGGCCCGACGTTTGCGTCAGTGGGTCTAATGACAGTTTGGCTGTTGTGTTCACTTTCGCTTTCGCTAGCACTTTCACGTTTTTCCTTCGACTTGAAGGTGGCCTTTGGAATGAGGGATGAAGAAATGATCGGGCAGGTTGTGGTAGAGGGACAGGCCATGAGCTCGGGAATGTTTGTTCTTGTTGTTTGCTGGAAAGTATGTAGTGAGGAGTGTGAAGGCAGGCTGCCTGTCTTGTTAGACGGGAGTAAAAATAGGTAAAGAAGTCGCCGGCCGATGTTGGTTGATTATCACATAGATGAGAATGAGAAGAGCCTGTTCGTTGGGCGTTAAAAATTGGTGGTAAAGCGAACGAATGATTATCCTTCAAACTGGTGGTCGCATTAATATTCTCTCTCCATCTCTGTCTCTCGGGAAAATGAATTCCTGAACACAGTGGGAAAAGAGCAATTTTTCGACTCGGCCACTACTGCTATCGTACATGCGAAGCCTCGTCTCTTTAACAAAATATCAATATAGTTAACATACAAACCATCATCCCCGGATCACCCCATCCCTCGTTTCCTACTGATGACCTCTCCTAAACGGATTCGCGCGCGGGAAATGAGGATTCTCGATATCCCGTCTGGACTTATTTTCCTCGTGGACCTCAATCTCGGTAGTTTTCGTGATGATAGTATGGTTCGAACCTCTTGCGGGAGAGATGAGAGTATCTTCGTGGGAAGCTACATTCACCAGACCGGTTTCGTCAGCAAATGTATCGAAAAGCGACTGATCGGGTTGACGACGAGCGAGAGGAATTGGCTTGTGTCTTGCTGCTGCTGCTGCTTCGGAGTGGGAACGTTTGTAGTATGAACCTGCGTAGCGTGTTCGATGCAAGGCAAAGTTGTATGATTGTCGGAGAGTCGGGAGAGTGGCGCAGATTATGATAACGTACATCTGTTGATGGAATGCATGGGCGCCACTTAGCGCATGATAAAAGTATATAGATAGCTTGGCTGTGCTGAGAGGAAGGTTCCTGCTTACCTCAATTCTAGTGGTTCGGAAAACATTGTGTTAGCTTGTTTCATTGTGGTTTAGTAAACGTGAACCATGGAGAAGTGAGTGGCGTACGAGTACCATGTTGTAATATCGGCCCATGACCCTGGAGTTTTATGTATTAAGCTTCGTCTTTGAGTGTCTGGGCCTGCCCGGAACTCGGAACATCGGTGCTTACAGGTTATGTCTGAATGGACCGGAAGGCTTTTTAGAAGAATGGCCTTGACCAAGGTTGCTGCCGCCGCCCTTCTGGGATCAGTTGAGTTTTTTTAAAGGTGGATTAGAGGTGCTTACAGGATTCCCGCCCCCATGACAGCTATAACCCCCAGCTTCATTTTCCAGGGCAGCTGGACGGACCAAAAAATGATGACTGGAAACAAGGCTAAGGTAAGGTCGGCAAAAGCGTTGAATGCTGTATGATGTTATTCTCTCGACGCATAGCTACCAGGTAGTGTTGGCACTCACAGGCTTGCGATATCCCAGCAATCAGCTGAAACTTCAAGCTAAAGCAGGAGCCGGGAACCTCTGGCCGCCAGATCTTCTCCGCAGGCCGGCAGTACCCCATGATGGCAACGATGGCCAGCACGTTCCAAGCAATGGATATTACACTAAAAATATAGAGGAACCATCGTTTTGCCGGGGACGCTGTCTGGCCCATCAGGCGCAGCAGGAAGACGGCCACCGATAGCTTGCCTGTTGTGGTGCTGACCATGGAGAAGTTGGGTGCGATGACGGTATATTTGAAGGCCTCGATTTTCCATTCCCCATTGGAAATGTCGGCCATGTGTTTTCCCAGCCCATAATGCACGCCGGTTTGCGCTAACCCTGAACATACAACAGCGCTCAACTGCATCCATGCGGCGCCTGAGTTAGCCGCTATCTTTTGCGGTAGGATCTCGCAGGGTTGACCTACCAGGGAAAGGACAATAAAGAAGTCGTCCCAGCCTGCTTTGCGAGTCAGTATTAGCCGGGTGTACAGTCGAATGGCGACGACTATGATCGCCACGCTTCCAAAGCTCCAGGACACAGCAGTGATCTGTGGGCCTTTGTCGTCAGGCATGGTGGCCGGACTTAACAATATATCATTGTTGCTCGAGCAAGGGGGGACACTTTGGAGGTCCTCGAAATATAAAGCTGTACCGAGCAGGTGTATTCCCGATCGAGCGATATAGTCGATACTTAATTATTTTACGAGACTATTAGACAGGCACATAGAGATTCTTTGTTCAGCCGTCGAGCGATACATCGACTATCAACACATAGCGTGCGGTATGTCCATGTCTCGGGATTTGCCGCGATTTGGTAGTCGGGTTATACGAAGGGATCGACTGCCAGATGCCAAAAGATCCACCTGTAGGGGAGACCCTTCGGTCTGTGCTTTTGCTAGGTAACAGGGGCCAAATCACCCCACAGCAGGCGCCTTTCGTCCAGGCATCAGATAGATGAGCCCAGTGTGTGCGGACCAAATTTTGGGCAGCCTGTAACATGGCATCAATATGCGCAATGACCTCCGGGAATCCTCGAAAGCATCACTTCTGTCACGGCGTACTGTCCCTTCAAATATCTTGAAGGATTGGAAGCCGAGCTCAAGTCAAGGTTCGGAATATCCATAGCGTTTCCGCGAGGCACCGGCGCGGCGCTAATGCAGCCAAAGCGTGTGGCGTGTGGGAGGATGGCACCTAGGTGACGGAACTGACAGCCGGTGGCGGCCCTTTACAGGCCCTATCCAACCCTATTTTCACGATGGCGCTGCTAGCTGTTCTAGTCTGGCATTGCGGGCCTCTGCTGATGACCAAAAGTACTGAATCTTGGCCTAGCTGGGCGCTTACCCCCCCCAACTCTGATTGATGTGACAGGTCCACCCGGTGCACGCACACCGTCCTGCGCCTCCTGCCATAACGAGTAAAAGGCTATCGTAAAACTGTACCTGGCTGAATCAGAACAATAAGGCTCCCAACCATTGTAAAAGGACAGGCCTTCCCTTCTCCCCTGTTCCCTGTAGTGCTGCTTCCCGTGCATATCTTCATCATGTCTAGCAATAGGTGTCACGCCAATGGCGTCTCTCAAAAGCCATTCGACGGTCTGATTCGGCAGGTCGCGCAGGCTGCAGATGCTTTTCAAGATAGCCATAACGAAGCGGATCGCTTGGCTGCCCTCCAGGCGGCGCAGAGGCTGGTGGAGGTGTTTCAGAAGCCGCAAGATGCAGTGTATAATCTAGCTTACTCGGTAATAATATCCTCCAAGAAAAGATGAGCACGAAGTACTGACCCGTACCAGCCCACTCAAGTGATGTGTGTGCGCATCGCCATGGACCTTGGTATTTTCTCCACGCTCTGTGAGCGGAATGGTCCAATTACACTGGAGGACCTGGCAGCCACGAAAGGAGCAGATCTAGTCCTGACGGGTACTGTTATCCCAATCGCGTCTATGAGTCAGCTGCTAAGATATTCTGGGAACAGAAAGGGTGCTGCGTATCCTTGCAGGGATTGGATACGTTGCAGAACATGATGTACGGGTCTACATCCCCACAAAGATGACCAGACAGATGACGGACAGGCTCAGTGGGGCCGTAGTGAGATTCATGTAAGTCAGTCACATAGGTGGCAAGGCCGAACTGACAGAACGTTAGCTTCGATATCGGTATGCCTACCTTGGCTAAAGTACCCGAGTTCCTGCGTATGACCAACTTCCGAAACCCATCGGGTGCTCTGAATGGTGCATTACAGTACGCAGAGAAGACAGAAATGTCGCTGTGGGACTGGGTGCCGACCAAACCAGGTTTCTTGGACGTTTGCAATACTTTCATGGAAGCGGACCGCGGGAGCCGGCCTAGCTGGCTCGAGTGGTTTCCTGTCAAGGAAAGAATTATTGACGGATTCAAAGAGGGCGAAAGTAACGTCCTCTTGGTAGACGTAGCAGGTGGGCGCGGCCATGATTTAGTTGCTTTCCAATCCAAATTCTCTGGAGTGCAGGGACGGCTCATCTTGGAAGATCTGCCTCATGTCGTGGCTGAGGCTACTCAGCACCCCAAAATTGAGCATGTATCGTTTGACTTGTTCCAGACACAGCCAATACAAGGTATACTCGCTGGTTAACACCTGAAACGATTCTGAACCCTAATCTGACTATATACCGCCGCAGGTGCGCGCACCTATTACATGAAATTCATCCTTCACGACTGGTCAGACGAGGAAAGTCGCCTGATCCTGAGCCATCTTGGAGCAGCAATGAAAAAGGGGTATTCCAAACTGATAATCGAGGAATTCGTATTGGCAGACAAGGAATGTGCAATGCTGCCCGCCATGTGGGACTGGGAGATGTTGATTTTCTGTAACAGCATGGAGCGAACGGCTAGTCAGTGGACGAAAGTGCTGGATTCGGCTGGCTTCAGGATTGTGAAAATTTGGGCACCCCCTGGTGACGGACAGAGCATCATTGAGGCGGAGCTGAAAGAACCTGATGAAGACATGAAATCAGCCCGGTCAAGCCATATATAACCGAGAAGCTGATAAAGTAGTAGGATTAGAATACCTAGTTTCTCGGGCTCATGGCATTAGCTTCATTTTGACGATCTTTCGCCTCTGATTTGGCAACGTAACCGCGACTTACTCGGTAGACCTAAGTAGCCAGGGCCAGCGCAGAGATGAGCTGGGAGATGAAGTAGATAAATAGGATGCTGGAACTCATAGGTCTCTCTGGAGAAAGGGAAACACGTGGTCCAGTGAAAACTACTACCACGCGTCAGTCAGCTGACCCAGTCCCGTCTTCTCATCATTCACCAACTCAGGTATTATTAACTGACCAGTTCATCGAAAATAGTTATGGTGAGTGGACTCTGGGTGCCTGCATCTAACAGACAGAGCATATGCACCAGTGAGCTGTCTTTGAATGCTTCCACAAAGTTAGTCCCCATCCCTGCCCCGAGACTCGCTATTACTATGGTTGCGATACGTCGTGATATGGTCTACTTGTTACAGCCACTATGCCTGAGATCTGCTGATTGTCAACGATACAAAGTATCCCTGTCCTCAATTGCCAGGGAAAGCTCAACCCCAGGTCCTGGAAAACCCTACACGTATGAAGTATCCCTCAGCACTGATGAGGCTTCTCCGAATCCAGGGCGTCCATGAACAACGCAGAAACGATAAGGGCACCTTCCCAGCAACAATATGGTCTTTTAGTGTCCACTCAATGACATAGCCCTAGAGCAAGTTGTATTGTGCCATATCATGAGATAAGAATACATCATCTGGAACTTGGAGAAGTGTGGGAACATAGCCAAACGTACAGTGCAGTTGGACCTCGATTTACTCCGCAGGACAATCCTACCCGAATGTGTTGCCTGCCACGTAGCAGCCAACTGGTAGGCTTAAGACACAACACCACACCACCTAAATAGCGAAGGACAGACTATGTAATCTCAGATCTGTATGTACTTTCCTTGTTCTAAATTTGAGCGCAAAGATGAGACTGATCAACGCAAGAACATACCAGTTGGAAGAATACCTCGACAGTGATATCCCCGAATATGCAATCCTGTCACATACGTGGGGAAAGAATGAAATTTTCTTTCAAGATCTTCAGGCACTGTCAACAGGCTCTAGGTACTGGGATCGTGTGGTAGGCAAGGAAGGATTTTTCAAGATCAAGTATACCTGCCAGCAAGCGATCAGGGATGGTCTAGATTACGCTTGGGTTGATACATGCTGTATCAACAAAAGCAGTAGTGCGGAAATCTCTGAAGCTATCAACTCCATGTTCCAATGGTACATGCGATCAAGCAAGTGCTATGTTTACTTGTCTGACATCCCCAGCGACTACGGTGGGATGCCGCTCAATGAGCAAGCCGGAAGCTCTGTCAAACCCGCCAGAAGACACAGGTCTAGTGAATACGATGCGAGCATCAATGGCCCCTTTGCAAGATGCCGCTGGCTCACTCGAGGATGGACATTGCAGGAGTTGATTGCACCCAAGGATTTGACCTTTTATGGGTCTGGTTGGAACTTTCTTGGTACAAAAGCATCAATGACAGCCCTCCTCTCTACCATCACTGGCATAGACCAGCGCGTTCTTAGAGACTCGACAGACACAAAAGAGTCACTGAGATCAGTATGTGTCGCACAGAAGATGTCATGGGCAGCTAAGAGGCGGACTTCTAAGATAGAGGATGAGGCATATTGCCTCCTGGGTCTGTTTGATGTTCATCTGCCTATCCTCTATGGCGAAGGCAAAGCTGCATTTATTAGACTACAGGAGGAAATCATCAAAAGTTCCGATGATCACACTATTTTCGCATGGAACTATTGCGATATTGAGCAAGAGAGCCAGTACACCGTCCTTGCTCCGTCTTCATCCTGCTTTCTCAAGAACGTCGTCCAATGGTCCCGTCCGCGTAACAGTGGGCCATACACCATGACCAACCGAGGCCTCCACATCCCGCTTCCCGTCATATATCGAAACGGGCCTAAGGATAGCTGCCTCGCGCTCTTGGACTGCCATTATGAGGATGATGTTACAGGCGCCTTGGCCCTCCCTCTTACTCCTCGATCAGACAACACCTTTGATATCGATTATGATATCTCGCGGGGGCGGGTAGTGAGAGTTGACTTGGGACTAGAAACAGAAGCCAGGACTCGAGACCTTTATATCCGATCACAGTCCAATATTCCCGATCGAGGACCACAATTGACATGTCAATTTAACATCGATCAAGCTGATTCCAGAACAGCGAGTCTGCGCATAACGGAATACTATCCATCGCGTATCTGGGACGCTGAGAATCACAGACTACGACTTACCTCCAACGACTCGACTTCCCTAGAAACATGGGCTGCTGTTAGATTACAAGACTCCTCCGAAAGATCCATCGGAGTTGTTTTCCACGTATCATCACAAAGGAGGCCAGAGAGCACAACGACCTTCAATGTACGTGGTTGGATCTACATGCAGACTATGAGGCCCGAAATGACCCTCTCGCATGTAGTCGATCAGGTCATTCGCGGCTGCGCCTCAGCTTCAGCTTATGAATACGGGAACCATGGATCCTATACCCTTGCCTTAGGCCGAAGACATAGCATGGTTGCGACCAACACTATGATCAGTGGGAATGGCTCAGAGACGCTCATGGATGTGACTGTCGCTGATCGGTATGCGCCTTGCACGTTGCGACGTGTCTTTGGCGCGACTCCTAAACCCCCAAAGAACACAGAAATACTTTCCAAGGAGAAGGACCTGCGAACGAGCGTGTCTACAGATTAGCGACAGGTTGAACTTGACTCCCATGGGAAGATGACACCAAGGTGTAGGAAGAGATTCGGGCGTTTATGAGTCAGTATCTGCTTTAGATGACTTCCAGTAACTCGGTAGAACTCTTCATCTTACTAGTTCGTATGTTAAGGCAGTCGCTAGTTCCCTCTCCTCACTACGAACGTAGCCCACAAAATCAATAGCTGCCAACCCGCTCCTTATACACCTCTCCCTTCACAAGACTTGGCTTGCGATACCCACTCTGCACCACCGCATTAGCTTGCAACCGCAACCCATCCAACTTGAAAGAGCTCTCATCCATAGCCCATATAGTCACAGCAAGATAATTGCTCCCATTATAGTCCAAGATACCCTCAGGGACGGGAAAACTAAGCTGTGGGCCGATGTGATTGACTGCCAACAATATAAACCATTAGCCTACCCAAATAAAATCACAGCAAAAAGAGAAGAAATAATAAGAGTGGGAAAGCCAACATACCATACTTCCCAAACTGCCACCCATTCACAAACAACTCCGACCGAAACCTCGCAGGCTCCGATCCATCACCAACCGTAGTGCTATTCTCAAACACAACACTGATAGGCACATCATACCCATCAGGAATATTCAGGTCGAACGTCGTCGCGAAGAACCCCACCCCGGGCGCCTCATCCTCCGGCAGTCCATCAAGTGGTGACCTCTTCGTCCACTTCTCCACTGGCGCACCGGGGAGATGATACCCCTTTCGCTCAGCGAAGAACGCACCCTCATTGAGAGGACCGCGAGTCAGATCAGCATAATGCTCGCCACCAAAGTTACCCGTTACTTTCCATGATATATCTGATTTGTCGTCGTGGCCGTGGAGGGTGTAATCGAGGATTCCACGTGGATCTTTCATGAATTCGCCGTTCGCCGGGAAGTTCTCGTCGTTGCCGAGATGGTCGATTAGGATCGTTAAAGTGTAGGTTGTTCCCTGGGTGAGGGGGGATGGGAATGTGACTGTTTGGTTGGAGAACATATACAACGGGTCTCCTAGCCAGGAGGTGAGGAATGTGTTGTTGAGCCAGATGGACTGGCCGTAGGCGTAGCCACCTTCGGTGAGGAGGTAGAGGGAGGTCTCATTGCCGGTAGCCGTGAAGGTTCCTCGGTAGAGAAGGGAGCCGCCATTGTTGCCGTAGTCGCTGGCGTAGAGGGATGTTGGGGTTGTAAGGTTGCGTGGGTTTGCAGTTGTGGTGTGCGTGCATGGGGTCCAAAGGTCGTCGTTGTATGTCGGATTGTGTACCTCTGGGAGGGTGTTGAGGTAGTGCCAGTCGAGGGTTGTGAGGTCTGGTAGGCTGATGTTGGGCTTTTGGTAGGTGAGGGTGCCCGTGAGACGGCCAGATGTGACGCTGGTTTGGACGCTTTGATTGTTGAAGAAAATGCTAGTTACTGGCTGAGGGGCGGAAATGAGCTCGAGGGTAGTGGTGGTGTTGATGTCTCCTGTCAGATAGAGGGACGTCTCAGCGAGTTCGGCGGTCCGTAGCAGATATCCGGCCTTAACGATGACTGATCGGTTGGCGTGAGATTGAGATACGTGTCGGCCTATGGTCCCTGGGACGGGTAGGTCGAGGACCCAGTAGTTGTATGCCTCGTTGCGCCAGAGGAGATGCACCTCGAGGGTGTTGCCGAAATGTACAACTCGTCGGGATGCTTGGACTGCCCATTGTATCACGGTGGTTGAGTTGATCTGCTGGTTTTGCAAACCATCGCCTTCAATAGAGGTTGGTTTGCCTATATATGCAGGGACGGCAAATTCATGAAGCTCATCTTCACCTCCGTAGAGAACAACCACTGACTTGGAGCCGGTCTGCTTCCAGGTGAATAGCTCAGCCGAGGAGTAAATCAGACTTACGTTGCCGACGTTGTAGTCGACCAAATGGATCTTGGAATCTCGGCCATGCAGACTTAGCGTTCCACCCAGCTGAGGAATTGTCAACCTTCCTGCGGTAGTGTCCACGTGCAGCTTATATGAAGTCGAATCTTGTGAGGTTAACTCTCCATGGCGTACCACGTAGAAATTGGTAGGATCTCCGGCTAACCGGGTTACTGCGAGGGAGGTGGTGTCCGTGTAGATTCCATAGCTCCCGTTTTCTGAGTGTGTCTCGAGATAAGCAGGAGATGCCTGTAAAAAGTTGGATTGTAGCTTCAATTCACTGTACTTCTCGCGGACGACTTCGCGATCTTCGGCGATAGCAGCACCCACATCGTACGAGGTGTAACCACCAGGATGGCCTAAGTTGCCCCAATTTGTTCCCCCGAAGATCTGGCAGCACAGATCTTGTATTAGCAGAGAGAAAGAAAGGTCCATATGCGTATATAGTAGTCAGCTCACCATGTAGAGGTTCTGGATGGCAGTGCGAAATCCGTAATTTATCTTGTAGAAGACGCGTGCGAATTCAGGGCCAATGTATGCAGCTGAGGTATCAACACCAACACCACCCCTAGAGTACAGTATAAGCTTAGAAAGCTTCGCATTATACATACACCCCAAGGTTATCATACCAACCATCAGGCACTCCGCCTTGGAACTCTGAGATGGAAAACGGAGTGGTCGGGCTCTGCTCCTCATGAACTGTTTCGTTGTAGGAGAGCAGTGGGTTTACCACAGATGACCAGTTTGACGGATTGGATGCTAAAAGTAAGTAGTTAACGGAAGCTCGATAAGTATAATCTAATACATACGTGCTGTGCTCCAATGCATGGGATAATCATCAAAGCTGTAAATATCCACAGCCCCGACTCCCGTGCCAGGAGCGAAGTTTCCCATAGGTTCGGCATCATTGACGATGAACGGCACGACTACTCCAGCCTTTCGATACTGATCTTCCACGTAAGCCATGTATTCCTTCTGAAGACAGGAACTGTTATAGTCGGGCATAGAGTAGTTGTTGATTTGCGTGTAGCCTACGTCCTGCACGCAAGCCGTATACTCGTTTTCGGGTTGAAATAGGATCACCGGGCCACCATTTGTGATCTGCGCCTTCGCGATTATGCGTCCTATCGCCTGCATATAGGGAGTGATGGCATCCAAGTAGCCTTGATCTGTAGTCTTGAGACGGCCTTGCACCCTTTCCAACCAGCCAGGAAATCCGCCCCCGGAAACCTCGGCGTTGATATAAGGACCAGGACGAGCAGTTAGATACAAACCGGCTTCTGTAGCAGCCTGAAAGAATTCTTCGAGCGCGAAAACTCCATCCGCCCGGATAGACCCTCGCTCACCCTCCAGCAGAGCCCAATCGACGTAGAAGGACACAGCTGAGAAACCAAGCGCGCGGACTTTCTGGAAGACATCAAGCCAGAGTCCTGGGGATGGGAGACGGAAGGGGTGGAACTCTCCCGATAAGAGAAGAACGCGCTCTCCGTGAACCCGAATGGAGTACTCATCCCATGCCACAATGTCTTGAAGAGAAGAACCTGTGGTATTTTCCTGACGAACATATTTTGGGGCGGAAACAAGGCCTAGGCAAGCCTTCGCAGCCAGACCGACAGAAAGCAAAAAGGAGGCCTTCATCGTAGATCAAGATGCAGCCTAGTGGCTCGTACAGCTTCGCATTACCCTCGAAGCCAACCCACCTTCGCAAACCTTTATACTTTGTTGTCCTTGACACCTCTGATCGAAAGTAAAGCGGGCAGTCGGCTATGAGGTCGGCATCTGGCCACATCGTTGATCAGAAATTCCCAGGGCGGGGAATGCGGAGGACCTGCGATCAGACGTCAATTTAACCGGTTTGTCGACATCAAACTGGGATGATGTTTGATGCGGGGAAAATCTCATGATCACATCGGTATAATAGATGACCGAGTACTGGGATCGTGGGGCGCGGATAGTACTTGACATGGTGTGTGCCTCCATGGGATAAAGGCGGTAAAGGTTGTGTTCTGACCATATCTACCGCTATGCAAATTGAAATGAAGGCCAATATCGCATTTTAGGCGATCTTTGACATAATGCAAATGCACTTTTCTTTTTTTGTTTTGGCCACGTCTAATAGCTTCCAGCGGGAGATCCGAGTGTATAAATCTTGTCTACAACGCCAATGATATAGAACGCCACTGAAAGTTTCATCTGCATATACGTTCGGCAATTATATAGGGCATAGGACCTTGTAGATATCAGTCAACCACCCCTGGGGGTAGCAGCACTACATAATCCACTGGAGCAGGCTCGACCCCATTCGCCTCACCAACAATCCTCAGCTGATCACCCTGCCGGACGACGACCCCATGAAACGTTATCCGGGTGGCCGAGTGACCGTCCAAGTATATAGATGGTGTATGGCCTAGGGATTGATGCTCCATATCCCCAAGCCATTGACCCACTACCTTGTCACCCACAGATAATGTCCACTTGGATTGACCGCCATAGAGATCGTAGTAGTTCACCCCTATATCATATACTCCCGAAGGGGCTTTGATGGTAGTTCTTGCTGTCCCAGTCGTTGAATTAGAAGTGGTAATAATTGCCGTAGTGTTAGAAGCGGCCTCGAATGGACTGACAGTGTACGTCTGGTATCCGTCCAATCTCATACTCTCAGCTTCAATGCGCCACGGATGATGACCCACACGGCCAGCCACATCTGGAATTCCAGTCATGTTGTAGTAGAAGTTGTTGATAGCATCGCGCCAGACAATGGAGTGTCCCGCCTGGTAGACAAGGCGTGACCGCATGGCCTCGTATCGCTCCCGATCAATTAGCCCTTTCAAAGACTCCCATTGTCTGATAAAGCCGTGTGCAGCTTCTGCGCCTGCATAGTGAGCGTTGTAGAAATGCTGAATGACTGTCAACCCGGAATGCAAACGATGAGTCCATGGTACATGGTGGAACCACAAGACAAGATCATCTGGCGTAGTTTCTAGTGACTCGTATAAGCGAGCAACCTCCTCCGGATATTGGCCGGTATACCCAGTGCCATTCCGTATTGTTCGGTCCATCCCGACTGAATTGTGATCAGCACGTGTCCATTGGCCCCAGCCATTGTTATCCTGTGTAGCTGGGTTTGGGCCATAGTGAGTATACAAGATATCTGTCAGGGTTTGTATGCCCAAGTTGCCTGTATAGTTTTCATAGGCAGGCCACGATGTCATGGACATATCAGCAATAGTGTCGATGACATGGTGATTTCGTCCAAATGTGAGGCGAGTCCAGTCTTTGAGGATCTGTTCAGAATCGTCGGTCGGACTCCAGGCCAAACGACCATAGGCGTACAGATTGGACATAGCAAGGTGGCTACCCAGCCATGTTGTGTTAGTGCCCACATTAACGACGGCTGCCCAGCCCCCGAGCGTTCTGTTGAAGCGCTGTCCGGATATGATATCGCGGACCATCGAAGGCTTGTGATCTACGCGTAAGTCGAAATCCAGGACCGTCTTCCAGAGCGGAGGTAGGTATACCAAATGACATTGCTGCCCCAGGTACTCCTGACTAACTTCCAACTCTATGGCTGTGTTGGTATGGTAGAGGTTGGCGAAAAGGGGTGAGGTAGGCTCGCGTACTTGAAAGTCGATTGGGCCGTACTTTATTTGTATCACGACGTTCTCGTCGAATTGACCGTCCAGGTCCTTGAAGTATTCCACTGCCGCCTTGGCACGATCAGCCTTCCAGTCCGACTCGTTCAAGTTGTCGTTGTAGACGAAGGCGCGGTACATAAGCACACCCCCATGTGGTTGCAGGGCACGGGCGAAAAGATTTGCCCCTTGTGAGAGTGTGCGATTATATGTATCCGGACCTGGCTGGCCCTCTGAGTCTGCTTTGACGAGGTACCCAGCCATGTCTGGTACATAGGTATAGAGGTTATCGGTGATATTCTGCCACCATGTAATGACACCAGGATCGAGCGGATCATAAGTTTCTAGGCCGCCCAAGTCTTCTGGTGAAGCAAAGTTCAGCGATATGCCAATTTGAACACCGTATGGTCGACAGGCATCTGCTATGCGACCCAGGCCTTTCATATTCTCGGGTAGCAGTAGTGATGCGTTCGCATTGACATTATTAACGACAATTGCGTTTATCCGGATAGATGCGAGCAGTCTAGCATATTGCACAACAGGAGCCATGTCTTCCACCACCGTGCCATCTTTGAAGAATATCGACGCGCCACCGTAGCCTCGTTCAATACTTCCGTCCATGTTGTCCCATTGATTTACCCAACGGATCGGCGCATGTGGGCTGGTGGTGTACGCGACACGAGTGAAGTTTTGCTGTGCCACCATAGCGAGGTATTCGTATGCCCCGTACAAGGCTCCTCTGGCATTGTTGCCTAAGATGCGGACTGTGTCCCCTTCGGATTGTAACCAGAAGCCATCGGGATCAAGTTCGGGCACGTTGATGTCCCGGCATTCTTGACGGTACTCATCCAGGGTAGCCACCAGGATTGATGCGGGGCTATCGCATCGAAATGGACGGGATGTCAAGTTCGTCGAAAGAATCGATTGGAATCCTGCTTTTAATTCTCGTCCTGCAGTCTCGATCGGGCTTCCTTTGGTGCTGTTTAACAACACAAGATGAGATGGTAAAGCCTGTCGACAATGCAGATCGCAAGATACGGGAGCATATCGGAGCCACCCATTGTACCCATCCTCGGCCGTTACCAAGGACAGTAAAAGAGCCAGGGTCAAATGAAAGAGATTCGTACCTCTCATAGTGGCCGTTTCTTTCCAGCTATGCCATCACAAAGCATTTTGGGATACCAGCCCTTTTCTCCATCATATATACACACGTCATGACCTGTCTGCAGGATCTCCCCGCATTGTCAGGCCACGGACGTGGGGAAGGATTTCATGCTAAACTTTGTATTCAGGCTATTGTTGCTGCTCTGGGTAAATCGTATTGTTTGGTGGCATCGACAAAGGCGACTTTTGCCGACAAGCACTGGCCTAGTCTTCCCCTGGGACTCGCTGAGTTAGTAGTTTAGCCTCGGAGAATCTCCGTGACCATCGAATTCAGTTTGTTATTGAAGCGTCAAGACCCTCCCGATTGGGAAAGGCCCCGTCGTGGCAGATGAGCGGGCGTCACGGGACTCGCTAAACTCCGTTGGGTTCAATCTAGCCTGAACGGGAATGGCGCCTTCACAAGATGACTGGAGGTCTTACTCGCACCCTTACCTGTCATTCGGCACTTTACTACTCTCAGACTGTTTTCATAACCTAGGAAAGAAGTGCCGATATCATATGCGAGACATCGTTCTCAAGTAATCGGCTTTACCTCAATGGCTGCCCGAACTCCTTCCATCGCCCGCAACTCGTTCCGGGCCCGCGCGGTACGGCTTCTTGTCCGCCACCATCTAATCTATAACAAGTACTAACTCCAACCAGTGCGACAATTGTCGGCTTCGGAAGGTATCGTACCCTGTGACCAAATCAGTACTCGACCTATGCTCATGCAAATCTCTTTAGATCAAGTGTGATAAAGTAGTTCCTTGTTCCAGCTGCAGCGCTCTTGGAGTCGCCTGTGGTCCGACAGGTACGCCTGTCACGTCTTCGGAGACACGCAGAGCCGATTCCGACGATTAGTAGGTTAAGCTAGACTATAAGTGCTTGCAGGGCTAATTGAGGTTAGTGAGCAAAGGTTTTCGGCAATCCAAGAACAATTAGCAACCATTCAGCAAGCACTCCATCAGATAACAAAGCCACCAACTTCAGTACAGCCGGCTTCTCACCCAATAGGCACCGGCCCAACAGCTCCTCCTTTCGAGGGACAGTCATCTTTTCATCATGAGACCCTTGTAGCCAGGGACGCAGCGTATTCCGCAGCAAATACTGTCCGAGATGGACAGATTGGAGATTATGTGTCTGCTGCGCTCTCCTCTCTAAAAAGCAGCCTCGATGGGCACAATCACGCCGTGAATCGAAATAGAGCACAATCACCTGTGCAACTAAACCAGACATTGATACCTGTTGATCTGGTCATAGCAGTGGTGAAGAAGGTCAAATGTATACATCTCCACCCCCTGTAGATGCTATCACTAACGCAATATAGCTCAACCTCCCTTCTTCCTGGTCAGTCAATCTTGGATAGACTCAACCCGTGTGGAACATCTATGCCAGTCAATATATTTCCCGCTGAACCCTGTCCCACCTGGCTCGCTCACGCTCTTCTATGGTATCCTGTTCTATGTGATACGCGATTATCTTCATGCGGGAGATCCCGATCTGGCACACTTCGATCTTCAATCAAGCCTTGCGCTCTGTGAGCGCCACTTTGCCGCTGGCTTGAGCGGACCTGAGGTTATATCTGAACCGACTTTGGAGAAGATACAGGCACTGTTGCTTGGGGTATGTTTGAGTCTCTTCAGGAGCTACAAATGCTAACGAATGCAGGTTCTGAAAGCCCAAGAGGAAACCGACGTCCAGCGGTGCTGGACCTTCCTTTCGCTGGCATTCAATATGTGCCAGAGCATCGGGTTACACCGACGTTCTACTTTGGAAAAGGATGAGTATATAATTGCTGAGGCGAAACGCCATGCGTTCTGGGCACTTTACACCATCGACAAGAATATCTCTCTCAATATTGGCGTGACATCTCACTTTCAAGATCACGATATCGATGCAGACCTATATACTCCCTCCAATGATCCCAAGCATCGTCCGTGGGATCTAATGGGGCTTGTCATCGTCGAATTCGCGAATGTTCAGGGTAGAGTTTATGACCAGCTGTACTCCACCTCTGCTTGTCGGGCAGGTGACGAGCAACGATCAGCATCGATTGAGCGACTGTCCTCTGACCTAATGACAGTACGGGACAAGCTTCTTGCGGTACGCCTTCCTCCTGTTGAGGTAGTCAAGTTGGCTGACGGTTTTACAAGATTGATGTTAGTCGGGGTCTTTATGCCGACTCCCTACATGGAATGGCAGCCTGTGCAGACTTTATAGCTTACTCTGTGTTGACCGTCATCTATCGTGCACAAACCCATCCACGCGACGTGATGGCAGTTTCTTCTCAGTGCTATGCATCTGCGACTGCTGCTTTACAGAGTCATCTCAAGTGCTTCACCTACTTCCGCGGTCGCCAGACACATAAACAAACAGAATACGTAAACTGGTAAGACACCCTTCAATCTGCATTGAGATAGTAAACTAAGGGGACAGGATACTTCTCTATCCTTCATTCACACCCTTCGTCATCGTCTTTACCCACGCAATCACAACCGCCAGTACAGCAGATCTCGCTCTGCTACAGGATACCGCCAGCTCCCTAGAGCTAATCAAAGGCCTTTCACGAGGGTCAATGCATTTATACACTATATGTGACGCTTTTGTCCGGGCTGCTCAGATACTTGTGAACTCACAACAGACACTAACCGGGCTGGAGCAACACCAAGATGGATCTCTTGTTATTCCAACAACTGATGGGCCCGGGAATATTGCCCTGCCAGATGTTTCATGGCCAGAAGATACATTTGACTCCACCATGAACCAAGCAGACATATCCATGTTTTTGAATGGCTTCATTGGCACTAACCGATCGGTCATGGATATTTTGAGTTTCGACCTTAATAGCGATTCAATCCAATGAATACACCTTGCATTCCTCTCACTGCTAATTGTTGACCGTGGCTTTGAAGACCCGTTTCTCTCAGTCTCTTATTTACGCCTAGTAGATGGGAAGTTAGTCTGGACAATATACTCAGTGCCTTCCAAATGCATATCATCGCTAATGTTGACGAATAAGGCAACCACATGGAGACACTTGACGACTTATAATGATTCGAAATATTCCTATATACAGCTAGGAAACGTGGTTGGCAAACGCAGGTCAACAGAATGGCAAGCCAATGAAAGTGAGGCACGGTTTGGCCTTTAGAAAACTAAAATAAGACGCCCTACCGAAAGGCCCATCTCTTGATTCCAATGACTTAGAAGACATACTTTTGTGGTGTTAGCTTGATCACAACAGCAACTCGAGGAGACTTACCGGAATGAACAGGTACGGGACCCTCCGCTCATACTCGCGCCAAGCTTCTCCATATCTCTCGCGACAACGTTCAATATCCCGCAGAGCACGATGGATTATCATAACAGTGAAGAAGCACGAGTAGAACCAGGGGAATGGCGAGTTAAAGCCAGTAATAAGGCCCCAGGAGAAAGCGAAAAACCAGTCACAGCTGTAATGGACCTTACGTGCCATTCCATCTACACCTCATCAGCCCTGAATTGCGATACAGAAAAGAACAACTTACACCACCCACTGCACAGGATGGAATCTCCTGTTTTTGTCTTGATGCAGACAGGGTTCTTCACCGATTTCCACGGTAGCTGAGGGAAGGTCTTTCGATTCACAGGCTTTCCTCTCTCCTGAGCTCGGAAGAGGTTCTTCTGGCTGTTGCACGTGTCCCATACCCAGTATGCAAATATATACATCACAAATAGCACGCCCAGTGCTATAGGGTTCCATTTATACGTTGACGGATCATGGCTCGCCAGGTATAGAGTGCAATGGCAATAACTCATAGGAACACCAGCAAGGTTCCAGAAAATGAGCATAAATCCCCACTTTTCATAATACATATCCCTGCGCCAAAATCAGTACTGTTGATTCGTCCACCGCATTGAGGAACTTACCAGCTCGTGATAATCAGTTCCTCCCCTTTAGCACATGCATTCGCATACAGGAAATGCGCCAGAAGCAGGAAGGACACTTCCCCAGAGACGGACCCATAGTCTTCCCACTGCTTCAATGCAGTCCCAAGCGTCAACAGAAACAGAATGTACCAGGGTATGCGAACCTCGAAGAACATCTTCATATCAAGCCACTGGAACAAACGAGGGTTGAGCTCCGCACCCATAAAGAAATCATAAACATGCGATCCCGTCATCCGATGCTGAGCACCTCGCAGCAAGGCAGACATGTACGCGACAACCGAGACCAGAAAGCCAGAGCAGATAGCCACAGACATCAACGGACCGAACTCATCGACGAGCGTACTCAGACGAAAGAGACCGGAAAAGTGGAGTACCAACGCAGCAGCGATGGTAACATACCACGACGCTGCCGCGGAGCAGTAGTAATCCAGCTGCTTTCCATTTAGATGAGGAAGGCATTTTCCCTTTCCGTATACACCGGGCAGGTACAGGTATCCGAGTCCTTCGAGGACAAGGAATGTCCAGTATATTATCCATGCCTTGCGGTGGGGATAGGCATGCGTATGGGCGAGGTCAACGAGGTGGAAGAGGAAATCGGTAATAGACTGGTTTTCTTCGGGTAAGGGGAGGTGGCCGTCGTACAGGGTCGCGCCTATGAACATGTAATACATAAGGAGAGGGAATCCAAGCATCAGCAAGGTAACCCCCGGCGCACCTCCGAACTCGAAGGTCAGTTTCTCATCCTCGTGGGCGTTTGAAGATTTCTCCGGGCTCGGATTCGTGGATTGCTTCATGTTGGGTTGGTGGCTAGGTGGATTTAGTGTTCTGTGCGAGGCGTGTCTAGGTAGGCGTCTGTCTTACCTTGTAGCCGTGCTCATAGCGGACATCCTTCTCCTTGTATGCAAATTGTTAGGTTTTCACAGATCGGGGGACCGCGGACTTTTATCGGTTCACCATTGCTGTTCATGTTGTATACCTTCCTCGTTGCCGTGAAGCCCGCGCCCGCCGTGCTCTCCGCGGACTCCGCGGCGAACCCGGAAACCTCGGGATCGGCTCAATCAGGTCACAATAATCGTAGCGAGGACCCCAATGTCTGGAGAATTACGATTCATTTTAGTCTAACCGAAGTCCTTAATGGGGAAAATTGTCTTAAATAAGATTAGGATGTCTGTGGTGGTGAGAGACCTTTTCCGCTTTCCTGTTAGTGTAAGGGTCAGCTAGACCCGAGCGACCGTGAGGGTGTATTCTAGTAAGTAGTAACTGTGAAAATGAATGGTAAAGGGGGCTTGGAGAAAGATCAATGGGATGAAATCCGGACATCGCGGTAAAACATGTCTTTTAAATCATCTACTTAAGCCAAGTAAGGTTGACTACGTGCCCTGTACTGATGGTGTGCCTTTTACTTCTTTTTATATTCAACCATACTTAGTAGTATGCGGGGGTTCGTCATTCAGTATATTTCGAGGACGGATCGCTTCTATCACCTGGCAGTAGTACCACTGGCTCTTTAACCTATCACTAGTATTAGTCTCCGAGTTTAATCCCCTCATACCAACCTAAATAAAAATAGATTCAAATCACGCAAAACAATGCAGCATTTTCCACTCAACCATTTCCCCTCCTCTCCAGCCCTACCAGGATTCGACAGACACCAGGCTGATGCGCGACTGTCACCCGCGGCGCCAAACCCGCCACCATGATTGGCCCCATCCTCTACCCCGATCATCATCTCTCCTCCAACCACCACTCTTACGCTCATCAACCAAGCTTTTATCAAGGATGCACCAAGAGCTAACCTAACGCGTAAGGCTGCGTGTGACAGAGGTGAACCGGCCTGCATATTCACGCTGCCGTCCTGGCTCTACCCACCGAATCAGCATCCTCCATGAAGCGCTCAGCAGCAACGTCCTCCCTTAGGGAGTGTAGCTCATCACCCCCCGTGCTGAGGATTGATTGTTCTAACGCGCATGCCTGCGTGCCAACCTATGGTAGGGCTGGAGGGTCCAGGCCGTCTTTGCTAGACACAGAGAGATATAAAAGCTTGTGGGGGAAGATCTTGGCTTTCTTGATTTGTTTCTGACTCTGTCCTTTGGCTGCTTGGCTACTACCTGCGTACTACTGGTATCTATCTAGCTTCCAAGAATCTCATACATACTGCCAATAGATTACCTACATACCAATCTTCGACTTCTATCAAATCTCCCATAAAAACAACCTTCACCAGAGAATAGATTCTCACCATCACCCCCTCTCCTCCTTTCTCATTCTAACCCAGACAACGCAAACCTCCCCAACATGAGTATCGGCAAGATCATCGGAAAAATCATCATTATCCCCATTATCATCATCATTGCCATCTGCGTCGGCATCTACCTCCTCATCAAGCACCGTCGCGAACGCAAGCGCGAACGCCGCGAAGATAAGCTCCGCGCCCAGTACTACCGGCAACAGTACCAGCAGCAGTACATGTATCCACATATGCAAATGCAATCACAACAGCAGCAGCAGCAGCAGCAGCCGGGCACACCAGCCCCGCCATACTATAATCAGGCTTATGCTGCGGGACAGCAGCCTGTGGCGATGAATGGAGGAGAGTATGGATATTCTGAGACGATGATGAAGAAGCCGGAGCCGGTGGTGTACCCGGTGCAGCAGCAGCATCCGGGATCGGAGGTGGTCTAGTTAGGATCTAATTGGGATTGATGTGAGTTTGATGTCTTTCGGGATGGGTGTCTTGGTGTATGAATGGGCGTGCTAATGTTCGTTAGGGGCTTATAGGTGTTATACTTGTTTTATGGGCTGTTTGTTGGATATGACTTTGTGACATGATACCTGTATTGTTTTTGTTGAGTATGTTCTGTTGGACGGCTTTGGAAATGGATTTTTTTATGAACCGTTTATGATCATGATGTATGCATGAAATATGATCTGCTTTTTCATATCAATGATCAGATGACATAGCTTTCTCATGCACCTTCCCTGACATGCGGGAACAATGAGCTTTGAGATCCCCAGATCCTTTGTCATTTAAGCGGACTGGTAAGTTTAACGTGAAGAACGATGAGCACATTCGAGAAATGCATAAGCTGACATGCTAAAGAAATTCACTAGCGTAGCTATCGCCAGCCACCTTGAAAACTAAGGAGAATAGTACCGAATACCAGCCATGGAAGATAGGGCGAAAGATGCTAGTTGTCATACTAGTAGCAAATGGCAATGGATTCAGAGGAAGGCTATAGTCAACCAGGTTGAAGAGAGGTACGTACACGCCAACGAGAACAACATGAAGCAAGTAAAAAGAGACATCTGCAATCCCTGGTAACGATGCGTACTGAGTACTTCTTAGTGCTTGGTTAAATAACCGAGGCAGGCAGACAGACAGAAAATAATGCCTTGACCCCGCTCGAGTCCTGACGAGGGGTGGTGGCTAGTGGCCAGCAACTAGATATATGGACGTGCAGCACTCACCAGCCAACTGGAATTCTGACTTCGTCGACAACCTATTCGGCAGGGAGTGCTACTTATTACAACCAGTCATCATGGCTTGCAAGGTTTCAGGAACGGCGTTTATCACCGGAGGTGGAAATGGTAAGTAGTAATTTCAACCTAGCCCGATCGGGAAACCGTGCTAAGCGGCCTCAGGCATTGGCAAGACCACCGCCTTCACGCTTGCCCAGAATGGAATTGAAGCAGTATCTCTCTTGGATGTGAACGAGACACTCCTCCAACGCACTAAAAACGAGCTTGCTACCTCACACCCCAATGTTGCAGTGGAACTTACGGTTGGAGACGTCTCCAAGGAGGCATGCGTGGATGAAGCCGTGCGCCGCACCGTCGAGCGATTCGGTCGCATCGATATCTCGGTTCACTGCGCCGGGATTGTGGGGCAATCGAGCGCGACCCATGAGCTGACGGCAGCAGAATGGCAGAGGGTGATCGATATTAACCAGACCGGGGTGCTGCTCTGCCAAAAGGCCGTGATACGCCAGATGCTGACGCAGGAGTATGTTTCACTGGTCCACTTGAGGGGAAGACGGCCGGCTAAGCGTCTTGCAGATCGCGCGGTTTGCGTCTCGGTCGGGGGACAATCGTGAATATGGCTTCTATGTTCGGGGTAGTGGCTCCGGGGGGTTGGTCAGGACTGTCGGCCTACACAGCTTCCAAGCATGGTAAGTGGATACCTGGGATTGGTAGATGAATGTACCTAGATGGCTAATGGTTGCAGCCGTGGTTGCTTTCTCAAAAATGGTCTGTTGGTCATGATAATCCCCCAGATTGTCAGACTAAACCGGTTTAGGACGCCAAAGCGTACATTCAACAAGAGATACGCATCAACGCTATCTGTCCTGGGTAAGTGCCCCGTAGGTCAGGACAGCATCCGCTAGCTAACGATCCAGATACACGGACACTGATATGATCCGCACATATTGGGATGCGGGATTCCTGGAACCAGACGCACAGCGAGTCGCTATTGGCCGTAGGGCACAACCAGAGGAAATCGCGGACGCAGTCCTGTTTCTGGCCTCCCCGATGAGCAGCTACATGGTGGGCTCTGCCTTGGTCGTGGATGGCGGTTACACGGCTTGAGCGCCTTGAGCACTGAGGCTTCTAGATCTACCTACGTACAGCACTGGGTCAATACCATGGCAGATCGGCCTTCTCAATGGAGGGACCAGAGGGCAATTGAATTCATCAAGCTAAACCAGCATTGCAATTATGTGTATCTACAAATCATCAATCATAGTCGGACATGGACCTCCTGTCCGGCTGAGCTCTGCGGCGCAGGCTCGTAGTCCACATAGTGGAATGCGTTATCCTCAAAGGGTCCATAGAATCGGGTGCGATCATAAGGTGTAAAGGGAATGCCCCTGCGCAGCCTTTCCACCAAGTCTGGGTTGCTCGTGAAGTACCGTCCATAGAGGAGGCCATCGTACTTCCCGGCTTCCAGGACGCCCCAAGAATTGGTCTGATCCCAGCCACCAGCCGAAAAGAAGGGGGTCGAGCCGAAGATCTTGCGGAAGGAGGAGAGGTCGACACTTGGAAGGCCCCAGCTGCGGAGGAAGGCATCCTTTTCTTCGTAACTGTGAATTTGCTCGTAGCGCTGAACACATTAGTAAGTGGGAATCAATCGGTTATGAGACAATGCTTACCGGCTCCACAAAGCTGACGTATGATAGACCGGGGTGCGCCTGTTTCAGCGACTCGCACAGGTAAGTCCAGGTTTCCACGCGCTGTTCACCACGCGCCTGGTTATACAGTCCAAACGGCGTGAGTCGAATAGCCAGATTCTCCTGGCCAACCGTCTGAGCCAATTCGTTCATCAACTCCAGTACGAACCGGCAGCGCTTCTCTGGAGTTCCGCCATATTCGTCCGTCCGTCGGTTGATGTTTGAGCTCAAGAACTGCTCCGGGAGATAGCCATTACCAGAGTGTAGTTCAACGCCATCGAAGCCAATTTCCATGGCAGTCTTGGCGGCTTTACAATAGTCCTGGATGGTTTGCTTGATGTGCGCGACCGTCAATTCAATCGGAGGGTGGTCTGCATAGCGAACCGGTTCCGATGCTCCCACAGCGGGGTGGGTGTAGCGCTCTTCGGGGTCGTCCCAAACGCTGGCGGAGGCTGAAACTGGGGGTAAGCCGGTCATCTGGGGGACGGTAGCACGGCCGGCGTGCCACAGCTGGCAATAGATGTAGCCGCCCTGGGCGTGGACTGTATCGACGACTCGTTTCCATCCGGCGGCCTGCTCTTCCGTGAAGAGACCGGTGACTCCTGGCATTCCATTGCTCTGCTTGCGTGTTAAAGAACAGACGAATGACCCATCGGAGCTGGGATTTGGGGAGTATTTACCTCCAGCGATGGAGGGATGCCTTCCGAGATGATCAACCCGCCTGGAGTTGCCCGTTGACGATAATATTCGACCACTAGATCCCCAGGGTACCAAATCCGATTGGGATTCTCGGGAGTACTGTTTGAGTTCAACGGTTCGCCCCGGTTGCGCGTCAGGGGGGCGTGTACCACCCGGTGGCTCAGAGTGAGCTTGCCATTGGCAATGGCGAGCGGCTGAAAGAGCTTAGAATCCGCTCCTTGGGCCTGGACAATGGTCATTGTGAGGATTCTCGTAAAGGTGCAATTTATGGGAAAGCTACCTGGGAAGGTAAAGACAAACGAGGGAGCCACAAGTGGACAATTAGGGAGGAACTTTCTGGGTTGACACGGGCCGTGGTGCGACAGCAAACCAGCGTTCACCATGAAGGCTACTTCTCACTATTGCTCGCTTCATTGCCTCCTCCCTCTTCTCAGTGGACTGGAACGGAGAGCAGCAGACCCATTGCCAAATGAGGGTGACAGATGGAGCCTGACAGGTTAATGGAACCCAACCAGAGTGTCGAGGACACGAGAAATTGGATGGAGGGACGGGCTGAACCTTGGGAAGTGGAGGTGTATCCACGAAGCCTACACAGAACCACAGATTGCACCCGACTCCAGTTTAGTCATCTGTACCTCGGGTTCCTGTTTCCTCTTGACCCCTTATACACATGCAGCGCGTGGCAAACCGCGTGGGACTCAAGCCTTCTGCAGCCTTGCTGATCGGGCGCAGAAAGGCGTCTTCTAGAAGCCCAGGTGAGTTTCAATAGCAGCCACCTTCGTCAAAGGTAACACAACCTGGGGGCAATTCTTCCTTCACATCACACGGGGGAACAGTGCGAGGTAAATGTGAGCCATCACATTCGCCAGTAAATAATAGGGATGGAAGCCATCCGACGCTCCACTCGAGACACAACAAGCGAAAGTCAAAATTCTTCATGGCGGCGCTTGGCGTTTACGTTAGAGGTTTTAGAGGCTTTAGGGCACACGCTAAACTACGGGTCGGTGTCGCAAGTCGGTCTTCCGGAAGAACAACCCCCGTTAAGGCCAACAATTAGCCGGTCAAGCTTGTGATTCCAGGGATCCATTCTGCCATTGTTGACTGGCTCCATGACAGTTTGCCGGAGCCCGCCGCATCACGGGCTTTTCACAGACGCTGCTTTTAAACCCACCTTCCAGCGTTCTCCTTTATGCCGAATACCCTATTGTGGTTTGGCTCGGACACCGACGATCCCTAATCCCTCAGTCGGAACCTTGGCGGGTTCTTCTGCAGCACCATGACAGATAGTGCGTCGTCGCCACAGCCTATATGCAGCCAGGATCTGGCGCATAGGTAGCGCGAGGAGCTATTGGAACGAGCGCCCGGGGAGGAAGCAATAATCGGGGATGGTTATTACTCCTGATTATCTCCATTGTTCGTTCGAGATATTTCCGACGCCCTGCAGCCATGTCTCCGCGGCTAGCCCGGAGGAGAAGAGGGATTTGACAATCAATTATCCAATAGTAATTATGAAAAAAAATATTGGCATCGCAGAGGGGCGCCCTCTCGAACCCCAGTTTCGGCGTCGAAATGAGACACTCTTAGCTAAGGATCCGCCTACGGGTGTCAACTTTTCTCAACCATGGCTCATGGACGCCGCCGCCGCAACACCACCGAGTGTATTTTACATAGCACGATACATATCTAGACTAGACCAGACCACGATCGCGTGCGACGCCCCAGTGGCAAGCAACCACGACGATCCATGCAAGGTGCATCTTTGCTTCTCCCTGTCCATCATTCCCAAAACAGGTAGACGTTATGACCTCCGGGGCCTATCACGATCGATCCGCTCGGATACTCCATGGTCGCCTTCCAGTCCAACTGCATCGGGGAGGTGCTGTATCCCTCCTTTTAAGGTTTTCCTATCTACACCTGGGCGGGACGATCGTGACCCGGTGCCATTGAAGTCATTTCTCGGATTGTTCTCCCAGTTTCCGACCCAAAGTTGAGGGCCTCCCTAGGCGGCTTTCTGGGCCTATCATAGACGGCGCAGCGCCAGCTTGATCCCGGGCGACGACGCTGTGCGCATGGACAGACCAAGCGCCTGCAATTTGAACCTATTTATAAATGTTTGTGGACTCCCCGCGGTCGTCGGGGTCAGTGTCTTGCTCCATGTTGTTTCTTCCTGTTTGAAGAGGCTGCATTGACCACTGGCACGCCATGACTGTCAGTCATCCCAAGGATGTTTTGAACACCATCAATTTCGTCACACAATGTTTGTGTATTCCGATCATTAGCGTATTCGTTCTCTTGCGTTTCTCCATCCGTATCTACTACAAACAGTTCGTAGGTGTGGAAGACTGTACGTTTGCTTGACTTCTCTCCAAAAAATCCTTGCTAACTTTCCCAGGGTCATGTCTCATAGCATGGGTACGTTGAGACTGCAGATGCCTTCATAGGGCGACTCACTGACTATTGCAGGTTCTGTTCATGGGATACTGTGGCATTGCTATTGCCGGTATGCATCGTTCTTACCTTTCCAGCAGCTCCAACTAACTTGACTCCAGTGGGTCACTATGGCGGGGGTTACCACATCGACGATGTCTCTGAAGCACACCAAGTTCTTTTTCGCAAGGTATGAACGCCCGGCTACCAGAAGGACTTGAAGTCCATCGGCTGATTGAGGATCAAACTAGTTCTGTTACATCGCCACCGTTCTCTACTGCCCCATGGCACTCTTCGTCAAGATCGCACTCCTTTCTATTCTCATTCGCATCTTCAGTCCTTACCGTTCCAAAATCTACTTTATCTACGGCCTCCTCGGCTGTCTCTGCATATACTACATCGTTGCCGAGGTCGTTAAGATCCGCATGTGCGACCCGGTTCCGGGATACTGGACGCTCGATCCAAAGGCACGCTGTCTCAATCAACGGGCCGCCCTGATTGCCGACTCTGTCATCAGTGTGGTGACCGATTTTATTATCCTGATTTTACCTCTGCCACTCACCTGGTCGCTTCAGATGTCGCGGAGCAAGAAGTTGCGGGTCATCGGCATGCTGTCGGCGGGTGGTCTGGCCACAGCCTTCAGTTTGTACCGGCTGGTTCTGGTCTTGCGTGATGGTAGCTCCAGGGATCAGACCATTGTCTTTATGATCGTTATTCTCTCAGGGTAAGTCATTATTCTAGAATAATCGATGCTGCAGACTAACACCAAACTAGAAACGCCGAAGGAGGCGTGGCCATGATTTGCGCTTGTCTCCCCACGATCAACATCCTCGTCAATAAGCTCCGCAAGAAGGAGTACAGTTCTCAACGTTATTACGAACCAGAGTCCTCCGTCAACCTTAGCAAGCTCAAGGGAAGCAACAAGCGATTTTCATTCGGTAACTCCCGCCGCGCCGATGGCACCGAGTCCGCCTCCGACCAGTCACATCTGATTACATTTGCAGGGACGGTCGACATGGCAGGTAATGAGGCTGGAGGCATTCACAAGACGGTGGATGTGTCACAAACGATAGAGATGGTGGCCGATGGTGAAAGTCATGAAAGCCACCATCACGGCAGTTTTCACTAATGATTGTATACCCTGGGTGGGCGGCTTTGTGATTTATGGCGGTATGGTGTTCGGTTAATGACTTCGTCCGAACTATGGTTTAGCGATAGACTACACTCTTTAATATTTCCTTTTCTGATGGATTCTATTTATGTATGATTTGGTCAACTGGCATAGGAATGCTTTCACCTTCACAGCCAACAATGAAACAATGGCCAAGACACGCCTTTCCACGAATCTAGGAAGCCTAACTATTAATCTTGCTAGTGCACACCGACTTGACTAATTCACCCCTGAACCCTCCCATTCAACTCCGCCAAGACGCCAATTCAAGCCCAACCCTCATTCAACCCCAGATAATGAACATCTTGTCGCTATATTGAATACTTCAACTAATTCACCCCAGGAATAACAGACCTCTATATAAATCCGACCTTCCTCCCATCCCATCCCATCCTGTCCCTCTTCCCCATCCATCTTCATGATCTATATATACCTACTACGCCGGACATAATCCGAGCTCGGCAGAGAGAAATGCATATCCTGACCATCAAATATAGCCTCCATGGGCAGAGGGATATCTGCTCCTCGTCGAGGCGGATGTGGTAGTGGTAGTGGTAGATCTGGGAAGCGGGAAGTCGCTGTTCTCTGCTATAACATGCCTGCATGCTAGTGAGTTGATCAAGTACATCATGTCATTCATGGTATGCTGAGAAATGCTAACAGAAAGTACGATATAGATATATACCACAGCGCGGATGTTTCCGTAATCACGAATGTTGTCTATAGCACCACACCGCGAACTACAGAGCACTTTACGCACATTGTGGTGTGGCAAGCCAGAAAGAATCGCACTACTAGACTTTGGAAGCTGTCAAATGCCATGCTTGTCGCGGCTATTACCGTTCAGATACTCCTTCTCGCTCGAAGATAGCAGACAACAAATGTCTTCGACACAAGCATATACCACGCAGCTGAATATCTCCAATGGAGCTCTGTCAAAGAAAGCATGCTCTAATTTCAATCCAGCCAACAGTCGAAGAATATATACACATCGCAAATGAAAAGGAATGGTTACCAATTCACCGACGAAGATGAGGCATGCAAGAGTTTGCCGAGCTATAAGAACCATGATGAAATTCCGGCATCCTGTGTCTGTGGCTCGGGTTACTGAGTACTGCTAGTACTTACGTGCAACTGGGAGTTCAACGCACATGGACCCTTGTACGGAAGAAGCTAATATTATATATATATTATGCTTTGGACAGAAACTGTTGCTTTCGGTCAAAATGAATCGTTTATCGTCCATCAGAACGATGTACCCACGGGACGGTGATACCCCCGAGACTCACTGACCATGAGATAACACCTTCACAGCAAAATCTGGCACGATGCAACAAGACTATACACATGGCCAAATCGAAACGTCACAAAAGAAGTTTGGGTACCTATCAACTTATTCTGTGGAGTGTCAATGATATCCGTAACCGGGTGTCTGGTTGCAGATGTCGAGATGTATAATGAGAGAATGCTTGGACATATGGAAGGAGAAATCAACCCAGAGTCGATAACTTCCTTCATCGGGCTTGCAGTACTAGTTCATATAGTTGGGCTAGGTTGGTTCGATATGAGCTCAATTTATGCTTCAGAAACTTTACTACCATGTGGGTGGAAGAGCTACGCAGTTCTTGTGGTTTTTGAAAGACCACCAGATAATCCACCGTCGTTTCCTGTGATCAATCATATACTTCGAGACAAATCGTCGTTATATATAACAGCTCGGGCAAAAGTCATACAACCTGCTTCAACTATTGCGGTCTGCCAGGTGTGTGGGGAATGTGGTCTAGTGGGTTCTGCTATCTCCTGTCCCAATGAAAGTTTGACCTACACTTGGCTGAGAATGTCAATGTACATCCAGAGGCAGTACTGCCCATCTGAAAAGGCTACATTTACGATTGTGGTTTAGTTCTGGAACCAGGGAAAACCATGGTGAGATACTTCTTCTACGTGATAACTACGAACTGCCGGTTTCAGGAATCAGGGCTCAGGTTCTCGGCGTAAAAATGCAAACCTATACGCTGAAATCATATTGTCATAGTGACGGCCAGTGCCAGATGCGCAGGTAAATGGAGGACAACAAGAATAAAATAACTGGCGATTGTTATAGAATGACCCACCCTGGTCTGACACACCTGGGTTCAACTTCGCATAACGGTGGTCATGTATAACTCTTTGGATGCCACCTACTATATCTACTCTCCACCAGGAGTAGTTCCGGTGGCTGCATCTTACCCAGGCTGAAATGATATCCTATACAGCTGGAATCGGGAAATTTCGAGACGTGACTGGCTCCCGTTGATGACGTATACTGAAGGGGAAATTAATATTTTGCTACATGCCATGAGACACAGCATACAGCAAGCACATCTTATCGTCGCGCGGCCAGTTGAAAACCGTCGAGGACAGGTGAACAATTTCACTTACGACTGGGCGACACAATTCCGGAAAGCGTCATACAGAGTCCGTGGACACTCACCTCCTCTTATACTTCCTGCAAGAGATAAACAGCTTTATAAGTTACAAGCTGCATCGACACCCACTCTTGAGTCGATTGCTCATCATTATCAATTACCAGCTTCTCAACATAGAGCAAAATCAGGATATACATCATCTACCTATTCATCTTGGTCATGGGTCCCTTATAAACGCAATTCACAAGCATAACCTTAGCCTTAGCCAAGGCTCTCTCACGGGATATTCGAAAACACTCGAACATGATATCAACACATAATGCCACTTCCCAGCTCCACAGACGCGAAGATCTGGTCCGCTGATTGGCCCTGTTACATCATTCTATGCGAAGATAGCGATCATGCTAAGCTTTCTCCATAAACCACCATGTGTTACCAACACAAGCATTAATTTTCTCTAACAAACAGGGCACTCTAATCTTATGTTTTTAGTGATGGCCTCGACCGGCCGTTGAACAAGAGCACTGGCATTGCATGATGAAGAAATAAAAGCAGACCCATCTTGTTAATAGATATCAATATTAACTAAGTTTATAGATCATCGATGCCTTGAAGGATGCCGGCTTGATCATCCCAAAGAGGGTTCTACCCCCGACAAGAGAACTTACAGAAGGTCAGAGGCTACGAAAGAAAAAGTTATGGAAAGCACTGGCAAGATTGCAAGTATTAGAATATGACCATCAAGAAGCCTGTCGGACCAAGACTGAAACGTGGGATAATACCAGACAGGTATTAATAAACATATCAAAACTCCACGATACAGAACGACAGAAAAATAATATACCTGATGAAGAATTAACCAAAAAGCATGGCGCTAAGAATAAGGCTGTCGTCTCCGAGCTCAAAGATTTTATATAAAAGACTGATACCGCCTTTTACATGATAGCTGGTTTCATGGGACTATATTCGTGAATCAGATGATCCAATGCAGAATTAGTACTCAATGTCCCACGGGCATCTTCTTCTTTAAGAGAGAGGTCTCAAACACAACATATTCACCCGTTTTACTGCATGTATTTCGTTATCAGACACATATCCGACGGCTACTAACAAGGGGTTTATCCAGAAGGGCCAGGAGGCGCCGCTTCACCGCATATGTGATGTGGAATACCTTCCCATACATTACCGAGCATGCCGATGTCATGTATAACACCATTGTCTATCAGCGTGAAGAGGCAGCTGCGCTGGCAATGAACAATCCCAAATGGTAAATCTACCAAAAGGAAGATAACCTCGGCAGAAAGGAACTATATCGATCTTTCTTGAGCGGTGCCTGGAAATGCTGATTGCTGTCATCGAACCGTCGTTGGCTCCACTGCGTAGAGCAGAATTCTCATGCTATGCATGTGCGGCATCGTCAACTACATCTTGTCGTGCATGCTTGTGCGTTGCTTGGTTGGGTAGTTGGTCTTCGCGGAGTGACTTGTTCAAGTGGAACAGTCTTCTTGACCACAAATGAGACATCAAGCATGACATATCGTGCATATTATTGGCAGATCTCCCAAAAAGGAAGAAGAGGATCATGGAGGACGACCTTGAAGGTGTTTCGGCTATGATCATATGAAACCTATTGTGATGGCAAAGGAAAAGCATAAGTCTAGTAACCAACCCGAAAGACCATCGAAAGCTGGAACGACGCAAGAAAAACAGCGAGAATGCCACAAGAAATGACGTAGTCAAGGATCGAACCAAATAAATGCTAACTACAGGGTTACGCAAAGACATCCTAGCTGACAGCCTAATGCTGCGGTGAAGAAACAAAAACCTCCCTGTGCGACTCCGAAGACAGCTTAGCATTTCCATTCTGTCCGTGGACATTGAGAACATCACAGTACGCAAACAAAATCTACACGAAAAGTTACATGTCTATCGCATCATTGGCATAGAAAAAACCGAATATGGTGTCTCTTCCAGCCGAATATCGCTATATGAGGGCATGCGCCGGCGTTCTTCTCTCCCCTCGAAGGCTGGGATATATTATCCTGACATTCCAGAAGGCGAAAGTCGACCTTCCAGTGATACCAGCTTTAGTGCGGCGGTATTCTATTCACTTATTGCTCTTAATCATGAACCAAACCACTGCATGCTCAGCATGTGGTTGGATTGCCTGTTGCCGGTATATGCCCTTAGTCGTTGAGCAAGGTACTCTTTATGTCACGTTCTACAATGCACGCACTTCTCGACTGAGTATCACTCCTCTGGAAAAATGATGAATTGGTGTATGTACACTTTCGAGTTCAACTTTGACCCGGATGCGACCAGAAAGGGAACCCTCCCAGAACTAGGCAAGAACCTATTTCCATCGATGAAGCTGCTCAATAAGGTATTTTATTTCCATAAAGATCCAGGGAAAACAAAAGGCCTGGATTACTCAGCCTTGCAGCGCTTTCTCTTTACTAGGGGAAATGAGTATATCTTGGAGGGTGCACGGCGACCATTGATCTGACCAGGAAGCAAGTAGCCTTTCAGCAAATTTGAACTGAGGGTTTGCCAGTGACAGCTTATTATGAGAAGAGTTGAGAAGACAGTGTGATACTCATACACTTTCTGGAGAGGTCCATGGTCAATGCTGAGAATTTGCTCTCGAACGAGGGGATTTCTCAAGGCCGGAACATTAGTGATGGAGATATGGACGCAGCGGTATGGGCACTCAAGAGTGTCCTCCATACTAGGAACAGATGTGGAATCTTTAATAGACGAGACGTGAGGTGTACCGATACCATGCTACAAACAGAGAGCTAGATCTGAACGGCGGTCTTTAATATAATCCTTTTCACTATAGATAAAATGAGGATTGAACAACGGTCTCTCCGAGAATGGGTGTTACCTATTATTTCATACTTCTGCCTTGACATCCACCTCGAGAAACGAGGTATAAATTATGCTGCATCTCGGCAAGGCAAATGATGGGCTATGCATGGATGTGCTCATTGTCATCCTGCTTGGAGTGTCAATGAAGATGAATTTGACTTTTCTTGTCTACTTTTCAGCTTGGGGAGTATGGTCTGGTCGCACATTAGCAGCATTCGAGGATAGAGCAGACTGGAATAACGAGGACGGTAGTCCGGGAATAATTGAAGGTGTCTGAAGGTATAGTTCGACTTATTGTGGTGAAGGATGGTGCATCAAGGAAGAAGATCAATACGTTGGCTGATATCATGACTTTCTACATTTGAATGGGGGGTTAGTTCACGAGGCGGATAGTTTGTCAGACAGTATGATGAGATAGTAGAAAGAAGATATGAACATACGCAATGATAGTAATGATTTCTCTCGATTAAGTCTTCAATGTCCTCGAGGTCTTTCGGTCAAATGGATCAACTATCCTTCCCTCCATCAACCTCCGTGTGTTGATTAGCTCCCGAGACAGGAATACTCCCGTTATCCCTTCCCCAGCTGTAACATGTAGCCCTGCCGTCCTAGACTCTCCACTTGCAGAATGTGAGTAACCAAGTGGCGAAAGACCAGACACCCACTCACAGAGAATGGCATGTCGCACGATAACAAATAGAGAGATACCCACAGACTTCACCACACCCCTAGCTAGACACGGCACGTATCTGCTACCTGTCCACCACACCTCTTCCCTCCCTGTCAATCACATCCTCTTGGAGCAAAGGATTATAGAAGCTTTCTGGGCAGACATGCAGCGGATATCGGAGGGTAAGGATTCGCCATAGAGGCAACAATCGGCGAATGTTGTGATGCATCTCCACAGTGAACGGGTGAATGGGATCGATTTACCACACCAGGCAGATGTAGCCTTACTATCGTATATCCCGCCCTGCGGCTAGCAGAGATATAATAATTGACCAGTAATAACGATGTTCAACAATTTCTACTTCAGGTAAGTAATCGCAGGTGCAGATATACCACTACCTACTATGACTATCAATATAGCCTCACCTGTACGACAAATAAGAGTCCACAATGGAGACAGTACTGAAGCCGTTACGCTAGATGCAACGTACATAGGTAACCACCTCCACTGAAAACAACATCTTGATCAGCAATTAGGACTGGAGAGGCTAATACCTGACCCTCCAAGGCATCCACACGGTAACCTAAACGCGGAATATCCCCGGACTCTCTAGTAATCCAGTAGTCAACAGATTATGTGAAGCAGACCATATCCTTCCGATTCCGACTCCGTTGTCGCTCCGGAGTCTTAGTCTAGTGGCGTTATTTGTTTGCTATATTGAAGAAAACGTCAAAAGTGTAAATAATTGGGTGTGATATAGTAGGGGGGGATTGCGTACTTCGTGTTTGAATCACTGACTCATTGCATGACTGGGTGGATTTGACTTGCCCTCGGGAGAAGTTGGAGCCGACAGGATTCATATCCTGGGCTCGTTAGGGGAATATCGGATCCTCTCTGTGCTTTTGCTGGAATGGACCGGGGGTGGGGGCGTTGTGGTGATGGTTGGGGGTATTATTAGGAGTTATGCAGGACTTTTGTCGTTGCTGAAGACGGAGAGGGGGCTGTTATCTCTGGTCCTGGGTGATTAGATTGTTTGAATGATGATGTGGTTGGGGAGGGAGGACTATACGGATGTTGTTGTCTGTGTGTTAGGGTCATGTCTGTAGGCAAGCCACCATACAGCAGTCAAGGATGTAATTACAAGCAGCAGTAGCAGCAGCAAAAGCAAAAGGAATGAAACAGGGTCCTACCACATGAAGATCAACAATCGCTATTCCCTTTAACGTAGCCCGCCGGCTTAATCTACCTCATGAGAGACACTCAAACCTTATTCATCTTACTCCTTCATCCTCTTACTCATGATAAACAATGGAATTATCTAACAATAATCAGCAAGACACATGAGGACCCTTACGCTACTTCGTACTTTGTACTTTATTTTTCCTTGTTATTCTTACCTTCCGTGTGGGCCAGGTTTCAGCAGAATGTGCAAAGTAGGCGGATCATGCTATACACAAAATGAATCCTAATTTCCTCCGATGATTCTCCCCTCTCGCTATTTTTCACTTCTTCAGAGAATGTCTCACTCCTTCCGGCCCGCTCCTTGCCGGTCACCTTACCGGCTTGGCTTAGCACGCGGCTGATTCTATCCTCGTCGACGTGCCAGCCTCCTTCCACATTACAGGCCGAGGCATCTATTCCGTAAGTAGTCAGTTAATGAAGCGGATTATACCCTAGGAAAGACAATGGCATGTCAATAGCAGAGCTATTAATCCCCAAGGGGATCTAGTAAAAGTATCCATTAACCTCCCTACCTAGTATTAATTAGTAACAAGTTTGTAACGAGGATGATGAATGCCTAGCTCCGCGGACCTTGTCAGTGTGCTAGTTATTTTTCTCGGCATATAAGCAGCATCTGATAGATAACATCCAGATGCGGGATTTATTTATTAGATGCATGCAGACCGATGATGGGTAATTAATTTGATAAGATGGGTGCAGAAAACTCGGCGAGATAGTGATAAATGAGAATGCAATGCAATGGCACACTGTGAATGCTGCAGAAAAGAAAGTTCACCAAGACGGAGAAATTATATCCACCCTCCTAGTAGTAGTACTACTACCCACGGTGCAAGTTGGTAGGTAGGACTAATCACTAGTAGCATGTAACTGGCACTGCATAATCCTCCGTCCGCGTGGATCTCCCTTTTCCACTGCAGAAGAGCTTGGCATCAGCGATCATTGTTTCATCGGCAATGATCGTTCCCGGTTCAGGGAGGGTTCATTGCATTTCAGTTCGGTTGGATCGGTTGGGCTGGGAATCATCCAACCGTCTTTTCTAACGCGGATATGATCATCATCAATATCGTCAGCATCATCTGGTTAACCACCGGAGCCCCGAGGATTCCGAACCCGAACCAGATAGGTAGGAGTGATGCTGGGCAGAGAGTTGATTAGCTAGTTAGGTAGCTGCCTGCAAGCACACACACAGAGAGAGAGAGAGGGCGCGAGTAGTGACGAGAACTGGATCCTACTTGCTGTTAGTGCTAGTATCACCCCCACCCCACTTCGCCGAGACCCAGCTGCATAAACAGGAAGTAGTATCTCACCAAGTACTGAAATAGTGAAGATAATATAGATTAAGCCAAGTGTAGTCAGTGCCTAAGGGGCAAAACAGGCCCTCCCCTCCCTCTCTGTCTCCTCTCCTGCCAACCTCTTGGCATCAGCATTCAAAAGAGGGATACATACGTATACCCCTGCTCCACTCTTAACTTAGCGATCTTATAGTAATCCGCTACTTACCTAGTAGCCGGACTATGCCCAGACCATCTCCTCTTCACCAAGACCTCTCCCAAGACTTTCCTCTCTGTAACCCAAGAACAGCACCCAGCACGCCCGCACACCATCAAACAATGGTCATTCAGCGTATAGCCAAGTACTCGGCACAGGAGACGAGAGGCGGGGGAAAAGGTCGGGGTGTTCATCGGCAAACTCGCAGCCAAGCGCAGCATATTCCCTTCCTGGGAGAGAAAAACACGGAGGGGGCCGGATTCGCCTTCGCTTTGCTTCGTTTCCTTTCTTGGTCGGGATAAAACACAGAAGGAGGAGGGCAAGTTAGATTGACCTGCAGGACTTGGCGGCGCTTATCGAGATTAGGTTTCATCCTTTTTACCCCTCTTCTGGCTTGGATTGTTGTCTTCTGTTATCCTTTATTTTTTTTGCGCGGCGGATGCTTTGCTTTAGTTGAGTATGGAATGGGTGTATGCGTATCAGTGGGGGTGGTGGAAATAACCACCCCAAAGACAAGACCATCACAAGACTTGTCGCGATGGTGTACACCAAATAAGTGGCACCTTGCGATGAAAAAGAAAATAATAAATAGCATACAGTGGGATAGCACCCCCCACTCCTATCCTCATCACCAGCAACTAACTAGTTAGTATGAAAACAACGACTAGTAGTAGATAGATAGCATAGCACTACTTACTACTACTACTACTTCGGCGAGACCAATCCACCACCCAGGAGATGTTAACCAACTCGTCCTAGTCCGTCGACGCTACTGCATCGCCTGCAGACAAACGATTGGCCCTGAACCTCGGAGGAGATAGCTGCGATCGACACGAGAGGTACAAAAAGACCCCCAAGTAAATCCCACGGGTGGATGCCGGACCCCCGCCGGAGGTTACCATCCGCGGGAAAGCTAGTTAGCTGGTCAGAATTAAGCTGCACTAACTATCTAGGTGCTAGGTACCGTATCCGCTCGCTGAACCTGTCCTTCCCTAACCTGCCTGGACCCTGTTCGCCGTCCGGTCGCGATTCCTCCTGCTCCTGCTTGTCGGCCTGCCTGCCTGACGGCCTGCATGTTCGTCGTGAGTCGAGGCCTCGGCATCGCCGTGTGTCCGGGTTTTGGCGTCTCAGCCAGCCAAGCCCAGCCCCAAGGTCCAGTCCTCCCTCGTACATGCGCCCGGCAGCAGCCCTGGTTGTTTTCTTTTTTTCCCCTTCTTCTTCTTCTTTTTTTTTGTTTGCTGATTTCATTCTTTTCCTCTTTGATACGTGCAGGTTGGCACAGGCTTGGTTGTTGCCGTTAGCTAGCTAGCTTCAAAACCCGGTGGCGGCTAAAGACGTGATGGGATCTATCAATGTCGAGATCCCCCACGGAATTGGGTTCCGATTTCGGGGTCATTTCCACGACAAAACGGAAAGAACAATGAGCATCATAATAATAAGAATAAAGCCTCGCACAATCCAAATCTAGTCTACCTCTCTAGCGGGCACACAGAACTATACATCCCACGATGATCGTAGTCTTCGCGAGAAAAACAGGGTATTTAGAAACAGGAAATCATGCCAAAAAGAAATATTCAACCATGACGATCATAATCGCCCTATCACCGGGCCCACCGGTCCACCTCAGCCATATGAAGCTCCATTGAGCTTGGCACACGCCAGAATCATGCGTGTGATGGGAAGCAATAACGTAACACTTACACTGCCAACCTCTTCCAATACCAACAATTGTTGAAGGGTCCGCAGGGCTGGCAGCATGCTGCCATCTACCCCCCGCGCCCACGACCGCTGCGTCTGTGCGCGGGCTATCATCCACTCCCCCTCGCTGCGTGCTCGCCACATTTCCTCCGGCGCCGGCAACGGCAGCTGAAGAAGGATCGCGCTATCTAGCGGGTCAATGTTGATCCCGTTGTAACGGCGGGCCCGTCCTGCTAATGTGCGAATTATATTGGCGAAGAAAATGTTACGTCGCAGGGATTCGGCGAATTTCCATCGCCGCCAATCCGTTTCATCTTCATGGGGGGTACGAAGAATGTCCTCGTGAAGTTTGTAGACCCGCTGCGTCATCTAAGCCCGCTCAGGTCAGCTCAGAACGGAGGGTGGGGCGTAGGGCAATCGGAGTGGGGGGTACATACCCTCAAGAGAATGTCAACAGGGGTCTCAGTGTGTCCTTGGTCCCCTGTAAGGCTTGGGAGCTTGCTGAAGCCGGTGGTGGCGAAGTTATCGCTGAAAAGGCTCAAGATCTGTTGAACACAGACCGCATGAAGCGCTACTACGCAGCCTTCTGCCGCTGCAAGGCGCTCCCCATTGTGCATTGACAGGTCAAATGTATCGCAAGTCTCCAGATAACTAGCATATGATGATATCGAACTCAGAGTGGTGCTGAGTGGCTGGCCCATCGATTGCATCGCATACCCCTGTAGCTCATGATGTAGGAAGGGCGAGTAGAACTGTCTCTGCAGAGCCAGCCCAGGGTACTCGCGTAGCAGACTGAACAGCTCTTGGTAGAGGTCACCAACGTCACCTGGGCTATGATGACTTGTCTTGGGCAGGAAGCTTTGGCCGAACCCTGATCCGGTCCGACTATGTGTATGCGTGCTGAACCGCCAAGTTTCGTTTTCTTCGTCGTTGGACGCCACATCGGGCCAGATTTTATCGAAATATCCAGGAGATACCGACGACATATTCAGTCCGCCTCCCATGGCATAAGAGTCACCCGGGAGAGTAGCCGGGGTAGGAGGGACCATGGTCACTGGAGAGGACCTCATCGTCGGTGGCATATACATGGCGTGCGAACAACTGTCAAGCGACCCGGGAAAGAACTCCTCCAGCCCGAACGTTTCAGACTGTTCGTGGAGATCGTCTTGCCATGGCGGAGAATTCATCAACGAGACATCTTGCATTGGAAGCATAGTACTCTCGTTAACGGTGTGGAACGCAAGTTCGGCATTCGTTGGCGTTTCGGGACTCCAGGAGGAGCCCGAGATATCGTGTAGTTCATCCGCAGTAGACGGTGTGTCGAACGTATATGTTGGAAGAGCCCATGTCGTGCCACCAGGTATTATACCAGCACAGATCGGAACAGAGTGAATGACACCGGCAGACGAAGCGATATTATCCTGGGGATCATCAAGACTGGGAGTTTGAACAGGAACAGAAGACTGCGGATATACGCAAGGCCGTCGGCTTTGAAGACACCGACTACAGGAGGGCCGGGTCATAGAACAGCGCAGCTTCTTTTGCGCACAGGCGTCGCAGGATTTGCGCTTGGACTGGCGTTCCTGGCCAATGTTCTTAATACAACGGCGACGGTGCCGGTCCCGCAGATCACCTATTATCTGGTTAACCACAAGTCTGTGCATAAGTGGTCGTGTCTCTGAGTATGATCAAGGGACTCAGGAGAAATTGTGTCAACATTGGGCGATCATAAGAAAGGGCAGCCTACGTCGACTATATGTCTTGTTGCAGATTCCGCATCGGTATTCCCCTTCCGCAGTGGGTTGCGATGGGGGAGGCGGCAGATGAAGGCAGTTGCTCTGGGAATGGCCATTCCGAGTGCCTGACTTCTTGACTTCTGTCCCTGCGATGCTATCCCTCTTCGGTGAGGCCTCAGACACATTATGTGTCTGGTCACTCAGCGTAATGGTCATAGCGGGCATAGCTTAGTAGCCGCACTCAGTTAAGGCAGACAGCTAGGTTGTTTGGAGATGATCCAGAGAAGAAGTAAAGAGAAAGTAACGAGTCGCGTCCGGGAGGAAGGTGGATGAGATATAAATTTGTCAACGCAGTATGAATCTTAGGACCAGAGAAGAGGGAAAGGCACCGAGGGGACGCCGTCGATAAGTACAACCTCCGGGCTACCCATCTCGGATCCGGGGCGATTGTTGAGGGGAAGCAACAGGCTAGATTAGTCAAGGCTCGCCCAAGCTGCCCTAAAGACCGATCGGGAAGCAAATGGAAGGATTCTGATCCTTTTTTTCGTACATCTGACCCGACTCGAGGGGGATGAATATCCCCCGTTCGGCCTGCAGACTGCGGAACCCCCCCGAAACCGTAGCTTGTAGCTTAGTCTGCGTTATATTAGCATGGGGTGTATTTAATAAGATTCACCCGACCTAACGAAGGTCACCCTAGTTCCTGCTGAGATAATTGCTCGACGAATGGGGGATGTATGGCCGCCTGCATGGGTTAATCTGAAGTTGCCCTGCATCCCTGATATTTTTCAGCCCGTGGAGGCTGCTCCACCAACCACGGAGCGCGTGCCTCCCCCTCGGCTCCATAGTCCCTCGATAGGATGAATGTCTTGGATTCGATCTCCCGTTTGAAAATCCAGAACGCAACGCCACGCCAGGCGGCGATCGTCCAAGTCCAAGCCATCCGCGTTAGGCAAGATAAATAAAATATAATCCGGCCATACATGAGACCGCAATGGTCGCCAGCTAGTCCGGATTGATCATCACAATGCAGCGGAAGGTTTTTTTTTTCTACTATTCGGATGTAACCGCAGAAAGCCACACGTCCTTTTTTCCAGTGGGCATAATTCCACGGCCACCAACCTTGATTGCCATTCCGCTTATTAACGGGCTTAGCGCTCCCACCCGGATCCCATCTGCTGTCTGTCTGACGGTTGGCATGTCCGCCATCCCGTATACCTCGCCACACTCTAATTTTCTAGGCATCTGTTAGGCCGACCATCGTTTCACACATGTCTTTGGTCAGCTCAGCGTATCAGTAGGCCCCCTCTATGCATAATATTGGCACTGCAAGAGGGGGAGGACCGTCTAGCACGTTGGCAGCGGAATGGCCCGCATGTTAGCGCTGTCGCAGGATGTCAACGCTAGTCGTAGGAAACGCTTCTCCCCCACCCGCCCACTCAGACATTCTGCAATTATGAATCCAGACTCCACGGTCCATCAATTCCTGAAGGAAACGTGGTTCCTGGGGCCGGTTAATTCACGCGAGTATCGCTTGTGCCACAGTGGACCGGGGCCTGCTGGAAATAGATTCTGAGTCGACGGTGCGGATATTGCGCGATGCTTCCGTCTAGGTCAGACCCGATTCCAGCGTCATCCACAGATACGAGGTAGATCCTGAACCATTAAATACGAATTAGCCAATTTCCTGATTTGATCACGTATCCTCCCGGGGTCTTTGATGTTATCCGTGGAGTGGCTTGTCAACTGCTATCTCTCCCCCCATCGCAATAGCAGGAACAGGTGCATCGGACTTGTGCGAATATGTACTAGTTTTCTGGTTGGCGGGCGCGTCTGCAGATATATTGTAGGACTGGGGTCTCATGGAAGATAAAGGAAAAGGGAGACTTGCCAGCCGATAAGGGGATGGGGATGGGGATGGGGATGGGATGGGGAAATGCAACGCACTCCGCTGAGCCCCGAGACGCATTGGCCAGCATAGGCCACAGGAGGCCGCCAGCCTAAAGTGCCAACACCCATCCGTTCTGGGACCCCGGCGGAGTCTCCACGCGTTAAACTACTGTACAACCTCCGTAACTTGGGTTAGCGGCGGCCAACTCCCGATATTCGTACCAGGAGCCTCAGGAGAATATTATCACGAGTCATGTACACCGTCAGCTAAATGTTCGGGAACCCGGCAGCGAAAAAATAGGATATGACGCTCATACACGCGACGTCGATCTTCAGACTCGATTTGGTTAGTGGATTGCCAGCTGATTGTGATTCTGGGGGCCAAAGCTAGACTCAAGAGTCGGAGGGTGATACGAGATTCCGTATGATAAGCTGACACGCCATGTGGTAGCGGGTCGGGAAAGGAGAGGGAAAACAGGAATGTTCATGAGTGGAGTGAGATACTGTGTATAGTAAAGCTGGAAATGCTACCACATTGGGAAATGAAGGTAACGCTAGAAGAACTGAATGTGGGAGAAGTGGAAGTGCAGGGGATGGGATTGGCTCCGATGGAATGTAAGAGGATGTAGTGATTGTAGTAGTGCGAAGTTGGAAGTTGGAAAGCCCCTCGGAAGTCACTACTAGGACTAGGAGGAGTACTTAGTAGTAGTAAGTACACCCACTCCCTACAACTCCCTACAGAGAGATCATCTAATCACGCCCATTGGCTGCTGCAAACCAGCCAAACGCCTCGACCTCCTGCAACTTGCTGAAGATGCTGCCACACCTGCAAGCCTTCATTTCGACTTGCATGTGAGGCACACAGGATGGAAGGAATCGAAGCCCGTCGAATCCATTTATTATGATTTCAGTGGCCGTTAGACTAGATTACCCAATTCTCTATTCCAGGTTTAGATCCCTTTGTGATGCCTTCCATACCTACACATACAACCTCTGTCGATCGTTCCGTTTCCGACTTCTCGAACTTTAGCTGATCTTTCACTTGTGTGTTATAGGGCGTCCATGCCACCGACCTCTCAGCCTTATGGTTTGATTTCCTAGAAGCCAAATTCGAACACCCGAGAACGTTATCTGTTCACTAAGGATTTACGAAGAATGGAAAAACAACAATAGGATGACATGTACTGCTTGCGAAACCAAAATTATGCGTGTCATGCAGTAGCACAGTCGTAGTGCCGCATGCACTTATCCGCCAGCAGATTGTTATCAGTTAAGATGGCGACTTCTGATCTTTCGGAGACCATAAATCCTCCAATATGCTTGGAATATTTTCTACCGAGCCATCAAGATCAATGACGCTTTTACAGCCTTCAGTAGTACAAAAACATATACATCGTGGGTGTCTCGCGTGGGTGCAGGGAGGGGATCTAGAGTCCCTAGAATTGAAGAACTGAAAGCATATGCGATCATCTCTTTATCATGAGACGCCACGGAGGTTGATCTCTGCAGGTGTCTGGTGCTCGGCTTACCCGAGCGTTCTGAAGGGGAGTGGAGCAGGCATGCCCAGAAGAAGGTTCATGCGACCACAAAGCACTCATCTGCTATCTTTCTGCAACACAGATATTCTCACAGGAGATGTATTATCATTCGTGGTTATCAGCTGGATCCTATTAACACATGCACAAGCCATTTCTGGTTATCACCCTGCTGTAAGTGGCCCCCCAGGAAGCATGCCTCAGGAAGACAGCAACACAAAGTCTCTGTAACCGGGTCTCGGAGCAATCCTACCGCTTGATTTACTCGTTCTGGACAAGTGAGGGATAGCGTTGACTCGTTTCATTTAGTGACGTTTCTCCTACACTTTCCTCTGGGCCCTCACCGGCCCGGGAGCCACCAAACGGGCTAATCTTACTATACTTTCTCTTTTAAGGATCTTACTTTGAGCGTGACAAAAGGGAGTAGTGTCAGAGGTACATAATAGCTTTGTTGATCATCGAAGTAAAATACCCGTCTCTGGGTTAAGGCGCCGGCTAACTACTAATGGTTTCTGTATACTTCCACAACAGGAGACTGGGCGCCTGAGTCGTATCTTACCTAAGTGAAGATCATATAGTCATACGAAAACACCCTTCCTTTTGCCAGATTGATAGTGTTAGTTTTCCCACTGACCTGACAGGACTGGAACAGCAGAAGTATCCAGACACTGCTCAGCCATCTGCAAGGATTACCCGCCGGGTGGCTACAAAATGAAAGAACGGAGCGAGACTAACATCCGGCTTACAGATGATCCTTTCATCAAGACAGCCATCCAAATCGAGTTGGCATTGTCTTCTCTGTCAAACTCGTCAACCTTGTTGCAAATTACGGCACCGTGTTTCCCCCTAATCGAGACCCACCGGCTAAAATATGACCACAGGAGCGTTAGCCAGTCATCCCGAGCCAAAAAAGTTGGTGGCGTTTTGGCAAACATCCCAGGCATGCGCTAAATATATGGCCGATTAGGAATGTGTTATTCAGCGCTCAGCGTGCTGCTTGTGAAGTCATTATAGGTCTGGGTTCCATCGCGAGGCGGCTTTTGACGGCGGGATTATCGATATTGCCGCTAGATTCTCTCCTCAGGTCACCACGAATCAGAATACTCCTGTGCTCAAGATATGGGTCTTATCGCCTTGAATGTAAGTCTAGCCATCTTGCTGGATCGCGACCGTCGGGAAAGGCATGGCTTCTTGTTTGACGGCCTGGAGATCGCCATTCGGAAGAACCCCGGTGAATTTCGCAACGTCAAGCATGTACAACGCTAACCCACGCAGAAGACTCTTGGCATTCTCCTGGCCTGTGCTACCTCGCTACATATGTCTTCTTTCCCAGGCTGGTATACTGCTCACCTGGCTCAAACGTATTTTACTGCCACACGGACAGAGGTTGAGAACAAATACCACTCCTCTGACACTTAAGGTTGAACGTGTGGAAGACCCTGCATCGAGCAGGGTTCAACCAGAGGACCTTGGAACTCGGAACCTCAGACTTGGGCAATTCATTCTTCTCATCTGCGGGGATCCCTGCAAAACACTACGTACCACCCTGGGTATTGCTTATCGGGACTGCCGCAGAAATTCGTCCATGACCCCGCTGCAAGGCCCTCTACTCTGCACGTTATGAATGGCCCGGAGTAGACTGTAAGGGATACGTCAATATTTTTGTGACTTTGTTATTCGGGGCAAGGGAAGTAAATTCATAGCAAAGATGCTTCAATCGGGACAAAGGAAAGGAGTGTGAAATAGTCGAACAACAGAAACTCCGGATCCGAACATGGTCTAGATTGAAGCCATCATTGTCACCAGGCTATGTGCCAACCCAGACCAGCCAAGCCGGTTAATGAGATGCAGATGCGCCTGCCAAGGAGACGCCTCTTCCGCGTGATTTTGAGACGAAGCATAATTTCCTCTATGGATTGGATAATAGTTTCGTGTAACCGTGCATTGACGGCCAGGAAGAGCAACCATCACCCGAGACAAGACCTCAGATACATGGCCACTCATCGCTTGCAAAGCCGATGTAGTACTCGGCTAGGTTTACCTGTTCTATCAAACAGGAACATCTTAGGTCACAGAGGCTTCCATCCCCAGCTATTGCACTTGGCTCCAAGCCTTGGGGGGGTTAGCCTTGATCTTGGCGTCACAGCCTGGGATGACTCTGCATCCGAGTACAACACACTAAGATGCATGGAAAGAAGAGGCAGGTACAGAGCAATACGAGCCTACAGTCCGAGTTCTGAAGACCGCTCGATAGTTTTGCTGTAGGTTTGTGCGGCCTTGACATATCAAAGAGGAATTTCGCACTGCTCCCCTCCTGCGAGAAATTAACCGTACTGTAGAATATACCAGTTAGGTGAGTCCCAAACACCTGTCAAATGCTACCCGGGTCAGCTAACCCAACATGTTTATGGCATCGTCAAGATTATGCCCCAGACCCAGGGATTCATTGTCGATATCTACACCATGGGTGCCACACCACACCCCATTCTACCTCTCAGCGCTGACTCCTATGTCCCGCTTGCATGTACACGCGGTCGGATCATAAGTCCCTAGGTCTGTAATGATATATTTTCCTTTATAAGCCGGCGCCACTGCGCAGGCCCTGACCGCGTCTTCATGATTGCCGCAGCTCTTCGTACGTTCATGAGCGCATCAGGCGCCGTCAAAACTAGGTTGTCATTACAAAAGTTGGCTTTTCTTTTGGCTGCTTGGATACATGAGGTAGTTCAAGGTCCTGTAGCCAGCTCTGCCCGGAGCTTTTTTTTTTTTTTTTTTTTTTTTTTTTTTTTCTTGATACAAGAGGTTTGATTTAAACGCTCAATGTGTATTACGTCGCTCTTGTTCGCTCTGGCATTGCTCCGCTAAAATACTAACATCGTTACAGCTTGTGTGCTCTGGGAGGCTTGAGATCTGAGCTGAACATGGCCCGTCGGAAGGCAATTCCTTGTACAGTCCCATCCAGGCACATCACACGCCTCAATATGTCTCGGATGGCCCCTGATATCGTTGAATGGAGACGGTGCTGCGGCTTTCTGGCCAAACGCCATACAAGAAGAATACAGAGTGTGCGATAGATACAATTGCACGTCAGATTGGTTAGACAGACGTGAAGGCCACTTGCTTTCTCCGAATGCGCGTGGGTTGTTACCCAAGGGTAGGCTAAATTTCCTTCAGCAATGACGACAAGAACTCAAGACGCAGGTATGCCTTGAAAATATTTATCTAGCCCTCCAATTTCCGATGTTTCCTCTATTATCCCCATGATGTCGTTATTCACGGTCTCAACTGACGGGCGGGTCCTGCAGGGTGGCTGTTTGTCATAATCTGAGCTTGATGCTCGACGGCAACAATGGCTAGCCCAGTGCATACTGCGCTGACCAATTTCCTGACAAAGGCACGGTCTGCGGCAGCCTAGCATCATGGGATTTGTCACCGTCAGGTCTGTTACATTGCGGTCAACGCAGACCGGAGACGTACGGACCTGTAGTGTCGACTTCGGTGATAACAATCAGCACGATGCTGCGGTCGCTATCAGGTCTTGTGCTGTCACTGGACCTGTCGGCAAATCATGAGACTCCCACTCTGCGCTTGGATAAATTGGCGTGGGATTCATCGCATTGACAATGTCCTTGTGCTCGGCACCACTGTAGCGGTGCGGAGAATGAAAAGGTATCCGAGGGTGCAGGTTCGGCTGTGATCGGTGATAAGCATGGGCCGAGGATCCAAGCTGCCACGCCACGGCCGTTGGCGAGCTTCTCGGGCGCAGGAGAGCTTAATTATTGGCCTGAAGGCAGCTGCCAAATGCAGCGCTGCGGGTCGGTGGGTTGCCTGCTGGGGGCTGTTTATCAGCTAGCCTCGCAGCCATTGGTCTCTCTGGCCATTTCCCAAAGACACGCAACACTAAAATCCGAGTACCCCCGGCCAGGCCAGTGCACGCTGATTCCTCAATATTCTCCGATCTGCAGGTCTGGCGTTCCATGAATGGTCTCCCGAAGGGCCGTTGAATAACAATGCCTTTGTCGCCGGCGGGGGTCCCAGTCACCCCATGCCGGCCATGTGTCCAGTACTCGAGTCAGTGCAAATTGCCGGCTCCGGGTGATGTGCCGTCCTGGCCTTCCAGACATAAACGATAAACCCTATTTCAGCATCGCAGCTGAAGTTATAAATCGGTCAGCATGCGTCTTCCTGGTCCCTGCATCCTTGCATTCTCGCACCACCCCCGGTCCTTTCTTTTTTTCCATCTAGCATGATTTTTGAACCCGCAGCCAGGGCCCCGGTGCCCTGCACCGATGTGATATCCTATGTCTTTTCTGACCCGCCCTACGATCATAATGAACCGGTAATATTCCGATGGGGGATACATTCTCCTCTTCTCGAATTTCTTTCCTTCTCGCCTACATAACACGTCTAACTGGTACAGATCTACGTCGATGTCCACAATCCCTCTCGCGCCATTTCCTACAACCAAGCCCGGACTATTGTTCGCCAACTGATCTCGGGGCTGCGCGCCTGGGGCGTGCAAAAGGGCGACTGTGTCGCTATTCACTCTTTCAATGATGTAAGCCTTTTTCAAAACTTCTAATTCTACTGCTAGTTGATTACTCACAAATGATAGATCTACTATACCATGCTGGTCCTGGCGATCGTTGGCGCCGGGGGAATCTATACGGGCTCAAATCCAGCCTACACACCCTTCGAATTAGGCCATCATTTCCGCTCCTCAGCGACGAGCTTCATCATCACAGAGCCGGAGCATCTGGATGCGATAACTACGGCGGCGAAAGCGACATCAATCCCAGCAAACCGGATCCGGGTATTCGATATTTTGGGGCAGTCAGTACCAGATGGAGCGGTGTCCTGGATGGAGCTGCTCGATCATGGTGAACAAGACTGGATAAGATTTGACGACGAGGAAATTTCCAGGACAACTACGGCAGCCAGACTGTTCAGTAGTGGGACGACTGGGCTTCCCAAGGCGGCAGACATTACGCATATGAATCTTGTCGCCCAACACGAGTTTGTGTTTGAGTTTAATCCGCGACCATGGCGAGTATGTACCTCACTTTCAAATTATTTCCTTTGATCTTATCGATGGCTTTCGGATGACTGCCTGGCTGACAAGTGGCCTATAAAGGTAAGCAGAGTGATCGCTGTTCCCCTGTTTCACGCCGCTGCTGCTCCCAGCAGCCATTTCGGCAGCCTAAAAGCTGGCCATATCAACTACGTCATGCGACGTTTCGATTTACCCCTCTTCTTGCAGACGGTTGAAAAATACCAAGTCACCGAGATGGCTGTTGTACCGCCCATTGCCATTGCCATCATCATGCATCCGATGTCTTACGAACGGGGCTATCTGCGCTCAATCCGGGCGAGTAATCTGGGAGCGGCACCCATGGACAAAGACGCCCAGAAACGATTCCAAAAGTTGCTTGGACCAGGAGCCAATTGTACACAGGTTTGGGGTATGACAGAGACATGTTGTATCGCAACAATGTTCCGCTGGGATGAAGGGGACGAGACAGGGTCGGTTGGGAGGTTAGTGCCGAACATGGAGGCTAAGTATGTTCTTCTCCCTTCCTTCTATCAGCTCGAGGCTAACTTAATGATGTAGATTAGTAGATGACAACGGGACTGATATCTCCGACTACGGCGTGCGAGGTGAGCTGTGTGTCCGCGGTCCTGCCGTCACCCCTGGGTACTTCAACAACCCGGCCGCCAATGCGGAATCCTTCGATGAGCAGGGCTGGTTCCACACGGGGGATATCGCGTATTGCGATGGTGCTACCCAGAAATGGTATATAGTAGATCGCAAAAAGGAGCTGATCAAGGTCCGAGGATTTCAAGTTGCTCCACCGGAACTGGAAGCTGTGCTGTTGGCGCATCCGCTCATCGTGGATGCTGCCGTGATTGGGTTGCGAGATGTGGTCCCGGGGACGGAGTTGCCGCGAGCGTATGTAGTCCGCCGACCCGAGACCGATGAGAGCATGTTGACGGAGGACATGGTCAAGAGCTGGTTATTGGAGAGGTTGGCGGGATATAAAGCGCTCACAGGGGGTGTCAAGTTTGTACCGAGCATACCTAAGACGGCAAGTGGGAAGATTCTCAAGCGAGTGTTGCGGGAAGAGAGTCGCAGGGAAGTCAAAGAGAGTGGATGGAGACCGAGGTTGTAGTTATATTTGTTGAATGTTTGATCTTCTTGTATCTAGTACCGGCAGTCAGTACATACTCACTCCCTATTCTGCCATTCTCAATAGTCACTGGACCTCTTTCGCCTCTTTCAGCGATCGACGGTCTTCTCCGAAGCTTCGCGCGTGATATGCAACCTCGATTGTCTTGATCCGCAAGTCATGTCTGGAATAGCCAGATCCCCGCATTCCAGCTGACTTCAAGTTTGGTCACTGCTGGTAGACGGTAGCAAATGCTTGGTTGGTCGGCTCGGAGCGAATTTCCCCTGTTACCCCGGACTGCTAACGTGACCCTCGCTCAGCCCGCCGTCTTCTCAGCCTCATGACATCGAAAGCGCCAATCAGCAGCATCAAGCGTAGTGAGATTTGAGGCTCTCGTTCTTCATTTACGTTGCGGTTCTTGGGGTAACCTCTGTCAGATTTTCTACCTGTTGGGGAGATTCGGATCTTCCGTAAGCCAACTCACACAGCCTCCCTGTTCCATCAGCCTCAACACTTCAGAGATCGGCGTCATCAGAAGTAGACGCTGTAAGGCTAACCCTGAATAGCCCCCAGCACACCTATCCTTTTGGCTGGAGGAGGTGCGGTCATGGTAGGTTAGCCACTTCTGCCATCGGCAAATCTTTGAGGTGATGTATCAATTATTTGCCGTCATACAATCGGACATAACCGATGGCGCTTTATCTGGAGGACATGTGGATACAAAAGCCCCGTGTCATGGCGGTATTTATTGAGAGTGTTTTGATGGATGTGATATGTCAGAAAATCCTTTTCAAATACCGAGATTGTTACATCGCTAGCCGGAATTCCGCAGAAGCGAGATCCGTCCTCACGCGTATCTGACGATCAAAGGGTCTTGACAATGAATATTTCTTAGATAGGTGACGGCTTGATTCGAGGTATGTAGTCATCGCGAAGGAGATTAGTTTCTGACTGAGCCACATAAGACATTGATCGTCCTCTACACGGGGACTCGAGTCAGATAAATAGGAGCCACTGCAGCCACTAAACATAGCGATGTGATACCTCATAACCACGCTGTTGTCGATCATGCTATCATGCTTGTCCTGGTACTCTTGTGTTTAGCTTTGTTCATAATTGTCTGGTATCTGATCTACCATCGACTATATCACTGGTCCAGGTTTGGTTGAGGTTTCCAGATGAGAGGCGTCTCCTCGACGGTTTATTGGTATACTGTGCAGAACATGACTCATGACGTGCCTTGAGTCAAAATAGGAGTGGCCCATTGTGGTATGCGGTGAAGTTCAACCACTTTGATAGTTTCCCAGTATGTAACTTGTTTCAAGAGATCTTGATGAGGTTATTCCTGATAGACAAGTTTCGAGAGATCTATGCCAAACCCACACACAACAGTCAGTGCTATGATTCCCAATCCATTAAATGTACACACAAGTGTAGCTTACCCTGCGATTAATCCTGTTTAATATCGGGTGGCTGTATTCGCGCCCAGCAGTGACTGGGTCGTCTGCTTCGCAAGGCCGCAGTGGTTCCTAGCAGGCTTCGATACTGACAACTCGCTTGCTGCCATGAACAAAGGTAGTATCTCTTCCATCAATTATATATCTTAGCGTAAATCGTAGTAAAAGGAGTGAGTCATGGGTATACCATATATTGGTGTCTGTACTCCTGAGATCCTGAATCCAGTCACCGACGTTTGCTTGGTTTGTCTGGTGCGTCCTTGCTTGTTTGGGGGGCCCACTTCTGCCCACCTCCAGCAGACTCTAATCACACCAAGTCACTCTTAGGTTGTGTCAAGCTGTTACTTTTCTTCTGGGACATTGTTTCTTGGGCAAATCACAAGACCTTCGTTATCACGATGTTGGGTTTCGAGTCTTTCCACTCGCTGCGGGCAGCAGAGTAGCATCGGAGGTCTTCTGGGCCATCCCAAGTCCTCTTGACTCATGATATCAACATCATCGATGTTTGAATCCGTTTGTTCGTTCAAGGCCATCTAATCTTGGAAGCCACCCCGGGTTAAGGTTCATCTAGCACCACTCCACATTGCCAGACAACTGTCGCCAGATCTTTGGAGTATTACATCCTAGTTTCCCTGTCAACAATTGAAGCTAACAAACATGTCTGTTAGAGACCTACTTTGCGACTACGGGACTCTTATCGACGACAAATCCATGCTCGTACGTACAGACATCACATCACTCACCTCTTCAGACCGATGAACGTACACCTGCAGATAGCATCCGAAGAAGCTGGAGGAAGTGCCTAGTAGCCTCAACCAACAGAGGGGCGGCCCAATGTTTTCATATCGAAAATAATGCCTACACTCTCTACTCTACACGGTTTATTACTCCTGTCGCCGAATCGGTACGGGGCATGCGGTATTAGGGGATCCGGTATAGGAGTCTTTTGTCGTGCAGCTTTACTTAAGATACATCGTCAAAAAGCCTTGAGAAGTCTCTCCGGATATTTCAACGCAGTTAAACAGTCAACCGTCGTTCATTCCGTGGAACAATGGAGCTATCAGGAGTAGAATCGGCAGATCCGGGCTACTCCGTGTTTTCGGATCTATCCGAGGATCAGCTGGATTCATCCGATGCCGGCACTTTTCTCGGGTTGCTCCACATCTATAAAACAGACTTCGTCATTTCAGCCCCTAGTCAACTATTCACCTAAACAACACGATGAGTTTACCTCTGACACAGATAACCCGATCCTTGCATAATGCGACTGCCCCTCCGGTAGTCGCAGTTCTCTACCAGGCCATCGAGCCGCCCATCATCAACGGCGCTCGCAAGCCCCGCAAGCCTGGCGGTATCACACCCCACTCCTGCTATTCCAAGGACTCTTTCTAATATAGATGCCAGGTTACCAAGACTCGGGATCAGACATCGCCTACACTCTCAAAAACCGTGGCGTACGAGTCGTGACTCCGGTCTCTTCCCCAAATCCCAAAGAGCAAGAAGGCTGGTGCTTCCCGGACACAGAAAACGGTATCCTCTCTGCCGTGCGCCAAGGGGCAACGCACCTTTGGGCTAACACGATCCTCTTCTCCTCACATCCACTGCAAGCATCGCAGTCTCTTGCTTCATCCCCTATCTCTGTTGTTGGACAGCCACCAACCCTGGTTGAATCCTTCGATGACAAAGCCTATCTCAACGACCAACTCCGTATCCATGGCTCATTTACCCTCCCCCGCTCATGGCTGATCCGCAAAACGGATAACATCTCCCCTATACTGGACTCCATCCCCCGTTATCCCGTGGTTGGTAAGCCCGTCCGTGGTCGTGGCAGCCACGGTGTCAAGGTATGTCATGATCGAGCAGAGCTCGAGAAACATCTCAACGCCCTGCTGCTCGAGTCTCCCATCGTCATGGTGGAAGAGTACCTCACGGGCGAAGAGGCAACAATCACTGTTATGCCGCCATCAACAGAGAGTCCAGAATACTGGAGCCTGCCTCCGATCACCCGCTTCAACCATGTTGATGGCATTGCACCATACAATGGTACAGTGGCAGTGACTGCGAACTCGCGCGCTATCACAGAAACCGAAATGCGGGATGAGTCGTACAGAAGCGCAATGCGACAGTGCGAGCAGGTCGCCAAATTAATTGGGGCGACGGCACCCATTCGCATTGACATTAGACGGTTTAGCGAGGGGTCACAGTTTGCCATCTTCGATATCAACATGAAACCTGTATGTCATATGTCACGTCCCTTCAATCACCGAACCGTAGCTAATGAAGAATAGAATATGACCGGGCCTGGGCGGCCTGGGCGCGAGGACCAGGCCAGTCTAACTGCTCTTGCGGCCGCAGCTATCGGATGGGACTACGGGCAATTGTTGCACAAGATCCTCAACAGTGCGCAGCCACTTGATCGCTTCCGAGCTTACAGCAACCCGTTTGCTTCGCACTGAGTGTTTCCCTTCTCCCATCCCTCCAATAGGGTTGTATCTATATGAATCTTATAAATAGGAAGCTACAACACAGTCACAAACTATTCAGTAGTAGCCACCATCTTCCCCTCCTCATCCTTCCAGCGATACACCCCTCCATCCCCCACATTATATCGATAATAATTCTCCGTGCCGCCAGGCACCACCGCCCTCCGAAACGTGATATTGATCCGGCCCAAAGCACCAGCACTTCCCTGCAACCCCTTGCGCTTAGGCACACTGTGCAACCAATTTGCCTGAGTCTCGCCCCTCATAATTAGCATATCGCCGGACTTGAGGGGAAACTTGAGCGGTTTCGCAGCTGCATTTGCAATCGCGCGATCAGCATCAGTAGTACCACCACCACCACCACCTGGTTTATGCTTCAACAGGAAATCTCTCCCCGCGCCAAGCGATAAGGACGCAATAGTAGGATTCTGGCCTAGAAACCGCTCATCATCCGAATGGTACGAGATACTATCGTCCCCTGTGGCGTAGTAATTCACCAGGACGAAATTATATCTTGTCCCATCGTCCGTGGCCTTCTCCACTGCTTGGCGCAGAATGTCCAGACACGGCGGGATGGGTCGAGGCCTGCATCGGTATCTGGATATGGTTTCGGTGCGGGTTTTACTGTCGACCAATATTGGTGAGTTGGCTGGTGGTAGTTGCTGAGGGGAATCTAGTAGAGTATGGTTTGTTGTGGTGTCTTCTTGGACTTTCGTGTCAGAATTGGAATTAGTAGAAACAGAATCTGAGTTTGCAATAGTGAATGTCGATGTATCATCTACCCCGAACACAGTCGTGTATCTTGGCGTGTTGATGGATGTTTCTGTCCCGCCGCGCCGGATATTGTACCGGACGCGGTAGAAGGGGAGTTCATTCCGCAGGAACTCGAATAGGTCTCGGGCCAGTGGGGCGGGGAGGAAGGGTTGGAAGTAGAGGAGATCCAGGTGCGGGTGGTTGGTTATGGATTTGGGGGGTCGAGGTGCTGGATTAGAGAGGAGAGGCGTGGCGATGGTGCTGGGCGGGTCGCGGATCGGGATGGGATAGCTTGGGTGATGGGTGTATGTGGATGGTTTTGGTGGGACTGTTGTTGTTATTGATGATGATGATTCTGCTGTCGTGGTTGCATCCGGTTTGAGTTTCTTCGATGGAAGAGGTTGGAAGAAGGTGCTGATGCGTTTGGACATGATGCGGGTTGCTGCCCGGATGGTGATGGAAATTGCGGGTGGTTGGGTGGCGGATGTTGAAGGAGAAGGTAGACCGCGGGTGGATGGTCTAGGGGAGGTCTGGAATGAGGCCAAAGTTAAGCTTATATTGGGTTTGGGGTGGATGATGTCACGGTTCCAAGGGATGGGATGAGATTGTGGGTCGGAGATTGACTTCTTCTTGATGTTCTAGACTGTGCCATGCGCATTGAGATTTGTTTGTTCGCGAGTGAGTCTAGATTTGGCTGTGTCCTTGGATCAAATTTATGCTTTCGGGTAGTTGAGCACACGGCTGTAGCCATGTTGTATCCAGTTATCTTACGTGCTCGACTTCATTGCTCTGCTACCGATCGTTGGTCTGGAGGTTTCATCAGTGCAGGATCTAGATTGTTGTTTGACCCGCTGAATAACCTCACTGTAGAAGCTTTTGCGAAGTATGGACCGAGGTACGCCCGACCCGTCTCCTTGGATCGATTATCATGTAAAGCATATTCGAATGACTTTTGTATTATGTATGCCGAAGCAGAACTGACATGGCCCAGCACTGCCATTCGTTGGAAGCAACGCGTATCAGTCATTCTTCCGCTTTTCGTTTCACGCCTGCAGCCTTTCCAAACATGCTTTCGAGGCTCTGTTGACCCTTTTCGCGTTTCTCAACCTTAACCTTTTCTGATGCCAGCACGGGCGGCAGTCCCTGGACGCGCTGTTTAGCATCATCCAGCAATTCCACTTCCCGGTCCCGTTGCTTCTTGACGGTCGGCACCGACCAAGAGTTCGATGACGCGGACTTGTACGCCAGTTTATACTTTGAGCCCGTGAGGTGCGTCTCGTACGTGTTGGCATCGATCTTCTTGACATGCTTGGGGGGGTGAGCAAACTGTTGTATCATGAGATAGCGTAGCTTACCTGATGGCCTACAATCAGCCAGTGATACTCGGTTCCCACAGGCGCACCACTCCCTGTAGGCGCTTTCCTCGCTCGTCTTTTGTTCGTCTGGTAGTCAATTCTCCAAAGATCGGGTTCTTCCTTGGTTTCCTTCCACGTTCCTTGGTCGTATGTCCAAGTGTGTGATCCTCCAACAGCCATTCCGGAGTACATCTGTCCTTTGTGCGACTTGAGTGCGTTGTACCCTCCCCCTCCTAGTGCGTATTCGGCCGTTCTTCTGGCTGCTTTTCCAGTGTCTGGATCGATGGTATTCTCCGTTTCTTCGGGCATCTCTTCATCTTCATCGAAGAGCCCAGGTGTGTACGACTCATCTCGAGGAGCTGATTCTCGCTTTGCTTCCTCTTCCTCTGGGATATCTTGCGTGATGACGGCATTTTTCTCGGACAGAGGAGGGGATGGCGGCTTCTGTGCCACCGATGGATTTTTCCTTGCACGTTTAGTAGGCATCGCGATGATGAAGTGGCATTGTGCCAGCAACAGACGATCAACAGTAAGCCAGTGATTATTGCGGCTGGTGAAGAATGGAGGCGAAGCACAGATGAAGAAACGATGCCATGACGTCACGGCGAGCACATGCTTCTGGGGAGGTATCCCGTGACTCCGGAGTGACTTTCTCGTGGAGTTTTTCGTGGCTCAATCCCAATTCCTCCACTAGACTTGTCCAATACACACTCCATTCTTCTCCATTATCATTCTATTTATAACCTCGCTGATCGATGGGCTCGTTGCGTTGCACATGGATCGTCTGAGGGCCGTATCCATTTGATAAGCCGATCTGCCGTCATCCCCGCGATTTGTATGGACAGCCTCTGCAACGATGGAGCTGGACACATCAGCTCCCTTTGCGATGACTCCAAACCCCACCACAACAATGGTTAGAGTGGTTGAACACAACCAGTATCTCTTCCTTACATCTAGAGCCACCGGTTAGCTCTGCAGAACACGACCCATGGATCGCATTCGGTGCGACGTCATGCTCTCACTCAGTCTCACTCTCCGGGACGGGCGGGAGGGTCCGCAGGGCAGTGGAGTCGAGTCGAGTCGATATCGCGTCTTACTGGATCAGGAATTAAGGGAACAGGAGCTCCATTCGAACGCGCTTGCAGACATGATCGCAATGACTAGTATTGTCGATTGACGACTGATCGGGCGAAGCTACGACCAGCAACCCAACCCAACGCCACGCATCCACCGCATCATCCGCTTCATCAGCACCGGCAATCACACTCACACCCTTCGGTATGACGGACGAACCATCGTCGGAACTCCTCCCTCCTTCCTGAGGATTGACCCCCGCCAGCCCCGTCAATCAGAGGGTCCGGTAGCCCATCACAACATGCTCTACCCGGGCACACGGCGTATATGGCCGCTGATGCCCTTGCTCACTCGTACCCTGGCGGATGCGCCACCGTCCCAGTCCCTCAGTTGATCCCTTCCCACATCCCCCCAACCCCCGCGTGTTCTGGCAAATAATTTGGCTTTTTTACTTTTGCTTTGTGATGCGGAACTCTCGGCACTATGACTGGCGGGTCAATGGGTACACCCTCATCATAGAGGAACTTAAAAAGTAAAATTGTCGTGCAATAATAAATACTACCCATCTTCCCCGGACGTCAACGGCGCCTAGATCCCTCTCCAACAACGAGAATATTTCTTTCAGGGCAATTCTCTGTCAGCTCATCCGCTTTGACGCAGAAGACCGCTCGAACATCCCTGCCTGGCGCATACTTGAAACCGTGCTCAGCGAATCGGCATCACCCGCTACTGCACTGTCTGTGCCTTTTTCATCTTCGTTCTCGTCCTTCTCCTCCTTTGTCCTTCATGTTCCAGTCGTTTACCCCTCTACTCATTTCCAACTCCCTGTCCACTCTCTGTCCGCACGGAAGATATATCCGCCAGCGGTTATCCGGATCTTCTTCGCTTCACGGTGGACAGTGCTCCTAGTTATTCCCTTGACTTCCATCACGAACCTACTTCTCCGACCAGGTTGGGTTTACTTTTTCCACCGCCGACTATTTCACCAACAAAGTTCCCCAATCACCCTCGTGATCGTCGCCGCCGCGAAGGAGACAAAAAAAAGAAAACGTTAAAGCCGCATTCCGCCCAACCAAAAAGGAATCAACGAACACCACCAACTTCCCTCTACCAAGTCATTCTCCAATCGAAAGATGCGCGATATGTCGTCCAAATTCATCGAGATACTCGACCCCAATGATACTCGGCCGCGCATGTCTGATTGCGATGTCCGGCTCGAGGATGTCCTAGCCGACCACGAAGCGCTTGTCACTAGGCCCCGATCCTCCACTCAATCCTCTTCTAAGCCGAGTCTAGACAACCGTCTAGATCGCGATTCACCCACTTCACCCACACAGCGCTGGAAGCGTCTTAGCACCATTCTCGTCCCAGCCAGAAGAGGCTCAGCATGATACACTTTATCTTTTCCTCCTCTCCTCTCATCCCTCTACTCTATGCCACAAAAATTTCACGGTCCTGGCGACCGTCAGTTACGCAGATGATACGCTACGCTACGATACGATATATACACAAAGAAACGATAAAAGCCAAGACGAAACGATACGAAGAAACGGACATGACTCGGGAGTTCGATAGATCCGGATAAAGAGTTACAAACATATGATTGAGTTGGGCTGGCCTGGACTGAATTGGTTGAATTTATTTTATTCGTCCTTTAGCGACGGAGTAGGCAGAATCAATATGAAAGGATCTGGATTTGAGATTATTTTCTATCCTTACTTCCTCTTTCACACTTCCCAGGTCTCATGCCCGATAGCTCTTCTAGAACTATCGCTCCTAAATCCCCAGGACATCTATTATCAAACCATCTTTATCGATGCCCAATGCCACCACCGTCGTCATCATCCTCAGATCTATGATCGTATGGAATTGCTATCATCCGTGGTGACTACAAAATTCTGCACTAGAACCTTGATGCTTGAAGGCCTACCAACCTAGCTCACTAGCTAGTTAGCTCAGTGCATTGACATCATCGCTCCATCTACTGGAACTACTAATGATTAGTGGTCTCCACACTCCCGTCATTATCGGACAACTATCACCCATGAGAAGTGCAGTGCACTGTCTACGTGGTGGTAATCATCTTGATTGGTTATCTCGCTCAGGATTGAGTGCTTACGCAAGTGATGGCGTAAACTCACTAGCTAGTAGCTGGCTAGCTACTTGGTCGTTGGATAGATGTGTTGACTCGATTGTCATAGCATGATGGGTGGGGTAGTTTACTATGCTATAAGGAAGAGGCTGCTAGTCTGTGTTTGTATTCTAGAAGGTTATTTAGCTAGATTGTTTGGGGTAGGCAGAGAAATTAGTTTTATGATGCTATCTATGATTGTGGGTCTGACCTGTTTTCTCTCCGCGGGTACGCAACTGGGTCGGGTGTGATGATGATGATGGTATCCACTCGATGTACCAGTGTTAGCTTAATTCATTTGAGCTCTTAATATAGTAAAATGTATAGTTAGTTCTGCTATAAGTTGACTTGTTGGCTCGTTGTCTAAATTTACTGTGGTGTGCGATCAGTTCCTCGTCATCGCCCTCATCTACTTCCCCTGTCAACCTTTATAACATCACACACACGCGCGTACAGCAACTTGATTTTCCCATCCAGCACTATGTAGATTTTTACCAGAGAAGTCTTGTTCATGATTCAGCAGTCGGATCCTCTACCACGCCACCTTAATTATAGAAATGTTCTCCCTTCCGTAAGCTCACAACACTAACTCAAAAGGCACCGTGCCTTCTTCACCACACCAACTCCCCTCCCTAGTCCATTCACCCCCCAAGGGTCCATCCATCCATCCATCCATCCATCCATCCTCCACCACCACTATCTCCGGCGAGATACACGTGTCTATGTAGATCTTCCCTACTCGCTGTGTACGTAGCAGACCGTTCTATTGGAAGGGAGGGTTATGGGGTGATTGATAGATGGTGGCGTGATAAGAGGAATCTGGTCATTGGCTAGTACAATCAGCACAACTAGCATGCTTTGGTGGACCTTGTATGGCTGGAAACTATTACCTACACCGGATCAGTATATGTAACCGGCCGACTTGGTTTTCTCAGTGGCGAGGCAGGCCATTGGAACACGTCTGATAAGACGTGACGGGTGTTTGCGTCTGTGCCACTGCTGCTTTTCTTCCACGTGGGATTGCTCGGGTCGCTTGGTTTGTGGCTGGACGTGTGGATTGTAGCTTTGGTTGGGTATGTTGTTTGTGGTCATGTTGGCGTAGGTGCGCTGTTTTAGTGGCGAGAGACGCAAGTCTTGGACGCGTTGTCGCGGTGGATAGTGGATGAAGCAAGTCCGAGGACACTCGCACATAGGCACCATCGGCGGTGATATGGAGAAGATAAAGAGAACAATGATGGCCATATCTTTCGTTTGTATTTCGGTATTTCATACCTGCGTATATTTAACTGCTAAATGGAGTTATATGTCACATCACTATGCAAAGACCTCTCCAGGTCCAGGCTCATCTACGCCTAACCCGACTTTGCCTATACTCCCACCAGACTGCAATAGCTCATGTCCTTTCTTCACGCCGTCAAGCGTCAATCTCAGTCGCTTTGTGAGATGACACTTGATCTTGCCCCCATCAATCAAATCCGTAAGCTCTTCCAGAATGCGATGGTGCGATTCGACATCCACCTTATGATACGGCTTGGTTCCAAGCAGACACCAGACAAACGTCAACGACTTCGACATGAACTCCGTTCCATACATCTTAGCTTGACCTTGAACAATGGAGCAGACCTTGCCAAACGGCGCGCAAACTCGGGCGCACGTATCCATGTACTGGTCTGTGGAGTGTGTGATGAAGATATACCTTGGCTGTTGTTAGCACTGATTATAGACCTTCACAGGCATGTCTTACTTCACAGGTACATCGAGGTTGAGTTTCTCGATCTGACTAGTAACATCCTCTCTATGGTTGACGACGTGGGTCGCACCCATTTCTTTCGTAAACTGGATTGTCTCCGGGCGTGACGCTGTCGTGATGACCACCGGGAGTTCCAACACGACACGAGCAATTTGGGTAGCCATAGCACCCACGCCGCCGGCGCCGTTGATGATGAGGAGAGCTGCTTTTTCACCCTTTTTTATCTCCAGTCTTTCGACGAGAGCCTCATACGCTGTGATATACGTCAACGGCATGGCAGCCGACTCCACGAAATCGAGTCTTTTCGGCTTGCGGCCAACACTCCTCTCGTCTACTAGCTGATACTCGGCATTCGATCCCTGTCTGATGGGGCTTCCCGAGTAGTATACCTCATCGCCAACACTGAAAAGTGAGCATTGTGATCCAACGGCTTCGACAATGCCTGAAGCATCGTAGCCGGTGATCTGGAATGGTCGAGGAACGCGGTCGTAGTAGTCTGTCAAGCCGTTAATCAACCGGCACTCTGCGTTATGTCAGATGTAGTCTAGGTCTTACCAGGATAGTCGTCATATGTACCATTCCGTACTTTCGTATCCACCGGGTTCACAGCAACACCTTTGATTCTGTCATAGCTTTTAGCGACGATACATATGATCAAAAAAGATGAAACCATCCTACCGAACCAGAAGATCCCGCGGCTGGAGATCTGTCGGTTTCGGGACTTCCCGAGCTTCGAGACGGTCAACAGGACCGTATTTCTCCACGCCGATTGCCTTCATCTTTATACTGTAGACCGAGTATGCATTTGTCTTCGATTTAGCATTCTGACAGTCTTGCCATGTTAAATAGACATTCGGCAACGCGTTACGTCAGAGGAACGTCAAGTCGATGAAGTTCGGGAGTCAACTGTGGAACATTTTAATTGTTCTATGGTGTGATTTAGCTGTATCATGTTAGATATACTAAAGATTATGGTGAGGATAGCACATACCATACGAGTAGACACCCACGTATGGCCGTTACTCACTGCAATGCTCGAGCTCGATGGCATCACACTGCTGTAGCAATAATTCTATTCCATGTCACAGGCTAGGTCCGATGAGTATTCGTGTACAGTGAAGCCTCAAAGCCAATGTTCCATACGAGGCCATCTTACCTGCCTAGACATCTAGAACTGCTCAAATTCCCAACTGTCGCCCAGAGCAATCCCAATGCACTCCTCAACTATAGATCAATCCCTTATCGATAAGCCCCCAAGGCGGCCACAAAAGCGGTGACCCCCATCGCGGGCAAAATAAACGCCACCAAACCTAATTAGGCAATCCGAGGACAGGAACCGCCCCGCCTCGAGCCAACAACAACCGACAATCACAATCGAAAGCAATCAAGCACGCGTGCTATCGAGCAATATCATACAAGGACGAGAGGAGATTTGAAGCCAGCAGACGCATAGTCTCTCATCAGCATTCCACAATTGCCTTTCCATTATCATCGAGTTCTTTCCACGCAATTTAAAACTCAAACTACACACCCACACACCACCACAATGTCAACAACACCAATCCCCAAAAACCGATCCTCCAGCCCAACAGTCTTCGAACAGCAGCGGGCAGAATTGGTGAGAGAAATTGCAGTGGTGAGTTCTACCCTATGCATTTTATTACATAAAAACTATCCCCCTCCATCCCCAAACCAAATCCCCAATCCCAATACCCCCCATCTGATAATCTAACGAAATAACCACCAGGGCATGGAACAAGTCCTCCAAAACATCAACCGGCTGAACCGGAACCTGGAGAGCATTATTTCCGTAAGACAACACCTACCTACCTACCTACCCTACATTTCAGACAAAAAAAAAACACATGCGGATAATCACTCGCCCATACACACCCCCTCCCCCCACTTATTTTTCCTCCGATCCATTCCGCGCATGCCGATCACATCAGATCGGATTGGATCAGATCAGATCCCGTCAATTCTATTCTACTCTGGATTTATGTTACTCTAAGCTGATAATAATCTTTTAACCTTGCAGGTGGGAAATGAATTCGGCTCTGTGGAAGCGCTCTGGTCCCAATTTGAGAACTTTATGGGCAGCAGGCCTGGGGAGGAGCAGAAGGGTGGTGGTGCTGGCGGTGGTGCTGGTGGTGGGGGTGGAGGCGGGCAGCATCAAAATGATGAGGAAGGGAGTCAGCTTCAGGAGGAGGATCATCGGTGATCGGTGAGGAGAAATGGATGGGTCTGCGGCTGGGTTTGAGGTTTTCGTTGTTTATGTGGGTATGGATTAGATTGGTTGATTGGTGGCGTATGGTAGAGGAGTTGTTCTTTGTTTTTACTGGTGCTGTTGTATTGTTTATTTTCCTTGGGTTATTTTTGTATTTTTGCTTTACTCTGGTTGCTATTGGAAATATCGGGATACGGATACAATGGGGGGCAATAACAGAGTTTATGAGTTTGGCAACAAAACAAGTTCAACAATTCAAGTACACGGGATTTTCGCTTGCGCCAGTAAACACCCATCCCATGCATGGCAAAAGAGTGGCCAACAGACCAAATTCGTGACAACATCAAGCATTCAGACAGGGGGGAAAGAAAACAATCGCCAAATCGAAGGGGTGGGAAGGATATGATGATAAGAGTAATGGTAATTGAGGGAACCAGTCATCAGGGTCGAAACAGGTATAGCAACATGGAGGAAGCAAAATTCAAGAAGCCGCCGGCATGCATAGGTGGTAAGGGTAGGTAGAGGGTAAAGTAGCAGACACAGATGCATCAGGCAGTGTCTTTCATCTTCATGGCCTCTTGGTCATGTCATGTCATGTCACATACAAAAAGCGTGGGGAAACCGTCGAAGCAACCAGGCTTCTCACTCGGCATAACAGGAACGGCAGAAAATCAGACATCGCAAGGGGAAGAGTAGGCGAAACCAAAAGGGCAGATGATCATGACCAGACAAACATCAAAAGAAGACCAGAGTCTACAGAATCTTGCAGGAACGCTTTTTGACCTTCTTTCCTCCGCCACCACCACCGACTTTAGGTTTGCTTCCGGGAGTAGAAGACGTCTTGCGGTCACTCCAGTCTTGCTCCTCGGCAGAGACAACGGTATCGACTGCCAGGGAGAAGACGCCGTCGACGCCGCGCATTTCTTTGCTACTACACTCAATGTAAGAGGCATTCATCCTGCGCGCCACCGCCTCACCTTGTTCCGGCGTCACGGGTGTTAGACCCTGGGTCTTCAGAAGTTCGATACACGTTCTCTTCGAGCGCAAATCCGATTTCAATCCAACCAGAATGAGCGGGGTAGTGGGACAAAAGTGCAGAACTTCGGGATACCACTGTGGCCGGTATTAGCTCCCATAACTCGTTGCGGGATAGCTGGAATTACCTTGTCCATAACGTTTTCCAATGATGCAGGGCAATCTATCGCAAAGCAAACAAATAACAGGTCCGTCTCCGGATATGACAGTGGACGCAGTCGGTCATATTCTTCCTGTCCAGCAGTATCCCAGAGGGCCAGTTCAACCGTCTTGCCCGAGGCTCGGTGGGTGGTTTGTGTGATGTAGTTCTCGAACACAGTAGGGACATATTTCTGAACGCGCGACAATTAGTTTGGCAACGATGCGGAAATCCTCACCGGGGCGTATCCAGAACCTACCTCTGGGAAATAACCTTGGGAATAACTGATCAAAAGGCATGTCTTTCCACATCCACCATCGCCAACCACAACAAACTTCTTGGAATATGCAGGCGGATGTGTAATGTTTGTAGCTTCCGACATCCTCCCACTTGAAACGCTTGTATTTGTGCTCACGGTGCCGTTGCTAACTCTGACACTTTGACTGCAGGTCCGACTATGTCGTGGAGTCATGGATGGGGGAGGAGTAGCAACTGAATGGCGCCGTGAGGGTGCATAAACGTGCTCGTCGTACATTGTACCTGACATGATGGCGGAGTAGGAGAATTTCGAGGAATGTGAGTTATAGAGCCGTTCCGGAAGGGGTGGGAATTGTCGGTCTGGAAATGCGGCTCGGTAATAATTGCTGCTGAACGATCCACTGTCTTGTCAAAAGCACAGCGGAAAGTTTTCTGGGTCGGTGTGTATTGAGCAATTCCCCTGCGTTGTTAGGAATGTCGAAGTAAAGTGGCTTGCTGTACAAAAGGTAAATGGGGGGTGGTGGTTATTTGGGATGTGAGGAGGAGGGGGGGGTGTGTAGAGGAGGTTGGTGAATTTAGAAAAACAAGACGCGAAACCAGCACGAAGAGGTTCTGAAGGAAGAAAGGGATGTCAGGCTTCAGATGCACCTACTAGTTTCTCCACGATGAGCCCAGCCAGCCAGCCAGCCAGCCTCCTCCTCCTCCCACGGCTGCTCCAACAACGAGGCCGTCGTGGCTGACATGAAACCGCAAGAGACCGATGTTTACCGGCCGATGGGCTGCCATGGCAACGCCGCGGGACAAATGACGCACGAGCTCCGCTTGTCACTCCACGCAACTTCAGCTGGACGCATATCCATTGATTCCATTCGCCTTCTGCCTCATCCGCGCCTGTTATTTTTAGTAGGTTCAGCCGGATGTTCACTGGGTTCCTTGGTTGTTTACCTACCTGGGTTGCGCACCAGGAATTCCTCGACCATGGCCGGGCCCCGAGCCGGGTTACCACCACTCTATCGCCGTCCTCGTTGGAATCATTCCCGATCCTCGAATCAAAATCGGGCTTTAGTGGCAGGGTTGGCCCCGGGTAATCGATAACATTGATCAAGGTTTCCTTCTGATGCGATCCCTTGCAGGTCCGTGCTACACAAGTCTTCGTCCACGGTCCAGGTCCCTGAAACCGCTCTTTACCCAACAATCCGGAGTAGTAGAAACTAGAAACAAGAGAAAACCCGGTTGACGTAATCTTTCCCGATGTCACGTTCAGCCTTGGAATTGGCCCGAAAGAACTGATTAATTCTTGTTCCTGCCGAGGTTAATCACTACAAGGCTAGTACTAGTCATGAGCGATTATTTGGTGATCGATTATTACTACCCATTACTACTAGTACTTCAGTACTCCGTAGATACGCCTCCGCTTACGCAAGTATGTTGGCTAGGTAGTTTCGTGTCCTCGGGTGTATAGAGTGAATTCCTCGCAGCTACTGCTGGTTGTATGGCTGTCAGCTAGGAATTTCACTTGCCGGGTGCCAAAATTGTAGCCATTCGTACACTATGAAGGCGGATCTGACAGCTTTCTAGCCTCCGCCACCGATGCCTGCAACTTCCTATCCCGGCTGAGTTCATTCCACGCGTCGCTGTCCTTGTCAGCTTCCATTTGGCAGCTTGACAACCGATACTCAGCCACATGGAAAGACGTTCAGACGTATAAATGGTCTAGCTCTGGACCATGCCAAGCTGCGCTTGTCAACTTTGCTTCATTCCTTTATCATCAGTAGGAGAATTGAGGGCTAGCACTTCCTACTTAGGCTACAACATAATTCTAGATGTTATTTGCAGATATTGTACACTACGAAGGGAAACATGTCAGTCCGTATAGTATGTGCTGGGACACGGCTTTGGTGGTCAATGCTCTCTAACAATCCTCAGCTACTAGTATCTCATGTACTTGAAAGTACAAATTGGCTTCAATGTCGTATAGATCATGAGCAAGTGGAATCGTGTTTGATCTGGATTGAAGTTCACCACAGCGCGGTTTAGTAGTAGTAGTAGTCCTTCGCTACTCCGTACTATATATAAGTCACTGCATAAGTTGATCTGCGGTCGAATGACTGCATAAGCGCCGACGAGAAACACCGTCCCGACAGGACCGCGTATCCGTATCATGCACTGCATTACTATTTTCGCTCAAGGAATATTATGCTTGAAGCTGTCGCAGAGTGCTCCCTCAAAGTACCACGTAGTATGCCTTTTAAGACATGATGGTATCAGTGTTCTAATGATTATATATATTCAAACCACTTCCACTGCGAAAACCACCAGAGGACTGGACCAAATACACTGAATTTCATACAGCATATTTCTCATTCAGTAACCAGACTATTCTAATTAACCTCGCAGCTTTAATAAAGATGACAGCCCCGTGGGTAGCTGTAAGTAGTTCCGATCCTAGATAGATCATTTTGTCGAGGGCGATCATATTCCTTTCGCTGCCGTGTTTTGGGTGACTAAACCCTTAGCTCAGCCGGGGGAGGCTTGAGGGTCGAGAGTTGAGTGGTTGGACAAACCACGGCCGCATCGGCCGCCAAGAACACGACCTTTTCTGCGATAACGCCGGATGAGCATGACTTAGCCTACCGCGATCTACTGCTCTCCTTTTCTTCCCGCTGATAGAAAGTGGCCTCCCCGAAAAGCTCGGGTCTCCTCTCCAACCCACTCCAGTCATCAATGATCTTACTAGCCCGTTGTGGGTGTTGAGACTGCTATCTGTCGGGAACCTTATGGGGGGTTGTCGCAAACACACCATCACGCTATATTGAAACGGCTGCCTTATCTGAAAACAACAACGACAGCATGGTCAATGGGAAGAATGGCCAGCCGGACGCTGGGCTGAGAAGCCTCGATCATTGTACGTGGTGTTGATTGTCGACTCGCTATTGATTTTAGTGGACTAACCTAACCGCGGCTTGTCTTCAATCGCTATCAGATCGAAACCAGCTCCCTTATTGGCGTTATTGGCCACGACAGAAGCTCCTCCCCCTAATTCGATATGAGACCCCGTATCTGGCTTGGGTCCAGGAGAGGGTTCGCACTCCGGCCCTAGACTCCTACTTTGCCTTCACGGCAAATCTGGGCACACATACCTTTTTCATGGTTTTCCTGCCGATCTTGTTCTGGTGCGGGTATACGAGCTTGGGGCGCGGGTAAGTGGCCATGACGAGCCCTTAGACATAGACAGAGGGAAAACGATTATCTGGCCTGCAATTGAGCTGACGACTCTCAATCTCTCAGGATGGTGCATCTTTTGGCCTCCGGCGTGTTTTTCAGTGGTTTCATCAAAGACTTGCTTTGCCTCCCGCGGCCTCTATCCCCTCCTCTCCAACGGATAACAATGTCCGGTTCTGCGGCGTTGGAATACGGATTTCCATCGACTCACTCCACCAATGCGGTCTCGGTTGCGGCATACGCTCTCGCGCTATTGAACTCCCCCGAATCCACCCTGAGCCCCCAGGTCAATATCGTCCTCCAAGCTATAACATACCTCTACGTCTGTTCCATTGTCCTGGGTCGTCTGTACTGTGGTATGCATGGGTTTTTCGATGTTGTCATTGGATGTTTACTTGGGTTCTTCCTCGCCTTCCTACAGTATACGCTTGGTCCGACCATTGATGAGTATGTCGTTTCTGCTACCGGAAGGGGGGTTACACTAGTGATCCTGTTGATTTTGGGTTTGGTCCGTATACACCCAGAGCCTGCCGATGACTGCCCGTGCTTCGACGACAGTGTGGCTTTTGCAGGAGTCACGCTTGGAGCACAAGTGGCCTATTGGCACATAGCTAGGTCAAGCCTGATATGGGATGAACCTGTGCCGGCCAATGTTCCATTTGAGTTTCAGCGTGTAGGACTGGTCAAGACGGCTCTCCGCCTCATCATTGGTGTTCTTATGCTCTTCACCTGGCGAGCTGTCACCAAACCTTTTCTGCTTCGGGCTTTGCCTCCCGTTTTCCGGGGCCTGGAAAAGCTGGGCCTTATACTTCCCCGGAGATTTTTCCGGAACGCTTCGTAAGTTTACCATGTGGCCTTGAACAGAAGAGAAGACGAAGGGTTCCCCGAAAAGAGAAACGCAGCTAACGTAACGTGCCAAACAGACAATACACGACAGTTCCATCCCAGCTCCGGGACCACGAAGTGCTACCGGGCTTTTCGGAGATACCTTCAATCATAACCACGATCCGGCATCCTCGACGACGCGCCATTTCGATCGGCCCGCAATCAGAAGCTGACGCGTATGAGACCCTAGCGTATCGCGAGAAGCGGAGACGGGAAAGTCTTTCCACGGCCAACCAGCCATCCCCGGTGCCGGAAGCAGGTGGACCGGCCTCGGAGTCCGAGCCACGGAAACTGTCGCGGAAGCCATCTAAATTGCACGAGTATGAGCATATGATGGGCACAGGTGCCCCTGGTGTGGCGACTTCTGTCGATGTTAGCTCACAAGAAGCTTCTTCGACCGTGCCCTTCCCTCCATTTGAGTCGGAAATTGAAGCCGACGAGAAGGAAGTGTTTTCGCAGATCAAACGGCCTCGAGTGCGCTATGATGTGGAGGTTGTTACGAAACTTGTTGTATATTCCGGTGGGTGTATCCCGATGCGCCGAATTGGAGAGTTGTGGATGCTGACTGTGCTTATTAGGAATTGCCTGGATTGTGATGGAGGGAGCGCCCTTGTTCTTCGATCGGATAGGGCTGGCGCCATAGTAGCTTAGTAGTCGCGGGGTGGGTCCGACAGCCATCACCCATTTTCAATTCTGTAAACCTTTTGCGATTTTCTCTACGGTTCAGCGGGCTGGACTAACCAAAGTCCTTGGTGTATAACAAAGCTGCCGTTCTTGTACATAGACTGTTGATGATCTCTTTTTTTTTATGTGTTCTTTAAAAAGGTGGGATGTTCAGCAATTAGTGGAGGCGAATGGAAGAGACACTACTAGTATAATTCCTGGGGACCGAACCGGAGATCTAGAAGGGAGTCTAAAAAATTAAGGTGGTGGTTTAGTGCTTGGTATTGACCCTTGATAAGGAATGACAACCGACGAGTGATCTACTGGGAGGTAATAGTGGAGGTAGAGCTACTAGGTTGCGAGTGTATGTATATAGGGAAGACAGTAGAGTAGGAGAAAGTCTACGCATGCACCGATGTTGTATAGTCCAAGAGACTGAGATGATCCAAGCCAAGGAGGAACCATGGGTCGCATGTTCATTTTTCAATGGGAATACCCGCAGGAAGATGAACAGCATATGAACAGCAAATGCATAGTCCATCCGCCAGCCGGCACACACCACGTGACATACTGGAAGAGGAAAAGTGGCAGCCAAGCTTCCCTCGGAAGATGAACTGATCTGCTGCTTAACTCCATTGCTTGCCTCGTCTCTTCCTCAACTTCTCGCGGCTTCATTGCCTCCCCTCCGTCTTTGCGCCTTCCTCGCCCCTCGCCCACCCCGCGCTTTCCCCCGCGCGTTCCTATGGAGCTCCAATTCACTGCGGCGACGCGCGCGACTTCCACCATCACTATGGCAGTCGCCCATGGCTGCCTTCAGTGAATACTTTTGTTTTGATTCTTCCTTCCCTTTCGCTGCCCACGGCGCCGCTCTTGTTTTCTTCTTCACCCTGCTCTTCCTTCTCTTCCTCTTCTCTTTCTTCTCTCCTATCACCCATCTTCCCATTACCTCTGAACGCGTCTACGATTCCAGCGAATACAGCAACTTTTCGTACTGCGCGATCAACATCCTACAACTTCTTTCACAACTTCTTTCACCTCAAGAACTTGTGTCTACTTTACTTGTCACCATGTCTGGAGTCTTCTCGACTCTCAGACCCGACATGGAGGACCAGCCAATGCCAGACGTATGCTATGTGCCCGCAGACTCGGCGCCCCACGAGGAGGCCGTCGATACCACCACCCATGACCCTATGGATTGCGCTCCTGATTTCCCCTCATCTAACATTCCTCAGGAAACCGTCAATGCCCCTTCCGCAGAGAGTCCTTTGTATCAGCTCCGATCCGTGCATATTCCCGGAAATCCAAAGGCTGTGAGACTCAACGGAAAGCATGAAGTCAAGCCCTCCTTCCCCCTCCGCACCCCGCTCATCAGACCCGATCATCGCTTCTCTCCGAATAATCGCACCGCCTCTCTCCTTAGCTTTGATGCTATCCAGAAGAGCCGACTTAATGCGCAGCCTTCCCATGCTTCAGTTGGTACCAGCAAGTACCTAAATCCCGGCTCGAGCCGCGCCTCTTGGTCAAACAACAAGCCCCTCAGCCTGCCTTTTGGTCCTGAGAGGTCAAATGGAACCAATTATCTTCTTGGAGGCAAGTCTATCGGTATAGACAAGAAAGCGTTTCATATGAATTCGTTCCCCACCAATAAACCCTCTGGCTTTACTACGCCTTCTCGCAAGAGGTCAATGGATGATGGTAGCAATGAGCAAGCTCAGCCCATCACTTCACCTTCTGCTAAATTTCGTCGTGTGAGAGCTGGTAGCTTTGCACGTAGTGCTGCTACTGACAATGATGCCACTACCAACGAGAATGAATGGTATCCAGGCTCGCCTATGGACATCGACACCCCCGAACATAACAACGAACCAAATATGATTACAGCCCTCGCGACAGTCGAGGCTCACCTTGATCTTCCCAATATCTCTCCTAACTCGCGTCAAGTTGACGCTTTTTCAGTCAGACCTGTTACCGCTCTTGCGATCCCGACCAGCCCCAGCACTCCAGATAGCCGTATGATGCCTGGAGCGTGGCCCGAGTCCGTGCCGTCTCAGTCGTCCACCAATGCTGCCACCGATGATGAAGATAGCCCAATGACTTCCAATGAACTAATTCTATCCAACGATACGGATATGGCCGAGGCTGAGGAGCCGACTGTTCCTGTGATTCAGGTTGCCGAACCACAGCCTTCTTCACCTTGGTATGCTTACTGGGGGACATGGCAAGACTACATGCAGACCGTTGTCTCCATTCCTGTTGGAATCACCCAAAATTTCTCCTATGCGGCAAGGTCCGCTGCCAATGCGGTTGGTGCTGCTAAGCGTCGCGTGTGCGCACTTTGGAATCGCCGCGGTGGACGTCGTCCTCCTTCGCCTCCTGGATCGCCCACGCGCCTCAACCTTCGCAACCTGTCTCCGGAACAGCAGGAACGCATGGATCGTGATAGAAGAATCCGAAGTGGAGAATCTAGCCCTCGTACCGACAGATCTTTCCCCGACTTCTCCAATGTTCCCAACTTCTCTTCTAACAACAGAACGGCTCCTACAGTCGAGTCTTCCCGAATCTTGCAGGACCTTGTGTCTCAGGAACAGAGGCCTCAGGAGCAGGTGCCTGAAGAGCAGGTGCCTGAAGAGCAAGTGCCTGAAGAGCAAGTGACCCAGACACTCAGAGGCTCTGTTTCTGTTGAAAGACGTGCTCGTGGTTCAAAGAATATGAGAACTCGCACCGCTCGGAAATCCCCTACACGCTCGGCTCACCGTTCAGCTCAACGTTCAGCGCAAGAAACAACCCAAAAATGTCTCCGTCAGCAAGGAAGCCCGGGTATTCGCAAGCACCGGTGGATAACGCGTGCCGAGCGCGCCGAGAACCGTGAGCGATCTGCGCCTTTCAGAGCCCTTTTCGTTGGGGACATCGCCGGCATGAAGAAAGCTATGGAAGCTCAGGCCGCGCGTGACCGTCAGGCCTCCGCCGCAGGTAGCCGTGCTATTGAACCCATCTTGATGAGAAGCAACGATGAACTAGACAGAGTACAAGACATGAACATGCTGGCGAACTTCCAGTCTCGCTCAGCCACTATTGGCATCATTTCTGATGACACCGTCAAATTGGGTGCCACTGAAAAGATTCTCTCAGCGTCGACCACTGTTGCACCTAAGACAATCCTCAAGGTCAGAGGAACTCCCGGCAGTTCTGGGAATAGGACCAGACCTCGCCGCGCCACTCCGCGCAAGGTTCGCTTCCGTGAGCCCGTGGTAGCCGAGTTCATTGACGACACGCGAGAATGGGGTGAGGTGGAGGACAACCTGGCACCCCATCTCGGAGATACATTTGATGTGAATGAGAAGACAGCACCTGAAACCAATGTTGGTACGAAGGCCGAACAGGTCACCGAAAAGGAAAACGTGCCGCCAGTCCCCGAGAACGAGGACGAGGATGAGCCCATCGTTGACCCCTGGTCCCAACCAACCTTTGAATACCCGCTGGGTCGAGCAGTATCGGCCGTCAGTCTATTTTACCCCGAGCCAAGACCCATTCCAGAGGGCCGAACTGAGTCTGTGTACGCCAACCGCTGGAGGCAGATCCAAGAAGAAGAGAGACAGAAAGAGCGCCCATCACGGATCAAACCGGATGGCCCAGCTGTACGGCCCCTGTCTCCCGAATGGGAAGCCCGCATCAAAGAACTTCAAGATGGGCGCGTATCCGGAGGGAAAACCGTCGCAACCACCCTCTCCGGTGACCCTTTAACGAAGAGGTCCCTCGCCACCTGTTACACGCGCGGCGAATGGCTTAACGATGAGATCATCAACGGATACCTTGCCCTTATCGTTGATTACCTTCGCCGCAAGAATCACAACGCCGGCCGCAACGACAAGCCCCGATTCCACGCCTTCAACTCGTTCTTTTTTTCGAACTTGAGAGACAAAGGCTACGACTCCGTGGCCCGCTGGGCCAAGCGGGCCAAGATCGGAGGGCCACTCCTCCTCGACGTAGACACCGTCTACATCCCGGTCCACAACAGCCAGCACTGGACGCTGGTTGTTGTGCGACCGGGAGAACGCTCAATCGAGCATTTCGATTCTCTTGGGGCCCGGTCTCGCCGCCACATCGCGGTAGTCCAAACTTGGCTCCGCGGCGAGCTGGGCCCCAAGTACGTCGAGGAGGAGTGGCGCGTGCTGCCGTCCCTGTCCCCCCAGCAGGACAATGGTTCCGATTGCGGGGTCTTCCTCCTCACCACCGCCAAGGCTGTGGCCATCGGCCTCGAGCCACTGTCTTACGGCGCGCAAGACACTCCACTCCTGCGCCGTAAGATAGTGGCCGAGCTGATGGCCGGCGGCCTAGAGGGGGAATTCGACCCCGCCCAGCAAGACCATGTCTTGCTATGATCGGGGACGGGGACGGCGGCCCTTCCCCCCTTTTGGGGGGAGGGCCAAAAAAACAAAAAAAAAGAAAAAGAAAAACAAGAGAAGGGAACTCCAAGGCGAAGGTATGAAGCGTCAATTCCCTTTTATTCTTCCTTTTCTTGAACTTGTATCTACATGTATGGGTGCCCATCTTTACGTTGCACTTCTTTTTTTTTTTCTGATTTTGGTGTTCGGTTAATTTGCTTCTCGGTTTGAGCGTTCTAACCACAAACAGGTTCAGAAGATGGAGGAAGGGGGAGAGGACGACAACGGCAACAACGACGACGACGACGACGAGGAGGAGGAAGCAGAGGAGGAAGGAAGGACAACGTTTGCATTTTTGGGGGTTGTTTTTAAGCGTTTCACACTGTCTTGTATGGATACCCCGTCAGTCGAGCTACAGCTCCTGACATGTATGTTTTCGGATTTGTTTTTGGACTTGTTTTGGGATTTGTCTTGGGGATTGGACACTCGGCATTAGCATTGGGCATCAAGCACGGCGCATGAGATTTGAAAGACTTCGAGGAACAGCGGATGGTTATGTATTTAGTCGTGCCTTCAGGTTACTGTACAGCCCCTTCGGTTCGACGATTTGTACTCACGAAGGCAAAACTTACGAAGGCAAATACTCGAGAAACAATTTTACTACTGCATATACAGCTACGATAGAACTGTAAGAGACGCAAATGCGAAGACTTGCACGATTCTGGGTGAAGAATCAGGATGGATTCTATGACACTGAATCAAAGAATAGGAACGAAACTCAACAGAACACCACAGCCCTCACACAGGATGCCACGGATCAATCCAGCACGGTCTCTGACACCCACCACCCTTCTCCTTAGCCTTCCCCATCTTCCGTTCGACATCATCCTCATCCCCACCCACAGAAGAAGCAAAAGAACCAGAAGCAGAAGCACTCCCCCCAACCCGATGATACCGATCTCTATGCCCAGGATGGTCCTTAATCGGAAGATCCTGATCGGCCTTCGTAACATTATAAACCAACTCAATCCACTCAATTCCCATAAACACACTCTCCCCGACCTTCATATCGCCCGACCAATTACCCCCATTACTCCACAGATTCATCGCCACGATACTCGGCCGATCCGGCACCGAATAGTTACTCTTGCTCTGTACCTGCCCATCCGCATACCAAGCTGACATATCAGCCACCCAGTCCAGCCGATGCGTCGTCCACGACGTCCACGGCTTACTCAAATTCACGATCGAGCTTGCCCCCGGAATGATGGTGTCCGAGATCGGATCGTAGTCCGGTTGATTGGCGTAGTGGATCGTGTGGGTGTCTTCGGTAGTGAGGATCTCGATGTCGGATTCGCAGATCGACGATCGGTAGGTGAAGATACCGGCGCAGCTGCCGCGGGGGATTTTGGTTTGGGTTTGTGATACTGCTTGGGTATCGGATGATGCTGCTGCTGCCGTTAGAATGTCGTCTCGCGACATCATTCTCATCCGTAGGCGTAGTGAGCAGTGATATATGTATCCGAAGAGACCTTCCATTTCGGCTGTTGAGGCGTGGTCATGGAAGCGGGTGGTGCGGAGGACGAGGAATGATGAGCGTGGGTCCTTGGGGGTGCTGGTTGGGTGCTTGAGCAGGAAGACGTTCCCGTCGGTGTTTTTCATGGGTACGGGGCTAATGTCTGTTGCTTCGCGGTCCCAGGTTTGGACGCGCCAGTCGTGCGAGAAGAGGGTGTTTGTTAGAGGGTAGATTTCTAGTGTGGATGTGTCGTGCGGGTTGGAGGGGTTGGTTTGTGTTGTTTCGGGCTTGGTTTGCGGGAGAGGGGCGTTGCGGAAGTCCCAGAATCTGTAGTGAGTGAAGTAGGTTGGGGTTGTCAGGTTCGAGGGGCTGTTGGAGGTGATGCTGGAGGTGAGGTAACAGTCGCAGTTGGCGTGGGGGTGGTCGACTTGGAGGTTGGTGGTGGGTATGGATATTGCGGTTGCGTGGAGGAGGAGGTGGGTGGTGAGGATGAGGGTGGTGAGGACGAGTTTCATTTTGAGGAGTGGTGATAGTATGAATAGTAGGAATAGGGTTGAGGATAGATGTAGGAGGGGGGTGTTAAGGATAGCAGTGGTTGTTGTATGATGAGGACGGTTGAGAGAATGATGATGATGTTGGTGAGTTGATGATATGATATGTTGACATGGAAGGTGCGTCATGGCAGTCACTTCCATCAACTCGACAATTGTTGGGTCTGCATGATGAAATGAATGTGGTCTGGCATCATTTTACCATAATGTTGGGAGAGGTGATCTTTGACGGGAATTATTTGCGGAGGGAACTATATTGTTGGGGACGAGAAGTATACAAAGTGGCCCACTTTGTATGGAGATATGCGCCCCCCGAAATCACTTTCTGCCACACCATCGTCTGCACGCACGACCCTGGTCCTGGGGAGGCCGGTGGGAACATAGGTCTCATGCCGGGCGAGCTCATCGAAGATTTCAGCGTAAGTATTTTCTTGTTGGCATATAGAGAATATGTCATGGATTAGAGGGTTTGTGATGTGGTTAGTCACGCAGCTATAACCAAGCGACCAGCGGAAATTTGATCCGATTAGCATATATCTATTCCTTTCTCACTAACTAGAACTATGCTAACCATATACTATGTGCAGGCAGAAACCATCCACAATTATCGCCCTTGAACGAGCAACCACTGCCCACTCAGCTTATGATAATTTCAGCCGACGATATATTTCAGGCCAACACACAAGGTCCTAGCTTCAAGAAGTCTCTCAGTATACTCGGATGATTTGACCCATAACGGTCCGATCTCATTGACTTCGTAACGGACATCCTATTGTCAGTGTTGATGAGCGAATAATCACACTCGCGTCGCGGAGAACACGCGTTTAAGAAATGATACTCTAGACACAATCGCTTACCTGGTATAGGTGACCGGATTTCCCGCATGCCAGTCCCTAACTCAAGCGCTAATTATTGGAGATGTTAAGAACGAGCCATCAATCGATTCATAGCGCCAAAGGCCTCGATCAACATCTCGTCGCTTGCATTGGCCAGAGCGATTGTTTCATCTTCGTCTGCGTCCGAATCGTCCGCTTCTTCTCTTGATTCTTCTAATTTTTCGTCAAAGTAAAGCCACAGGAGCATCAGAAAGGCCATCTTAAGGGCCCTCTGTTTTATGTCCGACGGTGGCTTTGTGACCTCAGGGATTAAGGTTGCCAAGAGAGATTGAATAGTATGCGATGGGGTCTAGATTATGTTTTATCATTAAGAGTCCAATCCCGGATTGAAGATGGATGGTTGTGACTTGTGGAAGATGAATTCGGAAAGACTTTTCATTGCAACCTTGTTCATGGCGACCGCTAACCAAACCCTAATTGTATAATAATAATAGTATAATTTGCAGTATTTTGTATGAGAGGTTCTGCAGGATTATAATAATAATATAATTATAAGCGAATTATATTAACGAAACAGGTTTAGCGCTGCCGCTGGGGAAACCAATTTATACTGGAGTTTGTTCCAACTATAGCCTTAGTACTGAGATCAGGGATAATGCGCCGGTTTGACAAAGACTTCGGCTGATGAAAGTACCTTTGTCCTTGGTCCAGGTTGGCTTATCTCGCCTTCTTGGGTTCTTGCTGCAGAAGTCAAGTCTATGCGAGCTGTTTGCACGTCATCCATAGCAGTGTCATGTGCCCCACTGGCAGCGTCTCTCACGCTGCATTGGCTTTCGGCCTTATTCCGCCGTCGACCGCGGCTATTGCTATCATGCATGGTTTTGTTCTTCATTCGCAGTTCAGAATACGGGTTCCGAGTAAACCTACTACTTACCCTGTGGCGCGCAGGCATAAAGTGGACTGAGCGAGATGCACTAAACCACTTACGGGCATAAAGTACGATATTGTGGAGCCGTGGTCTATGGTCTCGAACTAGCTGTGAAGAAGAAAGGGATTAGAGTATAGGAAAGCATCAACTTGAGGGTTATAAAAGTTCAGGTAACACCCAAGTGAGCCATTATGTCTGCAGTTCTAGAGTCTGGCATATCCTTGCAAGCCATCCTTGTTTCTCCATATCCCTTCCCACCAGAGCGAATGATTTAAGGACCTGAACAGCTCCCAACATGGCTTCAGCAAATGAGACACCTGGCTACATCCCAGTCTCCGAATGGCCAAATCTCGATGCCCTCGCGGTAGGCTTCAATGAGCACTTGATGGCTGAGTCCCGCAAGCTCACCGGGAAGAGCCTAACGCTATTCCTCAATGATGCCAATCTCATACGGATCGCGCACTGTTTTCTCGATAATGACACTCTAGAATGGGAGGTTCAGAGAGATAAACAGACCGGGACTGCAAAGTACAAAGCCTTCGAAGTCCGACCAGATACCTTCTTTGTTGATTTCTACAAGCCCGATTATCAAGAGCAAGTCAGTCTCGTGATGAACCTGCGCACCGGACAGGCCATTGTTGGAGTTTCTGGCTTTCACATCAAAGACGGGCAGAAACGGACCTGGACCCGGTTCTTGAACGCCTCAATTGGCGGACGCAACGACGTTGTCCCATTTGCGCCGACAACAGATCTTATCGGTAAACACATCCTATACCGCTACACACCCCGGGATGCCTACGAGCACATCTACCTAAACCAAGGCACATTGACGTGGCATTGTCTGAGTGGGACGGAAAAAGGGCTTGCAGATACTGAGCCATGCAGAATGCTGAAGCTGGATGAGAAATTGTATCTGCTGTTTTGGAGCGAGAAGATCATGCCTGTTGAATCGATTGTCGTGGTGGATCTTCATCAGATGCGCTCGACAGGCCGGTTCTTCTGCTGGGACCCGAAGCCGGCAAAACTGGTGCAGATGTTATTTGGTTCGTACGCGACAATATTGGCTCAAACGGATGCTGCTGAAACGCTTGCCTTGAGGGGATCTCATATCTGCTCATGGTACCCAAGGAAAGGCATACTGGATAGTCAAGGTAGCGAGATGAGCATGCAGCATTTAGTGATGAGCAGTCGCAACTGTATGCCCGATTAATGATTCAAATGCATAGTGTTATTCTTGGCTTTCTGCTTATCATTTGTTTGTCAAATTATTAGATTCACGATTGGATAAGGTGGGGAAGACGGAGTATTGCTGTGCCCCATAACTCTCCTTAAGAACCAGGCCCGCTCGAGGCCCCGGAATGGCTTCCTCCATGTAAACAATGAAGCATGCCTAAATACAAGACTTCAAACCCACGAAAGAGAATTAAATCGCGTGGTAAGAGACCCAGCTGAGTAGAGAAATACGTGATACACTAACCACAACATCCTAACCCATAGCCGGCTGCCAGACATGCAAGAAACGGGTGAGTGACACGACCAACTCATCATGGGCACCGTGATCTTGCTCCGCATATGATCTGACTTTGGCAAAACAGCGCATCAAGTGTGACGAGAAAGCCCATGGTTGCTCTCCCTGTGAGAAGAAAGGACTGCAGTGCCCTGGCTACAGGAAAGATGTGAAATGGTCCGATAAATATGAGGTGCTCAGAGGGTCTGCGACAAGCCAAGAACATTCATTTCACAGGGATGATTCGGCCTGGTTCGTAGAGGGTGCTCTTCAACTGAGAGCTGCCATCGCTCCCAGCCACATAGGGAGTGTCAAGACCGCGGACGCGCCATTGGAGAGCACAGACATGGCAACGAGTACCGCAGACTGCTGGATTAATACACATGTTTGGGATAAGTTGTGCAGTTGTTCTGCAGAGCTGTACCATGAAGACCAGCTCTATCAGAACCAACTGCTATACAGCTGTCCGGAACCAGTTACTGACCAATTACTGAGATACTACTTCTCGCAAGTGTGCGGCATCCTTTCTGCCTTTGACTCATCGCAAAATCCGCTCCGGTCGCTGCTCGAAGAACTTATACCATCATGTCCAGCACTTTTGCATTCCGTCCTCTCAATGTCGTCCGCTCATCTACATCGGCGACAGAAAGACCGGATGAGGTACTCACTTGAACATCGAACCCAGGCTATATCACAGCTGGCCTCCAACATCACAGAGGTTACTAGTACTGAGGGTTCTGCACCAGCAAGCCTAGATACGAATGCTTTATTGCTGAGTTCTATATTACTCGGAATGACCTCGGTAAGCTCTACGTTCATTCCGTTTGGAAACTGGTCTTTCGTGTCCTTACTAAAATTTTACCGAAAATCAGACATGGCATGAGGTATCCATGCTAGATTTAGTACATCTCAATGGCGCCCGTATTCTGTTTCAAAAGTGGATAATGAACACCCACCAACAAAGCGTTGGACCGCCCCCTTATGATACGAGTTCTAGCTTCTTAGTTGGTGTAATGGCATACTGGGAGGCTCTTGCCTCCTTTCACGTTGACCAGGACCTGGAGGCAGTAGACTATCTATGGGATATTTGCAATAGGGCAACAAATTCGGAGGCTTGCTGTCCGAATCCACTTACCGGGGTCAGTACATCACTGTTTATCTCTATGGCTCAGGTCGGTACATTGTCTAGACAGCTTCGCCTTGTTGATCGGCTGTGCTCCCTGGCAGGCCCGGATAAATACAAGGGAGAGATGTATCTTTCACTTCTCGACAAAGCAAAGAAAATTGAGAAGTACGTGCGCGCTTATGCTGTATTGCCGGTTGATGAGATTAGCGCTACAGGAGATGACCTCACACCATCGAGCCATCTTCATACTATGGGACTTGTGTACCGGCTATCGATACTGCTCGAGCTTTACCGGCTTTTCCCAGAGTTACTTCGGTCGAGCGATGACCTAATTAGTTACAGCCCCAGTTCATCAGAGACAAAACACTTCCTTGACACACTCGCCACAAACATCTTGACCCTGCTGGTTTCTATCCCTCCATCATCAAGGACAAAGGCTATCCAGGTTCTTCCATTGATCATTGCAGGCAGCGCGCTGCAAGGGCAGACGCAGCCCTCATCCAGTACATCGTCGTTGCCGTTATGTATTCGCGACCCGATTCAAGGGATCATGTCACTATCTAGCAACAGCCTCATCACGAATTATTGGAGACGTGTTGTCATGGACAAAATTACTAGTCTACGAGACTATGTTGGTCTGGACTCGGTGGACCACGCGAGAAGAATAGTGGAAGGAGTGTGGATGCGAGCGGATAGCATGAGCTCTAGAGGCGCAGGGCCTTGCTCCATGGTTAGCTGGTTGGACGTGATGAGAGAGGATAAGCTACAGACGTTCTTTGGTTAGCGATGTGTATGTCTCCTTCCTGCAACGAAGCAATCCATACATACCATCAGCACACTCCCTTATCAGCGCTTCCAAAATAATGGCCCTAGGGAGTACCTATGCGTCGTATGTCTGAGTGCTTTGAGCAAGATGGCGTTTATTATGAGGCATATTCCTCAGCCTCATATTGGAATATCAAAACGGCTGGTTGAATGTTCTGTCGTAATGCCAATCTCAAGTCAGCGAGGCGTCCAATCTATGGTAAGCGAACCCCGCCCGTCTGTCTGGAGAATGAGGCCTGATGGACACCGTTTTCATCCTGTATACAATCTGACCAGTACGGTTATCAATACGAAGGTGAGGACCATGACGCCGAAGGATGCTAGTAGTTATTTGCGTTGTCCAATCAACAGGTAATGCTACTCTCCTTTTCGGGTGGCGAGATGAGCAGGAACAATGGTGATTGGCTGCTCTGGGTCAGCTGAATGCAGTGTGTCTGCCAAGCTGCCGATATGTTGTGATGCGTTTTGTCACGGATCGTACCGTGTATTGTCATAGCTGGCTCGCGATAACATCCTCTGCGATTAAGTATACTATCCAGGAGAAACAACGAAATAGAAAAGTTACTATGATTAGGCCTGTATAGAATGACAAGTCTAAAAAGCAGCGCTGCTATCATGGCAATTCCCTTGGATGCGACTGTGTGCATTGAGGTCAGGCGCTGGATTGAATTCGGTTGGGTGAAGCGGGTGCCACGAAGGAAGGCAGCCAGCGAGGGGCGGGATCTGCCTGGATCCCCTTCTCGACGGTCGCTCGTCTCTTTTCCCTCTTGCAACGCCCCAGCCATCGCTTTTCAACCATCAACAACCGTCATCGAACTCCACCACAACCATCTCGCTGTCATCCCAAAACTCAGGCAAAATGCTGCTGATACCTGTCTAAAGCGTTCCATGTGCTTTTATGTACACCAACCCGCGCAATTCTACCGATTCTCCGTGCCCCCCTTTCGCCCATCATGACCACAACCCTTGAACGCAGCCTCTCTCGCACGTCGAGCATGTCCATCCCCGTCTCTAGCCCTCGACTATCTCTCATCCATGAAAACACACCTCCAGCCTTAGCAGACCCGTCCCTGTCACACATCCATGACCGCCTGACCTTTCTGGACTCCCGCCTACTTGAGCTACGCTCCAGCGTTTTAACCAAAGATGGCTACGTTGACCGACGAAACCGCGAAGACGAACACATTCGCCGCGAATTTGAAGCCCATCGGTCAATTTCTAGTCGAATCGATCTGAATGTTGTTGCGTTGAAGACAGACGTCGACCAGTTGAAGTCAGGCATATCCCAACTCAAGTCCAGTATCGGCCAAAGCGGCAACGAGACCGTCTTTCTTCGCAGTGATGTCGACCGCTTGTCGAAAAACGTGGAACAGATCCAGTCAGATGTTGAGCACCTGCAGACTGACGTATGTGGATGTCGCGTGGAGATCAGCAAACTACACGCGACTATCAGCCAACTTCGAACGGATCTGATAACTCTGCAACATGAGACATCGCGGCATTTGACTTCTGTGTTCAATCGGTTCTCTCTTATTGAGTCTCGGATGAAGCATTCTGAAAGAGTTCGTTTCAACTCCCTGGCCCACACGACACATGCACCGATCACGCCTGTACCTGTCGTTGAAGAGGATGGATCGTTGCAGTGGCCTGAATATTTCCCTCGCACCGTGTGGAGATTTTGGTGTCTGAAGAAGCGAAGCAGGAGTAAGTGCAGGAATAATTGCGTCACAACGGCAAGCATCTAACTTTAACTCAGTCAACCGATTGGCACAACTGGCCGACTTCTATCAGCTTGGAGGATATGAGTATTGGGGCCGCATGCACCAGGAGCAAAGCCTGTTTGCGAGTGATAGCGACTCCAGTGATTCCAGCGATTATCCGTCCAACTTAAGTCGCGCAGAAGCCGTACGCCTGTACCCCGAGGCTGCACACCAGGCCCTGGCTGCGACCTTGGGGTTGGTATATTATAAGATTCGCAACGAAGTGGGCGAAGGCCCGAACACTGCTATAACCCGCCCACCTAAACGTCAGCAAGAAGAGGTGATTTCGGCTACTTCGAGCAAGGAGAAGCCGGTCAAGATGGCACGCCGCCCAACTGTGTCACCTACGACTCTGAAAAGGCTCATCACTGGACCCTCTTTGGAGTCCAAGTCTCTGACCTCTGAAGAGTCTGACAAGCTTGGTTGGAATGCCCACTCTGAGATCTCTGACGACACAATGAGCAAGCTTCGTGGAATCGTTTCGGACGAGGTTGGTACATTGCTTCGAGCCTTGGAGAAAGGCCGAATCCGACTTCGATCCAACCGATCCGAGCGGACGAACATGTCGCCCACTGAGTCTAGAGCCGCTGAGTCTAAAGCTGGCTCTCGCAACAGCAAGGTTGCACCAGAGGACGAGCCAACTTTGCCGAATACGATTCCTACCGAAGTACTATCTATTTCCTCTGATCATGCCGAGAAAATCGGCGATCACGAGCTTCCAGACACTGCGTCTGATGCTTCGAGTCCACTGACTTGAGCCCATGGGATACACACTGCAGTTGTGATATCTCTACACAATACGTCGATACATCGGTTACGTCGTCTAACCGCCTAGCCGCTGCATAGCAGACGCTCGGGTATTCGTGGATCACCGTTCCACGCCAGGCTATGTCGCGCCATCGATTGATCGAGGCTGCGGAGCCTGCTGGAACCTCCGATGAATACCTGAAAGGCAGAGACGAACTTGCTCGCCAAAGGTGAGCGTTTGACTTATACCGACGATCTATAATGTCTTGGCTATATAAGCCGCTATGGACGTTGATACCCGACAAGCATCAAAGGCGTCCTGTTTGATTTATTCTGGTTCATATGATACCCCATGTTTGGATATTGGATCTAGCGTACATACTTTTGACCTTGATTACACAATTAACCAGTGATTATTGACCAAGCATAGCTCGATCCGAGACAACGGGTCGGGAGTTCGAGTAACTACCTATACGATCGAGATCGCTGTCTTCGCTCAGACTGCCTCGAAGTGCATCGGCCGATCATAGATGATTTCTTCCTAGACAGATGCAAGTAAAGCACGGTTCCACCCGACTCTCCAGTTGTCGCTATGATATAAACAATTATTAGGTACAAGTAGATGTCCCCTCCCCTCCCTTCTATGTCATGATGCTCCAGCCAGATCTAGATAGTTCCTACGCTGCTGCCGAAGGCTCGAACAGATCCTTCTGGAGGACTTCCAGAACCTTGGATTCGTCGACGCCTTGAAGGTCAATGGCACCCGGAGGCAATGTGTCGTCTGCATCCCCCGTATCCTCGCTGCTCTCCTCCGGCGACTGATGCGTGCGGAGGTACTCTTCCTCTAGAATGTACTTGGAATCTTCCTGGGCCCGTATAGTATCAGGTGAGTCCGGCAGCACGTAGATGGTCGGGAACTCCAAGACTGTGTGACCACGCAGAGCGGCAGCAATGGTGATCTTCGGGGGCAGTGGGGCCAACACTGGCTGTTTCGTAGCTGTCCGCGGACGATGAAGGTAGAAGTAGAAATCGCGGTGGGGGGTGAGTGGCAGCACGTCTGATGTAGGTGTCGCCTCTGAAGCTTCCGGTTGAGCGGTTGGTGTGTCTGTCGGCTGTGTAGGTTCTGTAGCCGAGGCTGGCTCGGTGGCTGTAGTTGTGGCATCCTGCGGTTGTTGCTCCGTCTTCGACTCTGGCGTCTCCGCTGGCTTCTCATCCCCAGTCTGCTTCTGATCCTGCTCATCACTTCCTTCCTCCTTAGGAACAGGAACCACGCGATCGTAAGAATCCGCAACAGGAGCCATCTCGGAACAATTCCTCATCCTCTTCTCCCCATCACTCAGAATCCACTCGACCGTCCAAACCAAACACTGATTCCTAGATACCACGTAGTTAGCACGATCCCCCATCCCCCAAGCCAACAAAGAACTCAGAGAGAGATAGACATACCTCCCCAACCACCGACTCCCATTCCCCTTGTTCCTACTCATCCCCTTCGGCGCCCTAACAACCCTAACCCCTCTCTCCTCCGCACGTCTCAAAAACTCCATCTCAGCCCTCGTCCCACCACCAGCACTACCAGTATCCCCTCCCCTCTTCCTCTTCCCCCCAGCACCAGCACCAGCACCAGCACCACCCTTATTCCCATTTCCTCCACCCACATCCCCCGCATCCAACCCAACCGCCTCCAAATCCCTCACATCCGAAGAAGCAACATCAATCCCCCTATTCTCCGCATCCCGTCCCGCCCGCTCAATGGAGCGCTCAATCCCCGTAATGAAATTAAAGTCCCGATCGAAGGCGGATTCCGTTGCTAGTTCGGACCGGCGCAGGTAGGCGGCTGGGTCGCGGATCCCTGAACATTGGGACCAGAGTTTGTGTCGCCGTGTGCAGGGTAGCGAGCATGTGCGTGTTGAGCATCGTGGACAGCGGTATTTGGGGGGTTGGAGGTGGCTGTTTTTTTTTTTCTCAGGGGAGTGGTTAGTGAGAGCTGGGTGGGAGGGTGGATGGGATGGGATGGGGGGACGAACCAGATTGAGCAGAGGTCGGAGAGGGGGGAGTCGGGGGTGGAGGTGGACATTGCTTTTTTAATTTGTCTTTTGGTTTGGTATTGGTATTAGTAGATTGGATTGGAGGGGTTCTTCAGGTTGAAGTGTGGTGATGGAGGAGGAGGATGTGTCTGTCGCATGCGGAGAAAAAATGATAGCATGGATAGGTTTTCGTATCGGAGATAAGCTGGAGTTGATGGATGGTGGCTTATCGATAAGGGAGGGAGCTTGGGGTGGTTGGTGCCTGGGGCAGAAAGACGGTTCCGTTTGTAGAGTTGTATAGTTAAGTTTCAAACAAACATGAGTGGCTAATGTCTTAGCAACTTATAAGCTAAACGCAAAAGAAAATGTGTATCTGATATTCAATCAACTAATTCAACGAAATAAAACCAGCACCCCGTCCTGTCTCCTCCAACAACTGCTCACCCAGACTCTCCATCTCAGCACGCATAAGCGCAGTCGCACCCTTGTCTTGCCAACTTCTCTCAAAGTCAATCAACCTAACCGTACCATCACCCCGAACAACAAAATTATATCTATTAACATCGCCATGCACGATACCAATATCATGCAGACTCTTCAACACAGCTTGACACCCGACAAGATCCTCGATCCCCGCTTCCCGCCCCTCCATCTTTTCGAGTATGAACCCAATGACACGTCCATGCTCATGCACATGGCCCAGGAATCGCGGAGCGAGATCAGAGATGCCCTGTAATTGCTTATATATAGACGTCTCTCGCGCTAATCTTGGTATTTCCCACTCGAATCGGGCAGTTTTGACAATTACTGTTGCGTTCTCTCCCAACGTCGTAGTCCTTAGCGACTCGCTAATAGTACTGCAGTAGGTTGCTTCGAATGTAGTAGCTGTAAGCTGTCTTGTCCTTCTTAGCTGAAGACAGTCAATCTGCACAGGATGCCAGATGTCTGATATGCCGATTAGATTTCGGTTCTGTAGTTCGATGGTGAGTTGATGGCTGGATGGGTTTCGGCTGATGAGTGCGCAGTTCCAGGTATTGTCTCCTGGGAGGTTGTGTAGTGAGCTGAGAGGTGTGGAGAGGGTTGAGCGGTTGACCGTTCCGGGTCGGATTGTGAGGTATCGGATTTTGTTTTGTAGGAGGATTCGGTAGTCGCTGTCATCTTTGCTTGATACCTCCATGGAGAGGATCGTGGGGGAGGAATTGGTTGGGGTCATTGAGGGAGGGAGTGTGGGGGAGGGTTTGTGGGTGGTGGTGATGGTGGTGGTGGTGGTGGATAGGGTTGGAGGAAAGGAGGTGAACTCATGAGATACTATCTTCTCTGAAAAGATTTGATTGGCAGCTTAAGCATAAGTATTTACTGGGGATACTTTGCCAGTGAGAGTGTGAAAGATCTTACTGGAAAGTGTGAAAGCGAAAGTATGAAAGAACTGGCAGACTGCCAGGATCATCCGCATATGCGCCTATCATGCATGTTGCACGGGCATTGCACCGAAGAAAATTATTTCAATTCCATTACTATCCTGAGTTCCAGTACTATCCTGAATATTATCTCAAGCTACTCAAAATTCCACTTTGTTGACCAGCAAGCCTCCTGTACCAAGCCTTCTGACAAGCTATCTTCTGCCACATGGATTAGGAATATGCCTCTTCCTAGCGCAGCCTCCATTCTTAACAAACGCCGGGACGTCAGGCTTGATGGTGCCCCCCTTGCTCAATTCCCATAGCTTGCGAGCCTCTGAACACTTTCCAAAATGCACCATGAATTGATCATGCGAATAAAACCTATCTCGGTCATCCCAGTCATCATAGTCTGCCCCTGACGACTGCAAGGCCTTCTCTAGAGAAATCTGGCAGCCACTGCAGGAAACGCCCCTCTCAATGACACCTTTTTTCTCGTCGAGATAAGGTAGAGCCGTACAGGCCATATAACGCTGTAGCTCTGTGTAGACCTTTGAATGAAGCCTGGGGATAATTGGAACCCGGTCAGGCGGGAAGAGCGATTTAGCGGATCTTTCCAAAACAAATTCGAATCGTCCCGTTCGCTTTATTTCATCCAACGAGTACACCCCAGGCAGCGTCGTTATCATAGGAATCCGGCTGGAAATAGGAACCGGCCGCCAGCCCAGGAATGGTCTGACGTGACAAGTAGGCAAAAGGTAAGGAAGGTGATCGTCCTGAATGCAGAAGAAACAACATCTCATGAACGATGGAAGGAAGATAAAGCCACCAAAGGCACCGCATTCCTTACAATTTTTTGTGCAGAGAACGCCATATAGGTCCGAAAGTGTGAACCAAGATGCCATGCCGGTTCTGAAGATGACAAACAGGGACTCGACGGCGTATTTGACTACCGCTTTGTAGTATCCACTGGCGCTGGCGATTTGTCGAGCTCGACGGTTGACTCGATGGAAGCGAAACAAGGATTGAATGTCGAGCGATAGGCATATCTCGTGGATGAACTCTAGTGGAAAGACATCCAGAACTCCTAGACTCGAATTCAGGTCGATGGCATGGGTTTGGGGGGTCAGCAAATGGCGTATCAGGTTGTGGTGTGTAGGGGATGTTCTGATGACTGCTAAGTCGTAGTCGAGTCGGTGATATGAGGCAACGCGAATGACATCTTTGACAGCTGGAGCTTGAGCTTTCTTTTCAAGACGCGTTGTTTCTGCTGGTTGGTGCAAATCCATGTTGAATGATCGTCAGTATAGATACTGTTGATACTGCACGATCCGGCAGAGTCAAGGTCACAAAGTCCCAACCACTAACATGGCGTGATAACTTGGAATGATTGTTTACCCTATCATCCACTGACTGAACAGAGATACATCATGAGCGAGTATGGGATTTCTCAAATAAATAGAACTCGTTGTATACATCGCAGTCACTGTCTATACATACACGTGACATCCTGCAGTACGCATTGGGGTTAGCGTTCCTCTATCATTCACAATAATTAAGTGCATCGTAATCTCGTGAATAACCAACATATGTTGAACTTAAATAGTGATGATAAATATGGTGAAATGAAGAGTCGTGAATAGCTTGCCATGGCTAGTTTGGGGAAAGTAGATAGTAGCGGCTAACCCGGAGTATACTAGAGTTTTTACCCCATATGCTACTTCCTACCTGTCAGACCAAGAATATCTTCCACATAACTATGATGACATGCTATAATAGCCAAATTGACAGTGAATTCTATAATTACTTCCCTTACAAAGTATATATCTCCTAGTACCAAATTGTAGACCATATACACACTCTACGACCACACCCCATCCCTTGATTACTGATCGCGCATCGCGGATTTCTAATCTCGGCATGACAAGAACCCCGACTGGAATGACGCCATGAGAATCTCCTCATTTACTATATAATTCCATATCAACCCCTCTTTCTCCATAAACATCCAGAAGCTATATCTTCTTTGTTTCTTCAACGGAAACTCTATATCATCAAAATGGCCACCAAACCCTTCGCCATCATCGCCGGTGTCGGTCCAGGCACTGTACGTTCATCCCTCCCATCCCCATACTGTCTCCCCCTTCCAAACAGAACTAACAGCAGAAAAGGGCGCCTCCATTGCCCGCCGCTTCGCCAAATCCTACCCCATCGTAGTTCTAGCCCGCAACCCAGCCAACTACCAGCCGGTCGTGGACGAAATCAACTCCGCTGGCGGCCAAGCCACCGGCATCAGCGCCGACCTCTCCGACACCACAGGTGTCCGCTCCGCCTTTGAGCAGATCAAATCGCAGTTCCAGGGTTCATCGCTAGCCGCTGCCGTATTTAATTCGGGCGGTGGATTCGTGAGGAAGCCTTTCCTCGAGTTGACCGAGACGGACTTTGCTTCCGGCTTTGAGAGTCAGGGGTATGCATGTCCCCCCTCCTCCCCTATATTCCCGAGGAAATACTAATTTGATAATACAGAAAAGGAGCATTCAACTTCGCGCAGAATGTCCTCCCACTCTTCCCTGCTGAGTCGCAAGGAGGGTTGAAATACCCACCTACTCTCATTTTCACCGGCGCGACAGCCAGTCTTAAGGGCTCGGCGCAATTTGCTTCCTTTGCGGCGGGCAAGTTTGCGCTGAGAGCGTTGGCGCAGTCGCTGGCGAGGGAGTTCGGGCCTAAGGGCATTCATGTCTCGCATGTGATTATTGATGGGGTTATTGATATCCCGAGGACGAAGGGGTGGGTGTTTGAGAAGGAGGATGCGAAGCTGGATCCTGAGGCAGTAAGTTTTTCTATTCCATTGCATTGAGCGGTTTTTGGTTGTTTGGTTGTTTGATGGGGTGAGATGCTGATGATGTGGTTAGATCGCCGAATCGTATTGGCATTTGCATACGCAGCCTAGAACGACGTTCGGGTTTGAGTTGGATTTGAGGCCGTACGTGGAGAGGTGGTAAGGAGAAAATCGGGGAAGAGGGAATGTGCAGTCATTGGAGATTATTGTATCCCAAGTTGATAATGTGTAAGGATGAAGTTGCAGAGGGTAGTATCTGAATGAACTACAATATCGATCTCGAAAGACAGGAATAGCTTCTGAATTTACTGATTACTAGCTATGAAATAAGCTAGTAAATCAAAATTCCACAATTAGGTCATATGAGTTAAGCTTGAAGCAATTCTACTTCACAAAGATGTAAACAGTCCAGCAGACCTACGCACAACTCTGCACAACCCCTATGCAGCTGACTAACCAGCACAACACAACCACCTCCGCATCATCAATTCCATCATCATCATCATCCAAACTCCCCATCCACCACCACAACCACAACACCAGCTTCCCACTCACCGCACCACAGCTACCTACCCACACAATGTCATACACCACCGACCCCCCACCTTCCGGGGACCCTCCCGCCGTGTTCAAAGACCCAAACGACCCATTCTCGCGCTTCCACCCACTAAGAGTGAACCCGAAGCTCTTCAAACGCCCGGACCCAATAACCCTCTACCTAGGCTTCGGGGGCCAAAGCGTATGGAGCTCCCTAGTAACCATGAACGTGATCCGCACACTGGAGCAACACCAACGGATCGCGCACCGGCCGCTCACGCAGCCCGAAGCGGACGCCACAATCGAGCACTGCACGGCACGCCTCTACCACAGCCGAATCGGGCAGCCGGTAGGCGTGCTCGTTGGCGCGATCGGGAGCTACAAGGCATTTCAGAGGACAGATATATGGAAACAGAATTTCGCGCCGGAGGCGGGCATCCGACGGTACGATTTGCTGATCGCGGGGATACAGAAATGGGCGAGGGAAAACCCGAATACGTGGAGAAAGGACGCTACACGGGCGGGGTTGCAGACGGCTTTTGTTGCGTTTGTGTGTCTGATGATTGGTGATGGGATTGCGGGTGCCAGGGATATCAATGATATGATGATGGATTCTAGGTTGAAGGGGCTTTGGGCTGAGGCGAGGAAGAGGAGGGGTGAGATGAGGGAGCCTGATAATAGGACGGGGAGGATGCCGCCGACGACGCCGATGCCCGGGTCGAAGGGTGAGGAGCAGAGTCAGTTGCCGCAGCAGGGTGATGGGCTTGGGGTGCAGACTGGGTCGGATGAGGAGGCGGCGAGGTTCGGGTCGAGTACGACGTCGTGGGGCACGGAGACGAAGAAGGTGGCTACGCCGTCTTATGAGACGCCGAAGTCGTCGAGGGATAAGGCTGATGACTTTTGGGATGATGCTAGTCCTGTGGCTGCTGAGTATAGGGACAAGGACCAGTCGGTGCCTGGGGAGAGTGCCTGGGAGCGGATTCGAAAGCAGAATAATGTCTCGGCTCAGCGGGAGGTGCGGACGGTGTATAAACCTGCGTCGAGTTCGACACCCTCTGCTCCTGCTCCTGCTCCGGCTAACGATAAGCCGAGTGAGCGTGAGTTGGCGCAGGCGGAATTTGACAGAATGTTGGAGGCGGAGCGGAAGATGTCGACGGACAGTCTGAACACTCCACAGCAGCACACCTCTGGGTGGTGGGGGAAATGGGACTGATTGTTTGTATAGTGGCTTGTACATCATAGCGCTGACTTTATTGTCCATGGCTTGGACAGGTGAACTCTGATTATGACTTTCCCCTCTGCCAGTTGATTACTTGTCCTTGACCGAGAGTTGCCCGGTGCCAGTTGGATACAGCTACATGTTTCCTGCAAACAATGTCTTCGTAAGACCTAATTCTCTAACGTAATTGACCAGTGTAGTCCGGAATGGCTTGATTAATCACTAAGTGTCTGCATAGTTTGGCAAGACTTAGACAAATAGGTTAAGGAGCGACTTTTCTCGTACCCCCGAGGGCTATGTTTAGACGAGGAAGAATGGAAATATGAAAGAAAACCCATTATAGTGCACTTCTGGTAACTGAGTAATTCCTTGCCTGTCCATCATTATCGGGGAAGCGTAGTGTCAGGGTATACAGTTCCAACTATCACAATAACCAATATCTGAGATATGCCATGGCTAAAAGGGAAATAAGAAAAGGGTGGGGAAACAAGCAAATATAGAAGTAATTGAGAAAATGAAAAGAAACAGAATGTCATCATTCATAATTGTCCAACTGTAAGGGTTGACAGGTTAGATGCAATGCATCAAAGGTATTCTTATATGCGCCCGTCGACGATGACGCTCTCGTACGGTATCGAAATATCAGTAGCAACCCACGAGTCTGTGCTCTTGGTGCTGCCCATCCGAGCCAGGTTACGGATCTTGCTGCTCAGGCTCTCGTTGACACTGCGGCCCCGGCGGTGCTCAAAAGACATACGGCGTTGTTCCAGACCCGGACGGCCATCCGTGTGAAGCGTAGGTCCCGTGGTCATCGCGCGAGGTAGCAGTCGTCCGAAGTCTTCGTTGTCAATGGCGATGTCTATGGTCCCCGAAGACTCGCGTGGAGAAGCCAAAGGGGCAGTTGGGGGAGGTGGCGGTGGAGGAGGACTCAGATGTTGGAGCTCCGGCAATATGGGAGGGTTCTCGGTCTGCTGGTTTGCCATTGCATTTTCGATCGTCTCCTCTATGCTAACCGTCACAGGGGATCCGCCGTAGCTATGTCCGCCACTGTCTCGACGAGGAGCCATGCTTCGTGTTCGGCTTGTGGACCGACTTCTCGGGAGATGAGGGTTGTATCTTGGATGCATTGGGAGATTCGTTGGCACCACACCAGGCTGATGGCTTTCGGGAATTGGAACAGACATCGAACGACCGATCCGTTCAGCATCACCCTGGTATTTGGCATCACTAAGTAGGATGCCGGCGTCAGAAGGCACCGGAGGAGTCGGTGCTGTTTCTTCATACCCGTTATATTTGGGATGCTTCATGGCTTTCGGGGTTGCTGGCAGTCCCAAGGGCACACCGGACCTCGAAGAGTTTGAATCGGAGCTGCTTGGATACTCTGGAGAACCCTTGTTTGTAGCAGTCCGGTTCCGGCCAGGAGTACGCGGCGCAAAAGCATTGATGGAAAATGTCGCATTCTCCAAAGCAGAGCGACTCGGCTGCAGCTCCCCAGGAAACGGGATGTTAGGCGCCGATGGATTGCGTGCCAGCGACAGGCGCCGAGCTTCAAGCTCTGCAGCGGCAAGCTCCTTCCTCCGCTGTTCCGCAAAACTAACTTGAAGGGTAGCAGTTTGCTCCTCGTGAGCTGCCTGTGCCAGCATGCTATTGTCACTATGAGTGTTATCAACCACGTAGATGCCATCATTGGTGGCACCGCCGTTGAAGAACTCGGGCACAACTTGCTGAGCGCTCTCTGTCGGCTCGGTATCGTGGCGGCTACGAGATCTCGTTCTTGTCCACTTTGAATCAGATGGTATCTCCCCCCTCCCACCTGCACCCTTTTCAGGCCGACGACTACCGCTCCGTTGGCGGGTCCGCAACCGTTCTCTATCACTCGCAACTAGTCTCAATGCGTCTTCGGCACTGGATCCTGGCAATGGAGAAGAAGGAGATCTGGTCTCTGACTCTTGACGGTCCATACTGCGTCCTCGACTGGAAGGACCTTGATTTTCAGTACCAAGATGGTTGGCTGTGTTTCGACTGGCGGAACGGTTTTGACGGCGTTCAGAGGAGTTGCGCGAACGTGGTTTGCGCACCCTGCTAGCGCTGCGTGTTCGAGATGATGGCTTGTTGGCGGCATTGGCGTTGATCCGAGCCAGCTCCTCTGGCGACATTGGGACAGGAGATGAGGGAGAGCGTTTGGCGGGTGGAATATATCTTTTTTCGTTTCGCCCGCGTGTCTCCTGTGATGCGTTTCTAGAGCGGTACCTCCGAGTCGAGGTCTGACTGGCCGAGTCATCCGTATTCCTTCTTCCTCTTCCGTTAGGGCGGTTTCCTTGATACTTCTTCGCGTGATAGTTTGCCTCGCCTAGGCTACTGATATACGGGTCAATACTGCGGCCGCTAACGCTGGGGCTCCTAGCAGAACTGAAGCTATTTAACGTTGACGCTGGACTGCGGAAGTTGGCCAGCATCTCGGATTGGGCGTGCAAATCATTCTCCGACGCGTTGCGGTGATGAAGATTCAGCTGCAAGCCATCTGGCTTTCGGTCCCTAGTTCCGTTTCGGCTGTCTGAACGCTCCTTCAGGGCCTCAAAAACTCCAGCAGCCGGAGAAGGAAGACCCTTGATGGTGGCGAAGGTATCCCCTGTCGCTTGGACTGCGGTCTGAGGACTGGGCTTGTACTCTTCAGGGTCGTAACGGGCAGATGATAGCAAACCAAGCTGTTCGTCATCTGCTTCCTCCCCTTTCTGCTCTGATGGCTGGCTCTCGTCATTCTCTGATGTTGATCCATAGTCTAGCGCTTGTTTATTATATCCCGTGGAGGGAAACGTAGGAGGGTGTACGTCAATCGGAGTCTCCCCGATAGATGGAAGACGCCGTCTGTTGAAGGCGGGCGTGGTTGTACGTGTATTCATGGCGTTATTTATGCTCTGAATATTGTTTAGCTTGTACGACCCAAACCCACCCGGTGACAAGGCAGATTCGACAACCGCAGATTCCGCGATCGGTGTAACCCCGGGCGCATTTGTTGGTGTTCTGTCATCTGATTTCAGCCCGGGGAACTTGAAACGATTGTTGGGTTGAGAGTCAAATGAAGTAATAAGTTTCAGCGCTGGCGTCTTCGATACCGGTCTGCCATTGACAGCTGGTCTTGGGTGAGAGTTTGGAACCATCAGACTCGCTGGATTTGGATAAGGTTCCGGGGATGTCATTGGAGACCTTCTTGTGATAGCTTCTGCGAAGGATGTAGCCTGTTGCGCAGCGGGAGACGTCCATGGCTCGGAGGGCTCTGCACCCGTGCACATGAAACACCGAATCGCAAGCTGCTGCTGAGAGTGAGACACAACATGCTCACCCCATCGGCGAACCAAATACGATTGTCGCTGCCAGTCCGTAGGCATCACAAGGCATGTCATCAGTATGGCTTCCATAAAATAGTTTTGGGAGACATAGACTTCGATGGCATCGTTTCGGTCTCCCAGTCCTAGGAGTATGGTGGCTGCCGTATGGACATCTCCAATCTCCAGCAGCTTCTGGACCAAAGCTTGGCCGATCTTATTTGACTGTGATTCTCCAGACATCTGACTAAATGCCAGTAGCATCCAGTCGGTGATTGAGGCTGACCCCGAGCTGATCATGGAAAGCATATAGTCTGTATCGGATTCGCCAATCCATTGAGCAAGTAGAATGGCACTTTGACTACCTTCGGGATGGTTGCTCACTAATCACAGAATCAGTGAATTTGGAAGAACAATATCTAGTGAGTGCAGATTGGAACATACGTTCATCCCTAATCAAACCTTCAATATCTCCATCGAAGCCAAATACAACACTCAACATCTGTTGGCGTAGATCATCCGGCGTGAGGCGAGACTCGTCAAGGGGTTGATGGTGTCCATAAGGCACATCATTGAGGCGTGCACGCGTAAAAGGGAATAGATCTACTGGCTTTTCGGCAGGACTAAGCTGCACCTCATTCCTCAGCCGTGAACCGGCGCGGGAGCTTTTTGTTGACGACATTGAAACAGACGAGGCGTAGGCATAGGAAGCCCCGGATGGCTGGGGTGTTTCTCTCCCGGATGCTGAAGTTAGGGAGAACGATGTGGTGGTCTGACCGGACCTACTGGGTGGTGAGAACGGGATCTTGTGCATTCCCGAGGAAGCCTTTGAGCTAACGGAGTTCGTGACCGAGTTGGAATGACTCCTATTCACAGGGCTCGCGACATCGGCACGCTGTTGACGCACAGCTTCGATTCCATTCGTGTCGAACGGGGTCCTTCGAGAGCCAAACATCGCACCAGACTCCCTCATGTTTGGCGGTTCCTGCAAGGTGCGTAATCTCGGTTGCTCTGTGGGTGGTGGCAAAGCCCCAGCGGGGGCATGTTGCACATTCGCGACCATGGCAGGGCTGTCTATGTCGTACTGCTGGACAGTGTATTGAGGACCAAGGGTGAATAGTGTGGCGGTCGGTCCATAGTTGGCAAAGCCACGTGGGTTGTCGATGGTGGGGATGGGCTCATACGTGACGTGCTTTGTTCTGACATCCCAAGCCCACGTTTCACTGTTGATGGTGTTTAGCCTCGTAACCCGAGGGAAGATGGCGGGCGCCTGCTTACCCTTCAAGGAACTGCACAATCCTACCATTCTTCGACCAAGCCATCCACTTCGGTTCAGTGGCTGGGGAGCCATCAGACCTCTTGAGCACTCTAATAACGCGTGGGGCTTCTTTCTGCGGCGGTTTTGCTACACTCCAAACTCTCAGATCACCATTGGCCGCCAAAGTGGCTAGCATATCTGACTTCTGCTTAGATGAGGACGCATGCCACGCTAACGAGATTATCGCCGATGGTCCTCGCGAAGTGGACATGGTGTGTAATATGCTGAAGGTTGGGTGCAGTGTTGCGAGCATTATCGAACCATTTTGGTAACTACGCCAATCCGTTAGACCATTCAAGTAACCACTAGGCACAGTTCACATACCCAATAGCATATGTTCGACAATCCGTAGCGGGGGCTAGAGCGGTAATGGGATCAAAGATGGTGCGGCAGGAAACATGCTCGGAAGTAGATGGCTCAAATATAATCACGTCTCCCTTTTCATTACCTGCAGAAGGTTGTGAGAACTTGTTTACAGAGGAAACATGTCTTTCTGGGAGGGAGGGGTGTTACCAAAGGCTACATTCCCATTCCGCATCCAGGCGGCAACCTTGAGCTGTTCGAAGGAGGCGAACCTGGCGAGTACGCTCCCTGTGAACAGGTCCCATACTATTGCAGTCTGACTGACATCGTAACTGACCACCAGCCTTCCCGCACCGCGCTCGCTCACATTATCCACATATATGAAGCCGATGTCGTCCTGGTGGTTTTCGAAGCGTCGTTCGAGCGCCAAAGTATCGTGGTGGAGACATACAATCACCGAGCCCTGCGCATATAGGAGTAAAGACGCGGTTGACGCACATGGCTCAAGCCGGGCAGGGGAAGTCTGTGGCTGTGTTGACACTGGGGGCGCGGCAGGCTTCATTCTCGAAGGTCGAGGATCTGGGACTTGGACTGGATTTCTGTTCCATGATAATTCGACCATTGTTTCGACCGTACCACAGAGATATTCCTGAACAGGGTGCTGGAATTGTTTGACTCGTGTTCCTTGTCCCAATCCCAAGCTCTGTCTCCAGACAAGCAGGTATCAATTGCTCGGTCTAGGCACAGGTCACTTCTAGAGCGATTATATAAGTGGCGGTGGCGGCGTGACAATGGACACAGGCGCTATTCAGGCCAAAATGAGCAATGGTAATTATAAACCTCCCATTGGCACGTAAAAGAAGACGAGATCAAGCTGCGCGAATCCCGCCCAAGACAGCCAACGAAATTTCACTGCTCCAAATGCCTACCGAATCAAGAACACAAGCGTCAAAGTGTTCTCAAAAGACATTTGACTATGGATTTGAGGAGACCAGAGTCAGAGTATTGATATACGACTTAAAAGAACAACCAGAACGACGGCCTCTCGTCCCAACAGACTTGGGGTTATGGGGTGGCAAGAAAGAAGCGAGGTTGTAGCAGGGTACAGCGACAGATATGATGGTGATAGCGCGCTAAATCCGAGCCGAACAAAAAGGCAGACGCACAAAAATGCAAGTGAAAGACAAAGAATGATGCAGTGGAACGACCAGGGATACGACGCACTAGGCAGGCTACCACGTTGCTGGCACGAATTGTGGAGGGGGAAAGATAATAAGGAAGACCAGGGCAGAGGCGGGGAGGGAAGCAGAAAGTAAAATGGAAAGCGATTGCACTAACAACAATGACAGGATTCACACGAGCATGGACTGATAGTCGTGCTCTGGCCCTGTGGACTCTTAATCCTTATTATTCTCCAGATGGCGCCAGCCTTGAGAGGCTATTGTGTGGTTGTAGAAAACAGTTACCTGTGAAATCTGAGACGTCTCCGAAGGCAGCGGAGAGAGTCGATCGAAATCTCTAGCCATCAAGCAACACGAGCTAGCGCCAAGGGGAGTGGACGGCGCTTCCATGGACCAGGATATCATCGATATGGGACGAGCAGGGCGTTCAACGACCTAATTAGCGGACGAGGGCAAATAAGACCCGTCGAGCGGCATGAGGAGCTGTCGGTGGCTCCAGCAGCGGCACACCAACAAGCATGCAGCAGCGGGACATGGGAGCCAGAGTGCAAAGCAGACTGCCAGTCGATCCTGCCGCGTCTGACCAGGGGGGGGCTGTGAGAGGAGTTCAGTCTCCTTCGTGTTACGCCGTTGGCAGGCTAACCAGGAGCTATAGGAAGATCAAGCGGGCTAATCATCGAGCAATGCCGCCCACAATCAACATGAAGCGCAATCAGTGGAAAGGAAAGAGTTTGAGACTAAAATGGAGGAGATTAGATGAGCGCCAATTGTTGCACCGATCAGAGGTGGGCGGGAAACATGGGGGGGTGAGAAAGAGAGAGAGAGAAGTGTACGGGGGCCATACTAGTGAGGTGAGTAAGTTAGTAGTATGGAGTCGCGGTGGTGGTTAGATTCAATCCTATTGCATGCGTCCGTTTTTTCCCAGGCGGGGCTGGAGTGGTACCAGTGACTTTAGTTACCACTAAGATTCAGTATGGGAGGTAGAAGTATACAGGACCTTACCCAAGGGGAGTTCTGCATGGCCAGCGGCTGCTGTCAGGGACCTTTCCCGCCGGCTCCTCAAGCCTGATTGGCTTCCGGACTGCAGAGGGCGTTTCTTCACGCTGCAGGCCTCATCACTCGGTTGTGCCAATCAGCGCCCGCACCCGCCCTAGAGTCGCCCTCAAGTGACCTGCTCGGCGCGTAAATGAGCACTCTGACTGGTATCGTCAATGCATCCCCTCGACTGCTCAACCCATGTGGCCAGTAGGATTGTGGCTAATCTTGGGTGATGTGCAGTGGGACTTCGAATCACATCCCTCGACGGGCTGGGGACGGAACTACTGAGGTACGTGATATACTTGGGTACTTACGTGGATGTGAACACTGAAATAGTACGCAGAAGGACCGAAATAAGCAGGAAACATACTAAAATCATCCCTTAAGATGTGGAAATGGGAGGGCGCATCCCAGGTGATGTCCTTGAACCTTGAATAAAAACTGAAAGAGCCATCACTACATGTGCTGTAAGGCCGCCCATGATCGTTACCATGATCTAGATTGCGCTCACCCTTCACGAAATGGACAGAGTGGCGCTACATAGTATGATATACTATGGCGGTGTAGAAACCGCTGGTACTCAGGTTCACAGGACTACTCCCACGGGTTTTTCCACACTGATAATATACATTGGTATCATGAATGGGAACATCATCACCGTGTACACAACTAGAGACGTTTCCTTTGGGAAGGCCGGATAATACCCAAGATGGTCGCAGTATAACGTACATTTATCGGCGATTTTTTTGACACTTACAGAGCTAACGATCTGAACGGTCGGTCACAGTCGGAGCTGGTGAGACAACAATACTACGCACACCCGGTAAGAAAGTATACGGAGTATGGAGTCCGAAATAGCCCTTCCACAGATGGACACGGCCTGTGCATGCAATGTGATGTGATTAAGTAGGAGCTGCGCTGTGACTGGTGTCCTTCGGGACTAGTGGGAGGTCCCAGGGCTTAGACATTGCGGGGTGGTTGAGGAGCTCGGACGGTGATGAGATTTTGCCTCTTCCTTGGATGTGATAAGAAAAGCGTCGGGAGACGCAGGCATTCGGCCCATGCTAATCCTGGCGGACTGAGACTGACTGACATTTATCACCCAACAAGATACCTTGTGCATGGTAGGATTCAGTCTGTGTCACGCTCGGAACAATGGCATTGTGGTCATCCAATATCTCAATTAGAGCCAGAGTGCAACTGCACACTTGGGCCTTTACGTTGCTTTCGATGATGCCAACGAGAACCACAAGAAGCTCTAGACTTCGCGACAGGGTACTGCCATTTCCAGTTAGACGGACGGAGATGCCGTGCAACGCGACAGGCGGTCACGGGTAGATCACATGATACGGAACTGCTTGGCTCTGGCTATCGCGGCAAAATATCGGCCCGTGATCTGGATTTCCGCCTTCTCCAAAATCTTTTGGGTTCAACGATATCGATAGCAACGAATATCGATCCCATTCTCCGCTGCTTTACTTTTTCTCCCTGTTTAGCGGTCAAGTCTTATTGTAAACAAAATGGGTGTGCAAAAGAAGACTCGCAAGTTCGCGCAGGTATGATTACAAGGCTTTGCAGCTGATACGGAACGGAGACTGATCCTACTGAATCTATAGATGAAGCGCGCCATCAAGGCCCGCGATGAGCGACTGAAGAAGCCGGAAGCGAAGAAGGAGACGCCTAAGGAGGATCAGCTGACTCGCCAAGTCACCCAAGCCCCTTCGAACATGTTCTTTGCCGCAAATACTGCCCTTGGCCCTCCCTACCACGTGCTGGTCGATACCAACTTTGTTTCCCACGCTATCCGAGCGAAGCAGGATCTACTTACTTCGATGATGGACCTGTGAGTTGCACACAATATCTGGGCTTTGGACATCTGCTAAGACTAGCTGTAGGCTATACGCGAAGTGTGTTCCGACCTTCTCAGACTGCACCATTGCGGAATTGGAAAAGCTGGGTGACAAGTACCGCCTCGCACTTCGGGTTGCCAAAGACCCTCGGTGGTCTAGGGTCAAGTGCTCTCACAAGGGTACCTATGCAGATGACTGTATTGTGGATCGGGTGAGTGGTTACTCAAACCCTTCTTTTGGGGTAGCACAGCGCGCTAACGGCTCTTGTAGGTGACGAAGCATAGAATTTACATTGTGGCGACCAACGATCAAGATCTGTGTCGCCGTCTGCGCAAGATTCCTGGTGTGCCCATCATGAAGGTTGCAAGGGGCAAATTCACCATCGAGAAGCTGCCCGATGCTTTGGATTAAGCCTTGGTTTTTTCGGATTGCTGAAAGAAATGGCAAAAGAGAAGATGTGTGTTTGATACCACGCCATAGCACGACGTTTCATGAAGATATACCCAATTACCGCTTACTAGCGGACGCGGATTCAGTTCGTCTTCAGCCTACAAACGGGGAGCTCGTCTGGTCCCGCTGCGTCCGAGCACGATCATCCTGTCTGATGCAGTACAAGTCAATGCGATGGCAACACTACCTGGCAGGCCGGCTCGAGTTGCACATTGGCTTGCGACGTGCATGAGCCTCGGCTGGTCCATCTTGATGACCAGATTGTCCCGACGACTGCCATGAGTCCATGCGCGCGGTGGACGTGACCAAGCGAGACAGGCGGAAGCCGATCTTCGGAGAGCTTAGATAGCAGATAGATAGATGGTCAGTGTCGGCGGTCCTAGCCTCGATACTTGAAGCTAGAACCGAAAAAAATACTTTAATAATGCGCTTTATAACCTCCACGTTTACTCCGGTATACTAGTTATATTTCGTATCTATCCCCGAACAATAGATAGTTGTCCGGGTGATTCTGTACGCAATCAGGCCATGGCCCCATCACCAATCACCCAACTGCATAACTATCTACAGTAATTAAAAGCATTCAACCAAAAGAGGAACGATTGATGGTTATAAAAGGCCGCAAAGTATGACTCAATGCCCCCTCCGCGTGCGGGGAGCCGGTTCCAGAAACGCTTATCATCCCCTCAATCCCCGCCAACAACAACAACATCATCATCGCCAAACCACTTACTTACATACACACAATTCAACCAATATACAAACAAATACCAGCCACAGCATAATGACTGAAAAAGAAACCATCGTAGTAATAGGGTACGTCATTTATCAATCCCAACGTCACCAAAACACCACTAACCACCCTACCCATTGCAACCAAACAGAGCCGGCATAATCGGCCTCTCCACAGCCCTCTACATCCAACAACACCTCTCCCCATCCCAACGCGTTCTACTCGCAGCCCGGGACTTCCCCCACAGCACATCCCTCAACTACGCCTCACCCTGGGCAGGCGCCCACTATCGTCCCGTCCCCGGCTCCAACGCCCAACACACTCGAGAGGAAGCACAAGCCCGCCGCACCTACGCACACTTCAGGACACTCGCGGCCCAGGAACCGGGTGCGGGCGTCCAGTCCATCACTGGCATCGAGTACCTCGAGAACCCGCCGGCGGAGTACCTCGACGAGAAGAACATCCAGGCTGTGTATGGGCATCTGAATGGGTTTGAGTACTTACGGCCCGAGGAGGTGCCGGGGGATGTGAAGTGGGGAGTGAGGTATAACACATTCGTGGTGAATTCACCGGTGTATTGTGCGTGGTTGCTGCGGGAGTTTGTCTTGAGGGGTGGGGAGGTGAAGGAGTATACGTTTGTGGATTTGAGGGAGGGGTTTTATCTTGCGGAGAGGGTGGGGGCGGTGGTTAATTGTTCTGGGTTGGGGTTTGGGGATGAAAAGAGTTATATTATTCGGGGTGAGTGATGATGGTGGTGAAGGTGAGGGTGATTGATGGTAATGGCTGACTGACTGACTATTCAGGGCAAACGTGTCTTGTGAGGAATCCGTGCTCGGCGACTATTACTCGACAGAATAGCGATGGCTCGTGGTCTTTCTGTATTCCGCGCCCGTTGGGTGGTGGGACGATTATCGGGGGCACGAAGCAGCCGCATAATTGGGATCCTAATCCGTCAATGCAAACACGGGCCCAGCTACTGGCGAATGCTGCTAAGTGGTTTCCCTTCAAGGAGGGAAGGAAAGGAGAGTTCGATGTTATTCGTGATATTGTTGGTCGTCGACCAGCACGAGAAGGTGGCATGAGAATTGAAGTGGAGAAGATGCAGCAAAGTCAGGAAGTGATTGTTCATGCATACGGAGCTGGGGGTCGTGGGTTTGAGTTATCATGGGGTGTGGCGGAGGATGTTTACGATTTGATGCGACAAGAAGGACTGCTAAAGGAAAAGGCCTCGCTATAATGTCCACTTGTGAGGTCCGCGTTACTACGGAGATTTTTCGACTATAGCGCTAGAGCAAGCATATTCGGCATACAAAGCTATAATTGGAACGCTACATGGCAGCTGCGACTTCAGTAAAAGAAAGATGATACAACTTTTCGTCTATTGTTCGTAACATTACTTATCAATGATTATGGTCGCCATGGACACCAAAGCATATCCAAACATCGGAAGGCTCAGTCACACAGGTCAAGACTCCCGGTCGCCAGCGGGTCGCTTGAAGATGTGTTTAGATTCTTTTGAGGCTCACATTGACAGAGTACGGTTGCTTGAAGGCCAGCATTGTCAACAGGTATATATGTCGTGTGCGTGGCCCTTGGGATCGTTCTGGGCTAAATCAGTAAGTTTTAGAGGACACTAACGGCACTCATACCTGATGCCGGGTCGGACTGTCTATGGCGAAGGAGCCAATGGGGCCCAATTGCTGGGTTGAGTGTTTCCGCAAATCTTGAGATGATCATCCGGTATGGTCATGTTCTGCAGCTGGTCCGGCGCTTCGATAATGATCGCCATGAGGCGGATTTCGACGTGCCACTCAATGTGGCAGTGGAACATCCAGATGCGTAATTGACCGATCAACGTCAGTTTGGAGACACCAACTTGTAGGGAGGGAATACTTATCAGGATTCATTGCACGGAATCTAATTACGAAATGTCCCATGGGCTCCACCATGAGCGTATCTCGGCGCATGGGAGTGGCAGAAACGTTGCGGTAGCCATCGAAGAAGCCACCGTACGGGTAAGTGCGCTGGAGCACCTGGAAATCGTGACCGTGGAGATGCCACGGGTGGAGATTGTCATGGTGGTTGTTGAGAACGATTTCCACCACATCACCATAATTTACGACGAAAGGGTTCACATCTCCATAGAGTTCTGGGTCCAAGCAGGCCTCGGGGTCAGAATAGATGGCAGTGTACAGCGTGGGCGAGTCGGGGGCGTTGTATGTCATGTTGTTGATGCTGTAGGCTGGCTTTCCATCTACTGTGGTTGGGTAGACGTCGAAGATGAATTGGTGTTGTATGGGGTCGATCAGAGGAAGATTGTCTATCGGTTTCAAGGTCACATCGTCGAGGAAGTCCAGACTTGCATTATTGACATGAATGATGGGCGCAGGAGGCAAAGGAGCATCCTCGTTGTACATGAGCCATGCGGTGCCGTTGGGATTGTACCCTTGAGGGGGGCTTCTTCCCTCTTGAACGAACATCTCATCGATATCGAGACCGTCCCAGATCGCATAGTTCTTGCTAGTGTCATTTTTGGTGGTGAGAAGGATGTCGACTCGTTGTCCAACGGCCACACGCAGATACTGGGGTTGAAGGAAATGCGGCTCCACTGCGATGCCATCCATACCAACAATGGTCATGTCGTGGTCGTCAATGACGAGCGCATGCCCGGGAAAGTTGCCCATGCAGACAACGTGGATCAGGTAAGTCGTGCCGGGCTTAACGCTGATCTTGGTGTTGTGCATGTCATTGAACAAAATCGCATCAGGTAGCGGCTCTAGACCTCCGTAGGGGGCATGGTCTCCTGGAACTATGAATTGATCGAGCAAGACGGGTATCTGTACATGATACCAATCGGATAAGGTGAGAGTCATCTCCTCGTCATAGTGATACGGTTTAGGAACATTGTCGTGCACAATGATGGGACCGCGCAGCCCGTCAGGATACTGACCGGGCTCGTGCGAGTGATACCAATAGGTACCGGTTTGGTTCATCTAGATCCATGGGTCAGATGGCGCCCTTCAGGTACTGATCCAGCAAGCATGCTCAGCTTACCGGAACAATGTAGCGCATGCGCTGGTTGGGGTGGAGCTCGCATTGGGTGACTCCTGGGACACCGTCCATGTAACCATTGTAGTTCTGATGCAGACCATGCCAATGGATTCCGGTGGACTCGTTACCCAGCCCGTTGTACACGTCGACGATGAGGTTATCGCCAACATCGACGTCAATCTGAGGACAAGGCCAATGCCCGTTAATGCCGATCACAGGCCTCGCATACCCATCCGGTGCTGCAGTGACCCAAGTTATATTCCAATCCAGATACACATCTTTGCTCAATGCCTGTTGGACGAACCCGTACAGGCCGAGCGTTATGAGGGTTCGGATCATTGCCGCGGCTTCGAGTATAGCATTCACCGGATGCGGGCGCAGACTTTTGGAGCAATTCCTGAAGGGAGGTCGAAAATAAGTATGTACAGAAAATTGCTCGGGCTACTATATTATGCACAAAAAGTTAGATCAGCCCGCGGAGCAATCAGGAGAGCAACCCTTGGCGATATGGATGCCTCGTCGGTGTCGCCGCCTCGGCATCAGATACAAACAAACATTTCTCGCATGGCCGGACAGCAAGCCTACAAATGAGCCGATCCGATGCGAGTCGTGCTTTCAGTCGCCGCCCGGGAGAAATCATTCCAGCATAGACATAGAATGCGAGCATGTAACCTGTCCTTGCTTCAAGGGATGAGGAAGGAGAAGTAGGGAGTCGACTAGCTCCTCCTACATGCAGATACCTTCCCGGTTCAGAGATGCAGGATGCCCCGGCAAGAAAATTCCTGAGGTATTGGCACGCTTGTCTGGCTGTGGATCGCTGGATATATTGACGCCTAATGGCGGTTACTTCAGCTATGAAGGGGGTCAAATCTCAAGGCACTGTACGATGGAGGTCCGCGCTACTGATGCAATGAGGCACTTCCTTCAACGTCGTTATCTGTAAGCTAGCTCATGATGCCTTCCCTAAAGTTTCCATACTTTGTGTTTCCCTTCTCGTGCCAATAAAGCTTTGGAAGTCTGCGGCCTAGGGATACATGGCCTCTTCTGGGAAGCATATCTGCTTTGTCATGACCGACGATAGCACGGCGCAGGGACCGAGACCTTGAACCAGCGAACAATCCTTCCTCGTCCAGACCGGGGCAGCGGGCATTGGAATGCGCCTTCCGCCTTGGAATCGGGGGGATGCAAGGCATTCACTCGATGAGAAGACTACCATGTTGGAATATGCCCTGTTCACCCAAAGGCAGTACATATTTGGGTCCACCAGGTGGCTACCACGATGTTCTCAACATCAAGCACTTACATGAAGTATTTCTAACTCTAGTTAAGTTGCAATGAGTACAACATGTACGCCAACCAATCACATCCATTCTCGGCAATCGACCGCTTCGATCTACTTCAACCGTACAGCAACACATACTTCAAGAAGTTTAGGCGCCCGAATTAGCGGTCTCTTCCCTTCCAAGTAGAAACTCTTGGTTGGTCTCGAACATGGATGCCTGGGAGTCGGAGCATGAGCCGGTATAGCGGAAGGTCGTCAACATGGCACACTGCAGGCAAGGGAGTTTCAGATACGGCCACCTAAAGCAAACTCTCATCCCAACCTCTGTCAGCGGAACAGCGTGTCAAGCCTTACCGATTGTCCGAGACCCGAGACAGACGGTGACGCCCCTTGATCCCTCAACAGCTGTGGATTGGTCAGCCCCCCTGCGTTTGTAGCCCTAAGCACCCTCGATAGTTGGTTCTGATGTCACAAGATTTGGAGGAGAGTTCATGTGCACCCCAATCGGCAGGTTTCGCCGTGAGGACCTTACATTGAATGAGTTACGTTTAAAAGGGTTCTTCAATGCTGTCTCCCTCCTGATCTGTACATATTCCCACCGTCTACTCAAGACTGGACGACACGAGCAAGAAAACACCATGGCCCCTTGGATCCTCGGCGAGAAGTTCAACACCGTTTACCCTCACAAGGGCTCTATCAAAGCTCTCTGGGAAACTAAGTGGAAGTTTGCAGTAAGTTTTTGCTGGTGGTCGGCATCACCACCCCTTGCTCAGCGGTTGGCCAGCCGTCAGGCAGTCCTTATCTAACGTAGCATGCAGTGTGAAAAATCCGTCTACCCATTCCACGACGGTGCCATTGAAGACTTTCGACCTATTTTCCAGAAGCTTATTGATGTAGGTTGTCATGATCTTGCCATGTGCCCCTTATTAGCGCAAGGGTAACATGCTATTCTATGATAGGAAAACATCAACGATGCCTACACAGATGCCTACACACAGGCTTTCTTCCCGGTTGCTGAGGCCCTGGAGAATAAGGCCTCGGCTGCTTTGAACAACAACAATGTGGAGATGGCCTCTGACCTGCTCCGTAGAGCCGCTGTGGTCTACCGTATCTCCCGCTTCCCCTATGTCGATCCGACTAGAGAGGATATCAAAAAAGAGGCCTTCAACCGACAGAAGAAGGTGTATTTGAAGGCAGCTTCTTTTTGGAAGCCCACCATCCAGGAGGTCATCATCCCGCACAAGCATAAGTCGGCCACCGACGGTGCCTATGTTCCCCTCTTCGTTCGTGTCCCGGAACATGCGACGGCAGAGAACCCTGTCCCAGTTGTTGTGCTAATGACTGGCCTGGATGGATACCGCCCCGACAACAGTCAGCGCACCCATGAGATCATCAACCGGGGTTGGGCGACAGTTATCTGCGAAATTCCCGGTACCGCGGACTCGCCTGCCGACCCCAGCGACCCCAAGTCGGCGGACCGTCAATGGACCACCGTTCTCGACTACATGGCGACTCGTCCGGAGTTCGACATGTCCCGGGTTGCTGCCTGGGGTCTAAGTGCCGGTGGATTCTACGCCATCCGGGCTGCACATACCCATCGTGATCGCTTCGTGGGAACCCTCGCCCACGGACCGGGGTGCCATTACTTCCTGGACCCCGAGTGGTTGAGCCGTGTCGATGACCACGAGTATCCATTCCTGTAAGTACTATGACTTCATCTGCAATTGCCAGAGACACTAATGACGCCTTCGATAGGCTCACTCCTGCCTGGGCCAAGAAGTACGGCTACTCCAACCCGGAGGATTTCAAGAAGAATGGCCAGAAGAAGTTCTCTCTTCTCGAGACTGGCATCTTGGATCAGCCTAGCTGCAGACTGTTGCTGCTCAACGTAAGCCTAATACCCCTCAAAATTCCAGATTGAATACTAACCCATGCCATGCAGGGTGTGGATGATGGCGTCACCCCCATTGAAGACTGCCTGATGCTCTTCAACCACGGAAGTCCCAAAGAGGGAAGGTCAGTCATCTCCTTGCAATTTTGGATTTACCTAGTACCTAACCATCACCTTCCACAGATTCTTCCACGGTCTCCCTCACATGGGGTACCCTCACAGTCTGGTCCCGTCGTACAAGTGGTTCGAGGATGTTCTGCGCTCACCCCAGGAGCCTCTCAAGAACTAGAAAGAAGGGTTGTTTCCAACGCGTCGTACATGTATAAATACTCAACATATATGTGAACGGCCAACTATGCACTGAACGATCGACAATGAAAGCGATGACTGCAATGAGATGAGAACATGGGTATCTCGTACTTGGTCTGCACAATCTTCACATGTCACTTTAGTAGTAAAATCAGGTTCTGATTACCTTTCTGCCTGTCTGCGTGATCACAATGTCTTGACCGGAATTTTGTTAAGCATTGGCAATTTGACTTTCGGTATTCTGGTCCCCAAGCTTTAAAAGAAGGTTCTGAGGTCACTGCACTCAGGGCTATAATTTGACTCTCTCAGAAAGGTCATGGTCATTGACCCCCATACAATGACCCCAGATCCCCCCCCCCGAGGAGGAGATCTGAGACATGGATTCAATAGTCACGAATTTAAGTTATCTCCAGACCCTGCTTGAGAGTAGCTTAAGTTTCCAAGACAGTTTCACTTTCCCAACCCCCTTGCAGATACTATATGTTCCCATGTCTTTAGCAGTAACTTACGCTCAGACATGGTTTCAAACTCAATGGCTTATCCCCCCGCTCGCTTCCCCTCTTTACTCTCTTGACTCCGGCTCTCTCCACCTGTCTAGATAGTACGGAGTATTAGTACTGTACTTGTTCGAGATGGGAACAACACCAGATGAGATATTAATTGTCATAACTATATAGGTATTCGTGAAATTCCCCATAGTTTACGTTGTCATTATTTATCATCGTAATTACATCACCCCACAAATGTTTTGGTATATGACTGTATACTTTATTATCCTACCTCAGCTTCAATTACCCAGCCAGCCAGCTAAAGTAACAACTAATCATAGTACCCCGTCTCAAACATCTCATGTTCCCAACTCGCCAGAATGAAAGACGACGTGCCGAAGAGATTATTGTATTCGATGGGTCGGGTGGTGTAGTACTTTCAACAAAAAGGCCGTTAACATTCTCTCTCCCAATCAAGAGGGGATAAAAAAAAAGAAAGGACTGGAAGGAAAATAACAATACGTACCTCAAAAGTAGGATCATACAACCCACAATCCGCCACAGTCCCATTATACCCTAACGTACCATCTGCCTCCTCTATCACGAACTCACTCAGCAGATACTTATAGCACTTATCAGCCGCATCGGTATACGCTACGCCATTGGGCGTCTTCCCTTGCAAATACCCCAACCTAGCACCTTTGAGCAATCCGTACACGAACTGCGCTGATCCGCTAGATTCAATGTAATTGCCCTCTTCTCCACCGTGCAACATAACCTGCCACCAGCATCCGGTGTCCTCGTCGGCGTCGTTGATGATGGTGTTAGCGACGTTCCAGTATTTGGTGTAGACGTCGTCGCGCTGCGTCTCGTTCAGTATCGCGCTGTTTTTGCCGGACCGTTCGAGCAGGTCTACTAGCGTCATGAACCAATCGCCCAGGGCGCGGTTCCAGACGTAGGGACTTGCGCCGGTGGTGGGGTCGGCCCAGGAGGCGGTCTTGCTGGAGTCGTAGCCGTGGAAGAGGAGGCCGCTAGAGTCGTCGTGGCAGTGGTCTTTGAATAGGTCGAGACTGAGAGTTAGGGAATCGGTTAGGGTGGTGTTGGTGGGGTCGAAATAGGTTTTCCACATTGAGATGAAGGAGCTCAGTGGGAAGAGGCCCTCCAGGACGCCCCAGTTGGGGTAGGGGTTCCAGTACCAGAAGGCGCCTGGATGTGATCGATAATGTTAGTATATTTTTCTCGGTTGTCGGTTTGGGGGTGTGTTGCTGTTGATGTTGATGTGGGTGTTATCTGACCTTCTGAGTCGCGGGTTCTGGCGTTAAAGGCATCGTGGAGGTTGTCCAGGGCTTGTTTGTAGGTGTCGTTTGGGGCGCGCTCGTATCTAGAAAGAAATGCAAGTGTTGGATTGGATTTTGGTTCTGCGGTCAGCTAGTAGTAGGTGAATGATGACTTACTGGTGATACATAACATCTCCTGACGCAAATATAGTCAGCGGAGCATTCACAATGAACGAGACATCCTGCACAGCGGGGAGAAGGCTTTCGGCGCCATCTAGGGCATAACTGTGCCAATCCACCTGGCCGCAAGAATCGGCGTCATAGTACTCCTTCAGACGGGTAACGGCTGACTCGAATAGCGTGACCTGGGAGATATTTGGGTAGATATCATCTCCTGGTGTGAAGTCACCCAGAATAGCATCTCGGCGGGCAATGACGCTGTCTGTCATCCAGGCCGAGTATGGACGAGTGTCTGGATCACAGCTGATCCCCACAGCAGCGGCATGCTGGGAATGCGACAGCAATCCCGTCAATAGGGCGGCGGTGAAGGAGAAGACGGACTGGGTCATAGTGGCGCGGGGGTGCGAAACGAGGGTGCAGGGGGGATGTGGTACTGTTGAGTCGCCATCGTCTTAACCTTATGTATTTAGTCTGTTGAGGGGGACTGAGATGCGCCATGAAGGAGAGGGGCAGGACTACCGTGGACGAAGAGAGAATCGTGAGACCCGCGGAGGGAGAGGACGGGGCGGCGTTCCTCGATAGTTGAATCGGGATGAAAGGGATGGTGGAGATTGCACGGGGAGATCGGTGAGCGTCAGTTGGGGAGATCGTGCACAACATTCATGAGTGAGACAGACAGCTCCCAGGCTCCTTGAAGTGGAATGTGGGCTGAGGGTCTCCGGCAGCAAGGTACAAGCCAGACCGTCGATTCAGGGTCCATGTGTTACAAAATAGTTGGGATCACTTGTTGCACTTTTCATTTGCGCCTTGAGGGCAATGCTGGCTCATTTCAACCAAAGAAAAACAAACGTTCTACGTACAGATCGGGCATAGCAAATCATATCATGAATCAGTTCATCCCCTGGATAACGAACCTCCAGACCCTGTCGATGTCTCTCAATCAATCAATCTGGTATCTTCTCTCCATTTGATTTCTCACTCCGCCCCGTTCCATGCCTCTGTAGATTCAGTTCAGCTGGCACCGATTCAACGGTGGCTGAACCAGGAATCCAGGCGACACGACCAACCGTTCACGTTTAACCGCAAGAGCCATCCAACCTAAGTCGCGGACATCGATACCAGGCGATCTAGTTTGGTGTATCCTCATCACAATTCAAAGAACCCAAAGAGAATCAGCATTGTATCTACCATCCATCAACCCGATTGGCATCCCAGGTCCGGACAACGGCTTGGGACACCGTTCCCAGTGTGGGGGAGGTCCGCAACCCCTTTCGCCCAAGTGCCTTTTTGCGTCCTTGGGGATGTATCGCACAGAACTCAGCCGGCTCCTTCCTGTGCAATCGTCTCGTCGTTGGAAACCGGCACCGGCGTGCCATGCAGCGCAGCCAGGCGTTCCTCTTCCTTCCTCTCACGGATCTTCTCCGTCTCGCGCCGCAAAGCTTCCAGGTTCCATGTGCCATCATCCTCTTCCTCGTCACTGCTCTCGTCGTCAGCACGCCAGTTGCCCTCTTCGAACAGTGTCCGTCCAGTGGTTTCCTTGGCCTTGCGGGCCTGCTCTTCGGCAGCCTTCTTGTCAAGACGCTCCTTCTTCCACTTGGCGAACGTCTCGGGCGTAACGGGCGTCAGGTTGCCACTCAGCTTGTGTCGCTCACTTTCCAGCCAGTCTTCGAGGGTCAAGGTGTTGAGTGGCGACTTGTCCATGAGAGCCTTCTCGGCGGCCTTCTGTTCCTTTGTCTTCAGAACGAATCTGTAGTCCATCAGCAACCGTAGCAAACATAAAGAAAAACGCTCAACGAGCTGAACATACCCAGGGGGCAAACTGTGCTTGTACATGCACTTGTCACCTCCATTAGGACAAGTCCAGAACCAACCGTACTTCTGGTTCTCGACAGCCTCAATGAAGTACTTGCAGACCTTATCCGTAGTCGTGCGCGGGTTACCGTGCTTGCTGAGAATGACCTTGCGCAGCTTCTCCTCGTCCCAGTCGTCAATCGTATCCTTCTTCTTGGCCTCTTCCTCAGCCGCCTTCACGTCTCGAGAATCGGTGTACAGATCCTTCTTAGCCGCCTTGCGCTCAACACTCGCGTCGTGACTGAACTTGCACTTTTTACCCTTCTCACAGTTACCCTGCTTGTAGAAAACGCAAAGCACAGTCTTCGGATCCACACCAAAAGGAACCTTCTGAACCTGCACAGGCTTGAACAGTTCCAAGGCCTCCTTCTTGGCCTGCTCGGCGGCCTTCTTCTCAGCCTCTCTGCGGGCCTTCTCGGCTTCCTTCTTCTTCGCATCGGCGTTCTTGTTGGATGCCGCTTGAGCCTGTAGCTGAGCAATCTGTTTCTTGGCCGAACCACCCTTTTTCTGTACAGAGATATACCGGTCAGTGGGTTTGTGCTTTCCTCGGGGAAGTCGATGATGGATGGTGGAGGGAGTGGTCTGCGGGTTCTAGAAGGGCTCGTTACGTACGTTCTTCATGCCAAAGGTCTGTACAAAATCGCAGATTAGCATTTACTCTAAGAATATGGATCGATCAATGAGCATTTCGAACCTTATCCTCGACCGTGGCCTTCTTCTTCTTAGGCTGGTCCTGCTGCTTCTTGGGAGGCATCTTGGCGGATTTGTGTAGATTTGCACTCCTCTAATATGTAAAAAGAAATGTAGTAGAAAAAAAAAAGATAGCGATAAAATTCTATGCCGGATATATAACTTTTGCGCGCCGATACGATGAGGGAAAGCCTCCCAGAGAAACCCAAAGTTGAGGGAGGGGGAAAAGAAAGGGAAGAAGAAAAGATGCGCCGCAAAAGGGAAGAAAACCGCAACGAAAAATCACCAAAGGAGGGGTCGACCTGACGTCCCGACGGGGTAGGTCAAGTAATCTGACGACACCTCGGCTGTCTTTCTGATGGGGGAAGAAGGAGATGGGGGGGAATATTAAAAATTGTCTAGATGAGGAGGAAGAGAGAGAGATCAAACCGTGAGGAGGTGCAAGGTTTCCTCCACACTTTTCACGGTGTGGGTTTGCCAGTGTGGCGGAACAACTTCACATAATCGGCCTCTCCGCCAATCGAGTTGGATTCTTCTCCTTCCTCTCCGCTCGCTCTCCCAACCAAACTCCTCACCGGATAGGTTCTTGTTTGCGCTTTTACTGTTCGCCAGAAGTGAGCTTTCTTGTCTGGTTCGACTGCCGCTAATGTCTGGGCTTTAATAACGCGACAGATACGCACTGCAAACTACTTCAATACACTTGGTGGTGGTGTTCTACGCTGTCCGGTCGCAAGTCTCGTTCAACGGTCCGACTCTCGGATCTTTTCTACGCCTGGTTCGCAGTCCAGGAATGGGCATTATGAGAGAAATATTCTTGCTAGTCATCTCATCATTTCAATACCAATAAAAGGAAATACTTCAAAATTCCTTTTCCGTTTCCCTTCGCCTCTCGAGGCAGGTCACAAACCTGCCCAAGTGCGCCAGGTAGCTCCAAACCATGAACCGTGGTCATCAGCGGTATAGTATAGGTAAAAGAAAAGCTCAAAAGTTACAGCATTCGTCGCTCGCCGTTATTTGCTTTTTTTTTTTTTTTTTTTTTGATTACTTGCTTGCGTAGTAGTCGTTGCCTATCTCAGTAGAAGGGCATAGCATTTAAGAAACCTCCTGGATCTTAGAAGACTTGGCACCCTCGGCCTCGCCCTCCTCCAGCTCGGGCATCTCCTCTTCCTGCTAGAAGTGTCAGTGACTGGGCATCTTTGTCAATTGGTTAAAATTGGTAGACAACATACCTCTTCTTCCTCTCCAGGAACACCGGCATCACCGCCGAGACCGGCACCCAGCTTGGAGAAGTCAATGTTGGAGAGACCACCCTCGCCTCCAAGACCTTCGAAGCCTCCAAAGTTGTTTGCGTAGTCGTCCTCGTTCACCTCGTCTTGCTCATCCTCATCAACCCACTGTTTCTTAGTCAGCTCACTCTGTTCCTTGGTCCATGCAAGCTAGAACCAGCATCATACCTTGTCGAAGTTGGTCTTCAAGAAGTGGATCTTCTGGGTGGTCTTCAGCAGACGCGGCCAGTATTCTTCCTTGAGCTCCTTCTTGCGCAGCACCAGCTCGACCTCACGGTCACTGTGGTTGACCTTGCTGTTCTCGGGGTCAATCTCGGCGAACAGGTCGAGAGAGACGTGGTATTTTACGCCCTTCTTGGAGTTGCCTGTGAAAGTAACATTGGTAGGCTTGATGTCGAGGGTTGCGTCAGAACGGGCAACATCAGCAGCCTTGATGCTAACATAGAGGTAGTTGCGCTCGGGGTCGCTATCCGAAGAGCGCTGAGCCCATGTGACTAGTAAACATCCTTGTCAGTACCTCATGCTCGCTGAGATGAATGTACGCAGGGAAATATAGACAGGGCGATAATATGAGAGACAACAAGGCCGTTGTATGGCATGATGCTTCCCAGTAGCCGAGACCCCAGAAATGAAAATCCAGAGCGGGGAAGGAAATGAGGGACGGGAGGGGGAGTAAACTCACCTTCGGGGTGGACCTGAGGGAGTTCGGGCATTATGGTGGTAGATAGCGGATAGGATGGGTTCGTTTAGAAGGACAGAATGTAGCAATCTCGTCAAAAGCGAAAGAAGGGATGTGATGGGGGAAGGGGATGATGTCGGGGGCTAGACGGATAGTGAAGTTGCAGCAGCAGGCGGTTGCTCTTAGCTGCTGATCGCCGGCGAGTCACTAGTGATGAATGCTAGAAAGTACTGGAACTCTCCCGCCGCCCGTTTGTTCTGTTTGCGGCCTCTGGGTGCCTGAGGCTCAACACTGCCCTGCGACGTCACTGCCTCCGTCCATATCTGGCTGACTCAGCCGCCGAGTGGAACAGCCAGACATCCACTCCATCCGTCCATCTTGGAGCCCAGGCACCGCAACAGCCAGCAGCCATGCAATAGTCCACATCCGGGTTGGTGCGCCTCTACCACACGTTCCCCCGCCATCTTGCTTCATCGGCTGTATTTCTTCACTGTTGGAAGATCAACTACCACTTTTTTTATCGCATAAGTGTGTGGGAAGACCCTTGACCACCTCGATTTCACACCCCGCCGTATTGCAAGGTCGCTCCAGATTCGACCGATTCAGCACCCTGACAACATCCCATCCGAGTGTTCCCGCTTAAAGCCAAAGTAGACGTTTTGCAGCTATAGATATCGATCTGTGAACCCGTATCATCCTCGCGCCAGTCAGCATGGAGACCCTCAAAGCAGTCTTTTTCGGGCCGGATCCTCAAACGCAGGCAAGTGCCTATCCTAATGAGCAACATGCCTGGCGCTGCTGACTGTGATTGCTATCTCTAGATGAGGAAATGCAATCAGCTCATCCGCGCCAATACCCGACAGTTGGATCGTGACATCGCACAACTAAAGACTCTGGAAAGCAAGACACGACAGTACATCATGAATTCCTCGAAGCGGGCCCAGCGCAATCCCTCCCAGGCCAAGCAGGCCAACATGGAGGCCAAAACATTTGCGCGAGAGCTTGTTCGCATTCGCAAGCAGTCCACCCGATTACACACCAGTCGCGCCCAACTGCAGAGCGTTCAGATGCAGGTCAACGAGGCCTTCTCAGTTCGGAAGATTCAAGGCAGCTTGAAGAAGTCGACGGGCATCATGAAGGACGTCAATACATTAGTCCGGATGCCCGAGCTGAATGCCACGATGCGTCAGCTGTCGACGGAACTGGTGCGGGCCGGAATCATCGAGGAGATGGTCGATGACGCCATCCCGAACAACGAATTGCTGGAGGAAGAGGAAGAGGAAGCAGAGGAGGAGGTCGACAAGGTCCTGCAGGAGATCCTGCACGGCAAGCTGTCTCAGGTCGAAGGGGTTCAGCCCGAGAAGCCATTGGAAGAGGCTCCAGAGCCGGAGGACGAGTTCGCGGATCAAGAAGCGACACTAGAGCAGATGCGGGGACGCCTCGAAGCCTTGAAGAGCTGAGGAACATTCAAGACGATTGTTTGCATCTGCGTCTTGGCTTATGTGACAAGAACAGTGGACGACAAGATGCCACTGAATACGGGTTTCTTCCTTTCATATTGTGAACGGCGTTTGGGTAGGATGGCGGGCGTCTTTGGGATGATCGTAAGTACCGGTTGAGCTTATTTCGTCCTAATGTTGACTACGGGACTGGCCCTTTATTGGGAGCTTTGAGCGGATTGAGCTGTTTCTGTTGATATGAAGAGTTTCCCCGAGAATAACCCTGCTCGTAAATATACATTATCATCTTTTCTTCCATGCAATGTCGGGCTTCGACTGGGCTCGATTGCTCTAATTGAGTTTTTGGGCAGCAGGGGCTCTTGGCGGCAGCGGAAGGTTACAGATAAGCGCGAGCTTATGAGTCTGGACTCATATCTTTGATTGAAATGAATATACGATGTTAGATTGCATGGCTGGATAGCGTTGCCACATTAGCTTGCAGTAAGTTGTAGATGAAGCCATGAACTGCTTGGGCACAGGCAAAGGGAGGCAGTGTTGTTTGCAGTGTTGGCCCGATGGGCCCAATGGGGACTAGCGCGGTGGGCAGGTGGCTCAGCCTTTTTGGAAGAAGATCCGGCTGACGAACTGAAAGGGAACTGAACCTCCCTCCCGCCTTTCCCTTTTGCTTATCTTCTCCATCCCTCTTCCGTTTCCCTTCCCTTTCATCCTCCATCCATCCATCCTCTCCATTCCCAACATCTCCATCATCCCACCTTGCAGCTTTCATCTCCACGCGCTGCAATTCAACAATCAACGCGACATTCTTGCTTCCTGCCCGTCGTCCAGATTAATCTGCCAGCTTCTGGACACCGTTGCCTCCAGTAACAAGCCCGTTTCAGCGTCGCGATCCTCCGTGGCGCAACACCTGTAACACTCAACACTCGTGAAATCTCATCACCTACCGACACCCGACTCTACAAAGTTTCATACTCCACTTTTCACCATGTCTGCCAAGTTGGACAAGTCTCTCGATGAGATCCTCGTCAGCCGTCGCCAGGGCGCCCGTCGTCGCGCTCGTCGCTCGGCTCCCAAGGCTGCCAACACTTCCGTCCCAGTCGGAGGTGTGAAGAAGACCACCAAGGCTGCCAAGGCGCCCGGAAAGGCTGTCCAGAATGGACACCCCGTCTCTACGGAAAGCAAAATCATGGTCAGCGGCTTGGTGAGTATCCATTCTGCACTAAATAGGTGACCATCTACTAACGTTTCTAGCCTTCCGATGTGAACGAGGCCAATATCAAGGTATGTTGATCGAAAGGCCTTGGCCTTGGGTTTCTATCGCCATGTTTTCTTCTCGAAACCTTCGAGGCGCAACGGCTTTCGCGCGCGTTTCGATCCTTGCCACGTTATCTATATATATATTCTTATATCACCGTCATGGATTCTTGGTCTTCAGCATAGGCAGCAAACTCAGAAAACTTCGCATGCGGTAATTGCACGCTGGCACCCTGCGAGTCCGCCGAAGTTGGAGTTCTGCCGTAGTCTTGCGAAAGACGTGTTAGCTCGGGCGGATCTTCCAGCCATCCGCCTTTGAAGCCACGCAGCAGACTGTGCTACAGATGGTTGTTGAAACATACCATCTTTTGAAACCAATCCGATTGGC